ACCAACTAAATAAGCTGTAAACAAAGATTTACACTTTAAAGACATTGTTTTAATAGATAAATGTGTTTTTAAAACTCCAACAGCCGAGTTGATTAAGTTTGCATCCACCCAGAAACTATTTTGATGCATCTTTTGACTTAATTTCAGCATTTAGTCTCCTTTAGCATCTTGACTTGTCAATATTTATCTAGTCAACCTATCAGAACTTCATCAGAACTATGAGCTGATCTAATGTCCACAGCCATTCTAAGCCAACATCAGATCTAGTTCTGCACTCTCCAATTTGTATAAAGTCATTCTTTTGTTGATTTCAACATGAACTTGTCAACAAAAGTAACACCCTTTTTTGCAGAGACCTGAATATTTTGGGTGATTAATATTTAACAAGTTTACTAAGATGAAAAAGCTACAAGTTTACTTTAAATCTGTTGTATGAAGGCTGCAGCTGCACCTGTCCGGTGATGGAGTGCTGGTTCGTTCAGGAGAAACCAGGCAGAGGAGGAGGTCTGACAGGAGCCACAACGCAGGAGAAATCTCTGCTTCACATCAGGACCGACACGCAGAGTGATGTCACAGGAAGTCAGCGCGATGCGTCTGACATCGACCCCAGCAGAGTTTATGTTATTACAGGTCAGATCAACATGAATCCAAAGTTATTGGTAACAAATATCTGTTTGGCTCGATTGTTGTCCTGATGGTGTTGTTGTGTTCATAACTAGCAAATGTTCTGGAATTATGAAATTGCATAAACATTAGAAAAAGGTGAATATGAGAGATGTGCTGTTATTCTCCATGATAATAATTATTCCTGAGAGTCATTAAACCATCCTGAGCATCTCTGTCTGCAACATAAATGTAAATATAAATATTTATTCTCCATATTTCTGGAAAAATCAGAAATGTGTTCTGCTAAATCCAAGAAGAAAACCTGATAATTACTGGAAAAGACTTGAGTAGGAGGTTTTAGTTTCATCTTCTAGTAGGAAACCAGAGCGACAAGAAATGGTTTAAAGTGTAATAATGTATTAGAATAGCCTACTAAGAGTCCAGTCAAAGTCAGAAAGGATCCTAATGAAATATTTATTTATAAGAGTTTAAAAACTATAAAGAATCAAACCAGAATTTCCAGCTGCTTTTTATTAACCACGAGTCTTTTCTCCTCCGCTCTCAGATCCCTCTGCCAACCTCTGCCACGCCTCTCTCAACCCGCCCAGAGGCTCCATCCAGAAGCCGCAGTGTGAGATCAACCCGTTCCTGCCGCAGCCGTCCAGCCTCAAATGGGTCGCCTCCCTGACGGAGTCGGCCCTCAGCCCCGTCTACCTGCAGGCCGACTGGTTCTCGGCTTCCTTCCAGGGCCTGGACCAGCAGCTCGGCGTCTCCACCATCTCAAGAGCCCCGACAGGAACTAAAGAGCACGACGGTAACCAGTTTCCTCATCACAGGGACTCTGGGCTTTTTTCTTTAGGGGGAACAAACTGTGCGACAGTAAAATGGTGATATCATCTAAATGCACTGCAGCCTTAGATTATAATCAACAGTGGGAAAAAACTTCAATAACAAAACAATTTATTTAACCAAATAAAACTCATTGTTCAGTATGTGAACTTTATGCAATAGTTTGTTGCAGTGGCCTAAACCATGGGCTAATTCTCTAATTAGCTTGTTTAGCTTAGCGTAGCTTAACTGTATACAACTCCATTATTAGCACCGCTATGCTAACTCTATTCAACTTACTGATAATTTAGTAAGTTGAATAGAGAATCATTACTGCTATCATTATGTGAGAACTAAAGGTTCACTGCTTAGTTCTGTCTGATTAATCTGAGCTTCTTGTTTCCTCAGTGATCCTGAGCATCACCAGCAGAACCATGTCAGCCAAGTCCAGACTCGGGGAACCGGTCACTCTGGACTGCAGCTTCTGGGTCGACCCGTCCACTCCTCTGTCCGCGTCGGGTTTCGCGGTGGAGTGGCGCTACCAGACCAGAGGGGACGGCCGGCTGGTTCTGGCTTACGACGGGAAGTTGGACCGCCTGGCTGATACTCATGAGACCGGAGCGTTTCTGGACTTTGAGGCTCTGCATGAGAGAGGAAACGCCTCCCTGGTTCTGGAGGAGGCCAAGGTCCGACACTCTGGGACGTACATCTGCACCATTTACCTGCCCTACCTGCTGGCTCAGGTGGCGATGGAGCTGGAGATCGTAGGTGAGGGAAACACCTGGACATTCTGCAGACATTAGGGCTGTTAAAGCATTTGATTAATCTGAAAAGTTTAATGTGTTGATGTTACATTAATACGATTAATGATATTAATCTGCATTAATACGATTAATGCCCTTTAAGGGCTTTAATCGTCCCTAAGAGGGTCACCTAGTAATAAGCAATGTGTTATTCGGTCTTATACTGCATTCAATAATGCGGAGTCACAAACATGCCACAGAATATTACAGCCGTTGTAGATATGGAGTAAATTTCTGCCAAAAAATTTTGAGATTAATCTCAGAAATTTAAAATTGTCAAAGTTTCAACAGTCAAACATTTTCAAAACAAAGTGACGTCTTTTAAATGTTCCTGAATATGGAAACTTGGAAAACTGAGATGTTTAGTTTTCATTTTAAGCTTTCAAAGTTAATCAAAGTGATTATGATTAATCACAGCGCTAGATTATGATATGATTATTTTTTTAAAATTAATTGACAGCACTAGTGGAAATATTCTTAAAACATTTAAAGTAAAAATCCCCTCTTTTCTCTCCTCTCCACCCAGAGCCTCCATCTCTCTCCATCCATCCTTCCCCGCTGCCCCTCGCCGTTCCGGGTCAGACGGTGAACCTCCAGTGTGAAGCGTCGGGTTTCGCTCCGCTCCCTCTGGAGATGAGCTGGGAGTTTAAAGGAGCAGACGGGAAGTCCAGATCTCTGGGATCCGGCAGGATGTCGGGACACCGGCAGGCCTGGGACGGCACCTACAGCCAGAGCAGCCGGCTGGAGCTGGACACGTCCAAACTGGACCTGGGCCGAGGAGGGGAGGTCACCTGCGTGGCGGCTCACGCAGGAGGAACGCGACGGGCCAGCGTCACCCTCAACGTTATCGGTAAAAACTGGGAGAAACACCTACATTAAAATAAAACATCTTACCAAGTATTTTTGTCCAATGTCTGGTTCTAAGTAAATTAAACTGTTCAAAAATTTAATTAACATGATAAGATAATTATCAGCCTCCCAAAGCAGAAACTTGTCTAGGAAGCAGAGACGAGGTTGCAGTGCAACAATCAGAACAATACTTCAAAAAAGACAAACCCATAATTACATAAAAGTAACATCAATACCAAAGCAGGAGGAACTCGATCTTCCTGTCACTGCAGAGCTGCACCATCCTGCAGATTTAAAACCACTTTGATTTAAACACATATTTTGTGTTTTTTCTTCTTCTCAGGCTTCAGCAGCCCCTCCATCGAGGACTCCATGGCGATGGTCGGCGTGGCGCTGGTTCTGTACGGACTCATCAAGTTTGTGTCCTGGAGTTTCACTGGATCTGGTAGGAAAACAGTTTTCAGCTGTTTGAACTAAATAAAAAGCAGTTTTACTTTTTTTATTTGCTCTTTATTCAAATTTTCTGAATCTTTTGGTGATTTTAATGTTTTCTTTTTCTGCTTTCAGGGTCAAATAAAGCTGATGGAGAAGACAAGGTAATAAAATGTAGAACATGTTTTTATAAATGTATATTCTTCCATATGCCAGAGCAGCTGTTTTATGTTTTTCCTCTACTTACAGAAAGCAAAGTAAAGATGACAGAAGTCGACTGATTGGAAATTTTTTGAACCGGTGAAACTTTTCATGCTTTCGATGGGATTTTAGCGGCAGCTCCACGTCTTCATGCAGATTGCTCTTTCTCTTTTTCACAACCTGCAGTCTGTCGTACATCTGTGCAGAATTTAATGCTTGTATATTTCTAACGTTTTGTGGAATAAATTCCCTTTTGGGGGGAAATAATTTCTTCAAGGTTGAACATTTGTATGTATATATTTGACAGAAATTCTCCTTCATTTTTTGAGTTTGTTGCAAACACTGGAAATTGGCCATAAAGGAAAATGTGATTTAGGTTGCTGCTTTCAGGCTTCATTTAGTGGTTAAAGTCACCAGCTGAAAGTTAATTTGTTGGTTCTTACTGACTCTCCGACTGGCAGAGTGCAGAAATATGAAAAATACTGTACAAACAGAGTTTATCATTTTAATTCAGGGAAACTTTTGCTGTTATTGAATTTTGCATTTTCTCTGAAATAAAATTTTGAAACAACCACTTGCCTAATTTCCAGTTATTCATGTTTGAGCCTTTAAAGATTAAAAGCAGCATAAAGTGTATGGTGATGTTGCTGTCATGAATTTGCAACGTTTCATTTAAGACACAATGACAATCATGTTTTAAAGAAAGACAAAATGTTTTAAAATAAAATTTTAAAACTTCCGTGAATTATATATTAGTATAAGGTGTAGAAGTTTATTACAAGTCCATCATTGTAGATTGAAAAAGTTTGGTAAAATGGGAAACATTTAAGACAGCAATGTTCAGAGAAAATAACTATCTAAAACTATCTCAAACGGTATTTGATTGTTAAAGTGACTCATTTGACTTTAATCAGAACAGAAAAATCCTTTAAGATGACATGAAACATCAAAACAAAAACGTAAAATTACCTTCCTTTCCATCTGATATCCTTTCGTCAAGAATAACATGTAAATTTTCTAAACCATATTTTCAGCTTAGATGCAAAGATAAAAAGTAAATTGGATATTTTTTGTTCTGATTTAAAACTTTTTAGCCGAATTATAGTGCATTTACATTTACCAGCTGGTGTGCTGTTCCTGGCATTCTCCAGCAGGTGTCAGTCAAGCACATTTACAACGAAATGAAACCGTAAATAGAACTAGAATAACCATCTGTCCAATAACGGGCCACTTTACTCATTGTGTTTTATCCATCCACCAATCAGAGCCTTGGATGTTTGCCGTAGTTTAGCGGGTCTCGACTTGACAACATAGCCAAGTTTACAAGCAGTGTGTGTAAGTGTAGCAATTCTGATGGGATTTAAATATTATATTGTGTATTTTGTTTTATTAGTTAACTCTACAACACACAAATATCAACACGATTTTCGTAGTTTGGTACCGGCTCTCTGCCAGAGTTTGTTAAAATGCTAACTAGCTGCTAATGCTAATAAGAGCTAACTAGGAGCTTTCTTGCTCTGTGCTAGAAAGCGGTTTCTGCGTTTATTGTCATCCCAAACGGCTCCCTAATAGCAGGTGAGTGCATTATAATATGTCCTAAACGAGCTTTATCAAAGGCACATTTGATCGAGTTAATGGTTTTCTTTAAGTCTTCTACCAGTTTCACTTTATTGTAAAGTTTCTGTTTCTTATTGTTCTTCTACAGTATTGAACTGTTTAATATAACTGGTTATTGTTACTGACCTCACTGTCGTTCTGACAAAAATGTTTAATTAGTTATAACTCCCAGAGTAAACAGCTAATAAACGATTTTAGGGTTCCATAATCAAATTAGGTTTCATTGTTCTGCACCGAGTTTAAACACTGTTGAATTTGAGTAATTAACTGCAGAGAGATTCACACAAGTTGCATCTTGTGTGAATAGTTTCAATTGATTGAAACTATCAATTCTGATAGTTTCAATCCAGTTGGAAATAAGAAATTACAAAGTATACAGATTTATACTGTCTATTTTTGGCCAAATTAAGAAATTCAGTAACAAAATCACATTTTATTTTTGTTTTGAGAGCTCAAATGCTGGGGGTTATGTCTCTCAATCTGCACTAAAAAAAATCTGACACAAAATTTACATTCGTTTCATAAAGTTCTTAGATGTTTAACAAATTATCTTACATGAATGTTCTGCCTTTTTATGGTCAGTTTAGATGTTATAAGCTATGTTAGTTAGTTAAAAGCTACTGTATAATAAACCAGCAGAGAATAGTTTGCTTCTAAGCTAAAAACTTTTAGCTTTTATGTTTTTTTCCTCTCATTAAGTTTTTTAGTAGTTAGTTCTTAAAGGTTTTGTTTAATAATTGACAATATGAACTCTATTGACAATCTGTTTTGTTTAGTAATCACAATAAATGCACTCTAGGATGGACAAAGTGTGCCATCATTGTTGTCTTTTTCTAAATAAGCCTATTTTCAGCCTGTTATTATTGAATCCAGTGATATGATGCTCACTTGGCGTCTTGCATTTTACTGTTGTATTGATCATTTTCTCGCTCTTTCATTTTCTGGATGCAGAACCATTCAGTACTTAGATGGCGGTGGCTCCCGCCTCGATGGCCGACAAGATCATAGTCCTTGACGATGACGATGATGAAAATGACGTAGAGCAACGACCTCAACCTTCATCATCTGTGCATCGGCCCAAAAATGTGTCACTACCTAAAAATCAGCATCTGGTACAAACCCACAATACGCAGTCACCTTTTAGCTCAGCGAAGAAGAATACAAAAGCTCTGCAGGTCGAGAACCAGAAGCTTTTTGACGAGGTGAGAAAAACATTAGAAATACTTCAGTTTTTATTCACCATGGAGGTTTATATAAAAGCTTTTATTGTCATCTTACAGGCACTGAAGACTTCTTGTAAATATTAAAAAAGAGTAACAGAATTCATTAGAGCAAATATATTATGAGGTTAAGTTTTTAATTAGAGGTTCTGGTGGGCCAGCAGTTTAGAGCAAAAGTCTTCAAGCTGTTTGTTTTTCCAACTTACTCCTTATTAAAATATCATCATGTAACATTATAATATATAACTGTGTGTAAAGAGTTTCATTATTTGTAAAGCTGTTTCTGCAAGGATGTGTGCATGCTAGTTAGAGATGCTTTTCACTGTGAATACAAACAAAAACCTCCTTCATCTCAGCTCATTTGTCTGGTTGGACTTACTGGGAACTAAACCGTGTTTTTCATATTTGGCCTGCAGGATGTTAGGACAGCATCCAATATGCAAACATGTTGCTGTGATGATTTCTTTGTGATAAACAGAATTCAGCTTTAGGTTAATTGCAAACAAACTTATCATTTCCATTTCAATGACAGGAATGATTGAAAAAGTTGATTCCTGCTACATCTGATGTTTTAGAAAAGAAACACATTACTTGAAGTTTCTTTAATGACTTCATCAGAACATCTTTATGATGATTTCTGCTGCATTAAATAAGAAGAATCACCAATAATGTAACTGGATAACAGGAATGTTTGGTACCTAAAAGCATTTATTGTAGTTTTGGTAGTTCTCTGTTTGTTTTTTATTAACGTGGCCAATATTGTGCAGCTCTACTCCATAGTTAACCTTTTGCATAATCTCTATCTATTTGTCATTCTAATTTATTAAAATGCAACTCTGTCAGGAAGATCTTTGTTCTGATCAGGATGTTTACAGAGTCCTTAAACACAGGAGGAAATCTAGATTTAAAGCCAAAACTTTTTAAAGAGTTGTGCTCGATTTTACAAGATTTAGTCTTGATTTCAGTGTTTTTCACTCATATGTTTTAGAAATTAATGAATCGTCATCTTGTACTCATCTGAAACACTTTGGGTCACATATTTTGTTTTTAAGTGGTTCTGTAAATAAAATAATTTGACTTATTAAATCCCCACATAAATAGCTTTAATCTCTAACATCAGGTTGTTTTGTTTTATGATAAAAAAATAAACAAACTGAAAACATCTCTGCAGAGGTTAATAATTAGTAACTGTTTGTGATTGGCAGATTAAAATAAAAACTTTTAAACTGTTCAGATGATGCACTTTGTCTTATTGCAAATATCTTTCTCATATTGTTGTCTAGTTATTTTTTTTTTACATATACCTGTTGAAAATCTTAGTTTTCTTTTGCAGTTTGAAATGATTTTGGCCAATTGTGTCAAACTGAAGGCCCGTGGGCCAAAACTGGCCCGCCGCAGATATTTATGTTTCTAGAAATTTAAGATAATTGTTGGGTTTTTAAGTATTATTTTATCAGTCAAATCAAATGAGTTTTTATTTGCATAGTGTTAAATCGCATCAATGTAAAAAGATGTTAAATATTATTCAGTTTAAGAAATACTAACTGAATACAGAGAATACTAAAATATTTTAACTGTTTTAATAGTTTTATAAGTACATTTTTCCACCACCATCCCTTTAAGGAAATTCATGACCTTGAAGTGGCCGAAAGTGGAAATGAGTTTGAATTTATTGAATTTTAATAATCTGTTTAATTAAAGTTCTCCTGTTCTGTCCTTCCTGTTTGCTCCAGTTTGTGCAGCACTGCACTCCTCTCACCACCGAGTGCCCAGAGGTCCTGACCTTCCTCCAAACCAAGCACAGCAAGGCCTGTCCGGACTACCTCTGCTCCGTGGAGTTCAGGAACGCTCTGGGTCAATGTCTGACTCAAGCTCAGAGCAACGTCACCAAAACATTCGTCTATATTAGCGAACTGTGCACCGTGTTGAGGCAGCACGCCGTGAAGAGGAGGCAGACACTCAGCAAGGTGGAGCCCTCTGCTTCTGAATCAGGAAATCATCAGTCTACCTCCACATCACTCAAAAGCAAAGATAAGACGAAAGGAAGGACACCGGAGGAGGAAGATGGTGTTAAGTCAGAGGAAGAGGCACAGCCTTCAGGAGAGCCGGGGGAAACCAAGGAGGAAAATCCAGAAGCTGACAGGAAAGCCAGGAGGGCGCTAAGGAAACAGGTCAGGTCTGCTGCTAAACACGGCTGCATGATCTGCCTTTTTATTTCAGAAAAGTGAATAAAAACAACAAAAAAAAAAAGGATTGTCTTTGTGTCTGAATTTCAGATTGCGTACCTGGAGAACCTGTTGAAGCTTTACAACGATGAGATTTACCGGCTGCAGCAGGCGGAGCTGAGCTTAGACGACATGGAGGCGGAGGACTCCACCTACATCCAGGAGCACAAACTCAAGAGGAAGGTCTGCAGACATTTTACAGATTCACTCACAGATTCAGGCTACAGTCACAGCTACAGTCACAGCTACAGTCACAGCAGGCCCTCATGCTCAGCTCCAATGTTTTGCTAAAATCAGATTTTTATACAGTCATTCATATTACTAATTAAATCCAACCACAATCTGGCTTCTGTGTGAACGGTTTCAAAGTGACCCGCATGACCAGAAGAAAATAGTTTACATCACACACCAGCACATTGTTTATGGAAGCAATACTGCATGGAGCTGTTTATGGATTGAAGTTGTTGAGCAACAGTATCATCACAAGATCATAACAAGACAAAGAAATCTAATAAACATGAAGCATAACTAGAAGCAGCTGCTTTTTGTGGATCATTTACCTCTGAAGTCTGTTTGAATGTGTAGTCAGAACCAAGAGTTGCCTGACTGATCGTAAAACAAACTTCTCTCATTAGTTCGTAATCATAATTTTGAGTCATTGTTTACGTCCAGATTGTTTGGCTTCTTCTGGTGCAGAAGTTTGTCTCACATCAGTGACATAAAAACAATCAGAAGTGGCACAAACAGGATTTTTCTTTGGGGCTGAAAAGTTTATAACTGGGTCGGTCAGGCTGCCATGCCAAGTCTGGTATTGGTTGCATCTGGGCCAAAAAAGTGGGTTTGGTTTTCCTGTGCCTGCAGTCTGAACCATAAACTGATGTTTTAAATCATCTAGCGTCTTTTTTTCTTCTGCAGATGATGAAGATCTATGAAAAGCTGTGTGAACTGAAGGGCTGCAGCTCACTAACAGGCCGAGTGATTGAACAGAGGATCAGATTCACTGGAACCCGCTACCCAGAAATCAACAAGAGGGTGAGCTGATTTAAATCATCTCATTCAGTAGAAATCCTACAACACATCACTGATAACCCGGATTATAATCCCAGTTCAATTAGTGACGGTCCAGTTTGTGCTGCACAGATTGAGCGCTTCATCAACAGCCCAGGGACGCAAAACAGCCCCCCAAATTACTCAGACATCCTGCATCAGGTGGAACGAGCGAACAAGCGCCACCGCCTTTGTTTGAACGCGGAGCAGCGGGAAGAGGTCGCCCGGGAGGCGTTCACGGAGACGGGAAAACGCGTGCAGGAGCGGCGCCACCTGGATCTGGTCTACAACTTCGGCTCGCGCCTCACAGACACCTACAAGCCTGGTGAGACCCGGAGTTACTCCTTATGTCTGAAAGAGCAGAAGAAGAATCAACGCTGGGAGTTTGTTTTTTCATGTCAACACAACGGAGAGAAACTGAGTTTAAATGACAGGAAAGTTATGGCAGGAAATGTCTTTATCAGCAACAGTAGCTGTTTTAGAATTAGGGTTATGTAATTAGTAGGCCTGTCACGATAACAGATTTTGCTGGGCGATTAATTGATTTATCATTTATCGCGACAGGTCTAGTAATTAGTGTGTTGCGCAAACAATTTGTCCGAGGAATCACTTTGAATATTTAAATCCCTGATAAGAGGATCTGATATAAATGTTAACCCTCACAGCAGTAGTTCAGTGAATGTCTAATTGCATTTAAATCATGTGGAAAATCATAAATAATAAAATCCTAAGAAAAGAAAGTTTTTCTCTGATTGAACAGTTTTGATTCAAAGCAAAAGAATCCATTAAAGATTTAATTTTTCTTATATTTTCAAATGATTTTTTACTTATTCCATTTATAAATATTTTGGTAAAATGCGTCTGCAGGAGAATTTGAATCTTTATCTGTCTTGCTCAACCCAAATGATTCTATCTGACTTGTGTTGCAACAAGGGAGCAGAGTGACAGCAGTAAAGGTCATGCTGACACTTTAATGTCACAATACTCTTGATTTGAAATCCAGAGTCTCTATGTAAAATATAAAAAATAACCTCAAATGAAAGCATTTGAATTATTGTTGCCGTTTTGCTTTTTTTTTTTAAAGCTCTTTTCCTTCCATCCTGTTTGTTTCCTCTCTTTCCTTCCGCAGCGACGGACCCGGCTCTGATGGACCCGTCTCTGCTGAAGAAGCTGCGCTCCAACAGGATCACGGCTTTATCCCGTCTGGAGGACGTCATCAATAAATACGCTGTGAAACAGGACATGGTGGACAAGGAGAAGCTCAGGATGGACAAGGAGGTGAAGGAGGAAACAAGAACATTTACAAATTAGTTTGGAGTCTTTTCACTGGAACAAACGTCATAAAGTTTGGATTTATGACAAAGATGCTGAAATAACTCTAAGATCTCTAATGTCCATTATGTAATCCCTTAAATAAAGAGGGACAAATATGAACTAGTTCAAAAACAAACGTACATTTAAATGCAGCTGATAACTGAATCTGCTCTATTTCCAGAATCAAAAAGTAGGAGAGAAATCAAAGACCCGGCAGACAAACGGAGCAGCTCAGGATGAGGAGGATGAGGAAGATGACGGGGATGAGGATGAGGATGAATCTTCAGACCCGGACATAGAGACAGAGATCGAGGCCAGCACTCAGCAGCACGGCGCAGGTCAGAGCCAAGACATTACTCTGATGTTATAAGATCTGGACTGATCAGAGAAATGATCTGATGCACATTTTCAGTATCGGTAAATACATAAACATGCATGATGTCATGGGTAATTTCACTTTTTAATTCATTCTTTTCAAAGCATCATTTTGACTTAATATTAATCTTTTGCTTGAAAGCTTGATTTGATTATTTCTGTAACCTCAGGTTGTAGTTTCATCCTGCAGGAATCTGCATAAAGATTCTAGATAAGTTATTAATTCTGTCAACTTTAGGAACGGATTCTTTCTTTAGGCAAATTGATTTATATTTTCACAGTGAGGTTATATCTTTTTCTTTTTCAGTTTCCACTTCTCCCCTTTTTTCTGGTTCAACTTTTTCTCTAAACTTCCCGTTTAACGGCAGCATTGTTGTTACACTTCCCCATATTTCACTGTAACACATAGAACGGGGGATTTTTTTGCTATTTAAGGGAATTTCTAAAACAGATCATAGATCCATGTAGAAGACAAATATTTGTTCAGTAAATCTGCTTTACTTGCAGAACATCAGCAGAACTTTTAACTGATATGTTTGGTTTTTTGGCCTGTATGAAGGAGTAAATAACTGTTTTCCTGAAGTATAATTGCTTTTCATTGTTTGACAAAGGTATTCACTCCTGTGAAGCTTTTATATATTTTATTCACAAACATTAATGTATTAAAAGTTTGTGAAATTCAGTGGAAGAAGGATGTTAACTAAAGGGAACAAAACTTACATTTTGCACATTTTTGTTCTTCCAATTGGTTTTCTACTTCTGAAATCATTCCGGCTGTTTTTAGCAGTTATTCAATGTTTTTGGTGTCTGGAAAATGAGCAGAAATCTCCCAGTTGTTAATTCACATTTGATGGATATTGAGTTGTTTCACAGTAACTGCAGTGGAGCTCCAGCAGGTTTGCCCCTCGGTTTTTACAGCTGTATTTGTTGTACAATGGCTGCCGGAAAAGACTTACCATCCAGAAATCACTTGCTGCTTCTTTGTTGATTGCACAGGAGGTTCTACTAATGCTTTTCAATGATGGACTGCTGTATAATTGTGAATCTTTTTGCTACCATTGGATTAAAAACCAGCTCATTCTGAAAGGTGTTCAAAATACGCTATTTTAACGATTTAGTGAGATTCCCTATAGTCACCTTAAAACACTTCTCTCTGCAGATGACGATGATGATAATGAGGAAGACAACAATAACGAAGCAGATGAAGACGGCGACGACAACAAAGAGGATCAAAGGTTGGACGAAACAGGAAGCACAAAGGATGAAGACGATCCGACGTCCGATGAAACTCAGATCTCGCCGATGTCCGACATCCGGTCGCCCAGAGACAGCCCCAGCCAATCAGAGTCCATGCAGACAGACGAACAGCCGCCATTGTCCAATGAGAGCCCAGCGGCTTTGCAGCAGTCTGAGGACTCGTCCAATCAGGTGCCAGGGGTTCCTGAAACGGATGACCCCACAGATCTCCCATCATCCCCTGCAGCAGCAGTAACCAATGGGAGTCCTTCGCCGGAGCAAAAAACTGTCACAGTGGAACAAAGCGACACGCAGACGATCAACGGTACGTCTCCGGATCCCGGCCCCAGAACCACCAGGAGCAAGAAGAGGAAGAGGGAGGAAATGATGTCATCAAACTCCAGAAGCACGAAACAGAAGATGAGTTCTGACAGGTAGGACTGCAGGATGAGACGACCAGAAGTATTTAAATCTTAGGAAACATTCAAAATAAACTGTCAGGAAAATGTTTTTAACTTGAGCAACAGTTTGTTTTATTTTGATCCTCTGTGTTTTGTTCTTCGTCCTCAGCGACGCAGACATCCCTCTGGACATGGGCGTCATTTGCTGCGGTTCTCCACAGAAGGAGGAATCGTCTGCACTCGACACGCCCACTAAGAACCCGACCGTCAGCGTTCAGTCGACGCCGCCGCCCAAAAAGAACAAGGTGCAGAAACAGACAATCAAACAAAACAACGCAGGAAAATAAAGAAATAAAAACTCATAACCTCACAAACAGCCTGTTCAGTGTAGAAATCATGATAATTTCACACAGGAACTTGCTGAGTTGAGAGATCAATTATATTTATTACTTTTAATAACAATATATTTGTTAAAATCAGTCAAAGTTGTTTTATTAGTCATATTATTAGTGGTATTGATTTGAGCTGAAATCAGAGGAAAAAGGCCTGAAAACTGGACTAACCAGGAAAGGTCAATATTTAAAACAAATAACTGATCAATAATTATTGATATTGGCTGATATGAAATGCTTACATGGTGAAAAGTTTTTCTGCTGAGTCGTCCAGATCTAGTCTGGACCGTTTGGAGGAGGTCGTCTCCTTTTGGTACCAGTCGAACTTTAGAGCGGTTTGTTGACGTTTGACCCGATCCGACTCAGCTGCCAGGTGTTTCCTTCCAGCTGGAGTCAAACGCCTTCCTGCAGCCGGGTTGCATTGTGGGACGCGGTAGAGGAAGCAAAGGCTGCACGTCTTTTCTTTAAAGGTTGCATGGATCCTTCCATTACCTTTAGTAATCTGTGTTTTATTGGCTTAGACCACAGCATCTGTGTTTATATTTACATCTGGTTCTTCTAGACCAGTCAACAGACTAGAACGGTTCTGGTTCACTTGGACTTTTCTCTATGTGAAAAGAAGCAGAACCACTGGAGAAAACTACTAGTTAATAACCTGATTCAGACCAAAGCAAAAGAACTGAGGATGTAAAAACTGTCCAAGATGCACAGCCTTCATGTTTGGTTCTGTTGATAAAAGAGAAACTACCATCTTCGAGTCCAGAACCTCCCAGAATCATTTTATCGGCCCAGACTGTTTGTGTTGCTGCTGATAAACAGCTGCTGATTCTGCTGAGTCATTGAAGGAGGCAATAATTACCCCCAGATTACGACTGATACACTTCTGTATCTCTAGGCAGGTTAAACAACAATTACAAGTAGTTACAGAATGAAATAGTTATTAACTGAAGTCTAACAGATGGAAATAATTCCAGATTCTACATTAAAATACGGGGCATATTTTCATATTGTAAGTTTTTGAATCTGTTTATTAAAGTCTTTCTTTCTGGCTTTCTGGCCTGTTTTCAGGTTAACGTTGCGACTCAGTGCGACCCAGACGAGATCATCGTCCTGTCGGACTCGGACTGAAAACAGGAACACGTTGATTTTCCAACGGTCTCCTGAAAATAGGATGACCTCTGCTGACCCTGGAGAACTGGAAGGAGATGATGATCAGGGTGCAGTTTTTGCTTCCTGCCAGCAGGGGGCGCTGTGATTGGTTTTCACTGCAGACCTCCAGATGATGCCTTGGTGGAGAAGACATTTTTATGACGTGGGTTTCAGTTTCTGCAGGGATGAACTTCTGTCTGAGGGTGATGAAGAGGAGGAGGAGGATGATGAGCTGAACGGTCGGACATGTTGAGTTTTCCTCCTTGAAGGACCTCAGTTCAGGGAGCGGCTTATCTGTTTACATTTTCTACGTTTTCTCTGCAGACAGCAGGCGGGTTTGGGTTTGTATAAATTAGGATTTCTGATATTCATCTTCCTGATTTTCTGTTTGTGCTGCTGGAGGCGACAAACTGCGAGGCGATTGGTCGAATGTTTGACGTAGCAGCAGAAATACGTTAGTCTCATTTTCCTCTCTCCCCCTAAAAGCAGATTTTACCACAGAGTCAATAAACAGCTCGCCATAAAATACTAAAACAATCAAATTTCAACTTTTTGTCATCAAATATTTCATTTACATTTTTAAGTTGCTGTAGATTTCAGACTTTGTTCTCCCTCTGTTGGTTCTTCCTTTAAAAATGTGTGAAAGCACATAAAAAAATCAGGTTATAAGATGTAACACAATCTGATTGTTTAATAAAAATTTTATTTACTAACATGAAGGGATATTCTCACATAGATTTTTTCAGCTTGTTTTCATGTCTTGCCTGCGATGGCCTGTATGGGCCACCGTAGATAGAAAAAGGTCTATTTTCAGAAAGTTTGAGATGAATCTCACATTTTCTAGGAAAAACAAGGACACGTCTGAGTTTGAAAAGTTGAAAATTTTCCAGAAACAAATCTGGAATCTTGAGATGAATCTCTAATTCCTGGAAAAAAAAACTTGAAAATGGACTTTTGGAGTTTCAAAAGTCCAAATTTTATACCTGAAAATTTTTCTAAGAAAATTGTCCCAGGTCTTTTTCCTAGAAAATTTCTGGGATTCATTTCAGAATTCCTGATTTTTTTTCCTGGCAAATATTTTGACTTTTCTAGAAATAAACTACCTCCCGACTCCGTTAGGGAGAAGGGTGACCGGAAAATGGATGGATGGATAGAAATAAACTTAAAATATCTGGGATCAATCTGATGTTTTGTTTTTTTCTTTGAAATTTTCAACCTTTCAAACTCAGAAATGTCCACTTTTTTTTTTTTTTATTCTGGATTTAGTCTCAAGATTTCTTAATTTTTTTCCTGGACATGTAAACTTTAGTTTCTATCAGCATTGACCCGATTGATACTTTTCCCTTCTGCAGCCGACACTGAGCATTAAAGTAGCCAACATACCACCTGTTTGCAGCTGAATGTTTTTACACCAAAATGTAAAAAATAAATATTCCTGGATGCTTTGCATAAAATATTCCTTAAAATCTGATTGGCAGATGGAAAGTAATAATTTACATTTCCTGTTGATCCCTCATGATCCTGTTGCTCTGTGCAAATCAGAAATTAGATATTAAATCTACAGAGGATCAGTTTCTTTTGCAGGGGGGTTAAAATTAAAACCTCTACAGTGTCATTAAGAAAAATTGCAGGATTTATGTTTGTTCGGTAAAAACAGAGAAACTTTGAAAACATTCATTAAATTAGGGAGGCAGAAATCATATTTTAGACTTAATTAATTTAGGCTAAATTATGGTTTATTAATCTAAATGAAGCTTAAATGATGATTAAAACTTAAAGATGGTATAAAAATGTTGATTAGTACCTGTTATTTTTATTAAATGTTAAAAATTTTCCCACTATCATCAGAAATCCCTTTATTGTTTTTAACGAAGTGTTTTTATTCTGTCCTGCTGAAAGAGCTGAACTTTCTGGTTTGTTTTTTTTTAATCCCTGGATTATTTTTAGATCTGCTGTTGTGTATCTGCTGGTGGGTTTGAATGTCTTCAGGTTTTTTTTTTTTATCCCAGTAAAACCTTTAGTGATTAGGTTTTACCTTGTAGGTGAATTTCTCTTTCTGGGGGTAGAAGCTCTTTTCAGAGTGAAAGGATAAAGATGTGAATCGTTGTTTCTGCTACAGACTCTCCTCCTCTGTCCAGAGAAATTTTCTTTCACTCACTGTGAAATATTTTCCTTTTTTTTTACTTTGATATGCAGATAAATAATAAAACTTGCTATAAAACACGTTCTGTGTCTTTCATTCTTAAATAATGTGTGGTATATTTTATATCAATAGAGTTGTTTGAAGAAAAACCTTCATTTTGGATATTTTGAGCCGTTTAGAGATGAACTTATTAGCACAGTAACCCAACTGGGCTTCATGATTTTTAGATACTTTCCTGTAGGATTTTCTGGTAGAAAGCAGATTTAAGTTAAACATAAAAAACATTAAATCAATCCAGACCAAAGAGTTTTTTAAAATAATTTATTAGTCCATAATATCAGTACATGGAAGAGGTTAATATTGATGCACTGGAATATTTTACATGATTAGCTCATGATTTTCTGCACAACAATCAGCTGGTCAAATGAAGACTTTAATTTACAAAACATGAAATGATTTATTATAATTTTCAGTGGCAGATTTCAGCTTTATGTAGTGAGCGCTCTGTCTGCAAGAGAACATCTTGGAGACAACAAGCTGCACAAATATTCTGTTTCTTTAACCTTAAACTGATCAAATCTTTGGTTCAGGATGTTTTCTTATCTTTATGATTTTAAATAAATATTTTTGTTACTGCATTTAGACACTCCATGTGTTGTATCAGTTTTTACTTCAATCTGACTTTGTAGAGACATTCTTACTAAACACAAAGTAAATTTCCTCCACTTCTTACCCAAATATACAAATTATGTTGTGCTTTCATCATGACTCACATTAATCTCTTTATGCAAATATTAACAGTGTTGGTGCAACATGATGGGTTCGCTGCACTCATCAGAAACATTTCATTCAGTTTCCTCTCTGATGACCACAGAGGATCCACTGCAGAAATCACCAACACTCAGAGCAAAACGTGGAAACCAAACTGAACCTTCACAGAAGGTAAAACACAAACTTACAGCATCTTCAAAGGCTTCAGAAGTGTTTCATTTATTAAATAAAAATCAGAGCTCATCCACACATGAAATAGGTTTCTGTTTAGTGTTAATAAGAAAAAAATATATATGACATTTTGAAAATTGATCTTCACATTTCTATTTCCAGGTAGTAACAGTACCAGCGACAGCCACAAGGGGCAGACTTCTGCAAAAAAAATATTAAAAGCAAAGAGGAAAAACTGATTTTAAATATGCGATTAGTGTTAATATGTGTTTGATATGTTCTGCTATATTAACGTGTTTCTGTCTTCATATGTTGCGGCTTCCTCCGCCTGAGAGAATCTATCTGAATGTATCTAAACAGCGCCCTCTGGTGGACAGTTTAGTACAAATACAAAATAAATCTGGTGTAAAGTTTGCATGCTAAATAAATATGAAACTGCTTAAGTTATTCACATGAATGTGTTTTAGTAAATGTGTCAATAAAATGAATGATTCTGTACCGGTGTCTGATTAAATAATAAGATAAAGATAATTAAAAACAGAAGCAGATACAAAAAAAAAAGAAACCTCAGAATAAGTGTAATAATGTCTGATGTCACCAAACATATTATTATAATCTAACACAGTTTCATTAAATATGCAGCACAGAGATGATAATCCTACCAGAACGGAGCTGGGAAACTACAAGCTCACATTTTAATCAGATTAGTTTCAATACTAGTTAAAAAATAACTGATTTGTTTTTATCTCTGTGTTTAAACCCGAAAGATAAAGATTACTTTGAAACCTTCCATAACATTTATTTTCTCTAATTAAATCTTTAAAATTTAAGTCTAATGACCTTTTAAAGTTTAAACTGATTATTTCTTCATAACAAAATCAATACTTCAGCTCAAAATGAACCAAATCACAGCTTTTTCCATCAAAATGCACTTAGATCAACACATTATATTCAAAACAAGAGCAATAAGACACAAAATAACACATAAAATCTAGTTTATATTATTAATATCTATATTATGTACTTGAAACAAGGTACAAGAATCTATTTAGATTTTCTCTAATTAGGCCAAATATCAAAACACAAATATAAATACTGTAGGCTGTTTTATAATTGTAATCGTTCTAGTTTATTAAATTTATTGTTAAACTAGAAGATTTATGTGTGTAAAAAACCCAAAATTTATTCATATACTTGTAATGAATATATATCATATTTTAAAATAATTAATATGCTCCCATGCAGATGATGATGTAAACAAATCAGAACTAAAACAGGACCTGAAAATCAACTGGGATGCTAAAAACTAGAACATATGATAAGAAAAACTATGAAACATGATGTTAATAATAATAATTTTAATAAATTATGCTTCTAAATTACCAGTTTTTTTCCTTTCCTGAACAACCAGCTGACATTAAGGAATCACTTTATTTGTTCAAAACACGAGAATAAAACTCAACTATAAATTGTTTATAGTACATATATTTAAATATGTATAGAAATAATATCAACATTATTATTTTCAAGGTGCTAAAGCTGAAAGAACAAAGGTAGAAAGTTAAAACTGTTGCTCTGTCGCCCCCTAGTGGGGGATATTCATGTAAAGCTGGAAAGTTTTGATTTTTTTCCAATTTTATCATCAAAATTTAAGCTTTAAAAAAATCACAAACCTGGAAAATATCTTAGAATAATCCATGAAAATGCATGACTGAGATTAATCTGGATGAATTATGAGTAACAGTTTAATCTGTAGAGGAAAAATCCTGCTGCTTCCTGATTTATAATAAAAACATGAATGTAGTTTAAATGTTTTATTTCTAATCAGTCTTGCAGGTTTTATCTGAGCACAGCAACAGGTCACGAAACGGAGCTGCAGAGGAATCACAGCATCTGGAAACAGAAACCAGCAGCCTTCTGGTTTCCCCTCAACAAACAGAGAAGAAAATAAACTTTTATCTTAGAATATTTGAAGTTTATTCAGAGGCGATGGTCCGTTCTGATGAGGCCATTTTTCATTTCTGTTTGTGCAAAAGAACCGGGTCATTTAAGACTAAAGGAACTGAAACAGAACCACCATGAAGGCCAATCCGAATCTCCAGGTTCTTCCGGTCCTTCAGATCCAACAGGAGTTTCAACAAAGTGCAAATTCCTCTTATTTCATTTTCTTTTTCCAGGATAAAACAGCAGCAGGAACCATCAGAACCACCAGAACCATCAGAACCTTCCGAACCATTAGAACCATCAGAACCACTAGAACCATTAGAACCTTCAGAACCATCAGAACCACCAGAATCTTCATAACCACCTGAACCTTCAGAACCACCAGAACCATTAGAACCTTCAGAACCATCAGAACCACCAGGACCTTCAAAACCATCAGAACCAATAGAACCGTCAGAACCATCAGAACCTTCAGAACCACCAGAACCATTACAACCACCAGAACCATCAGAACCACCAGAACCATCAGAACCATCAGAACCACCAGAACCATCAGAACCGGGCTCCCATTGGTTCCCTCAGCTCTGGTTTAAGTCACGCTGCTTCCGTCTGCGCTGACCTCACACACGTCTTCCTCACACACACCTGGAGCCAATCCCAGCCCTCCGAACATTCCTGACCCGTGATCCGGACCCGGACTCTGGGAGACGACGCCCAGCACGGTGGCAGCGGCCATGGTGTTGCCCTGGTGGCTGCTTCCTGCGGAGGAGCCGCCATGTTGTCCAGCAGCAGCTGCAGAAGCTCCTCCTCCTCTGGCTGCTCCTCCCTGACCTCCGTCAGCAGCAGACAGCAGCAGGTGGGTGGAGCTGTTAAAGTCCGGGCCTTCCTCTCCCCCTCCTCCTCCTCGCCGCCCTCCCTCCCCGCCCCCCGCTGTGTCGGCGCCGCGCCTCTCGCAGTGCGAGCGGTGCCTCATGAAGCTGTCGCGCCACATGAACTTCTTGCCGCAGCCCAGGCAGTCGTAGGGCTTGAGGCCGGTGTGGGTCTTCATGTGCTCCGTCAGGTGGTGCTTCATCTTGAACTTCTTGGCGCAGACGGGGCAGTGGAACGGCCGCAGGTCCAGGTGCATGTTGATGTGCCGGTCCCGCATGCTCTTGTGGGTGAAGGTTTTCCCACAGTGACACATGAACACCTTGGCAGTTCCTCCTGAGCCGCCGCCGCCGCCGGCTCCGCCTGCGAGCCCGCCGCCGTCAGAACCCTCCGGACCCAATCCGGTCTGCAGCGGGACGGCGCCGTGCTCCAGGCCGGGCGTTTTGAAAGAGGCTCCGCCCATCATGCCGGCGGCCACGCCCAGCGGCGGAGCGGCCGGGTCCAGGGCGAGGCCGGACGCCTGGCTGTACAGCAGGATCTGGTTCCCCTGCATGTCCAGAGGGAAGAGCTGCGCCCGGGCCGAGGCCGCGGACTGGACCTGACCCAGCAGGGCCGACACGGCCCGGTTGGCGCTCTGGTTCTGACCCGCAGCGCCGTCATGAAGGTGCTGGGCTAACGTCTGCTCCATCAGGCTGCCCTCAAACTTGAGGTAGTCCTCTGATGACTGGCAGTAATCCAGCTGCAGGAAAAGGTCAGAGGTCAGATCTGTTATTAAATCATAGAACCGATTCTAGAAAAGCATGACCATGGCATGAAGCTGCCACTACCGTGCTTCACCATAGTGATGGAATCCTAAAGCTGTAGTCTGTAACTTTTACAATAAAAGATTTTTTTACTAATGTGTTGAAACTGTCATCAAGTTGTGACTATGTTATATGAGACAGATTAACTCTTCCAGCGCCGACTAGAACCAACCAATCAGAGCCAGGCGGCGGGTCTTAGCGCTGACAATCATCCTCCCTTTGGCGCTGCTAGCATAGTCTAGATGTAAAAATCTTTTTTAAAATAAAAGTAAAATATTACAGCTTTAAGTTCCACAGAATATTTAACTAAATTCACAGTTTTGAATATCTTACACAAACTAAAATAAAAAATCTGGTGTTCAGTTTGTAAGTAGAAAGACAGAGGGTGTCTGTTTACTTTAGGGGTGGCATAATAAAGGGGGCTGGGTAAAAAGGAATGCCACACTTTTCAGATAATTTATTGTAAAAACAAAATTACAATCATTTATTTTTATTTTTATTTTTTCCTTTTATAAAATCCTAATCCTGTTTGTAATTTGCCTCGTTAAAGAAAACGTTGTGAATAGTTTCAGATTAAAGGAACCGGGTTCTGGTACCGGCCGACCTGTGAGTCCATGTCGCTCTCCGCTCGGCCCGCCAGCTCCGCCGAAAGGCTCCTGATGTTGGAGATGTTGAAGTTCCCTCTGTCCCGTTCCCTGACCAGCTCCATCTCCCTCTCGTCTTCGTCCTCCTCGTCCTCGCCGCCCTCCTCTCCGGACACGACGATCAGGTCGTCGTCCTCTGTCCGCTCCGTCTTCACCACCACCCACTGCTTGCGCGGCATGATGCTGGGCTGGCTATAGGTGGGACGCTTCTGCAGCGCCGCCTCAGAGTTCTCCCCGTCCTGCAGAGGACCGGGATGTAAAACACGATATTTATTACTAAAGATTATTTTAGGAACCGATTATTCTGATGATTAGAGGGACAAAATAAATTGCCACATTCTGCAAATGCTTTTTCAGAATGTGGCAATTTGTTTATTCTTTCAAAAACATTGAAAGAATAAACCAATAATTCCTTTTTTAAATAAGAAAAATGAACATTTTGTAGCCTAAAATGCAATAACAGCATTCTTTTAGTGTTTTTTGTATATTTCTTAATTACTGCCCTGATTAGTTAATAATTATTTCATTAATCATAATTCCAGCATCTGACCTGATAGGAGGAAACGCCGAAGCTGTCGCTGACTCCGACCTCCTGCTCCAGCACTGAGCTGACTTTCTTCCTCCTGCCGCTGCCTCCTCCTCTTCCTCTCTTCCTGTGGTGGTACATGGCCTCCTCCTCCTCTTCCTCGCCCTCCTCCTCCTCTATGAGCAGGGCCTCCTCTCCCCCTGATGGGGTGCAGTAGCTGGGGGTGTTACTGGCCCTGCCTCCGTCCAGAGAGGCCCCCCCGGCCGCTGCGCCTCCCCCCAGGAAGCTGCTCCCGTCTCGGGGGCTGAAGTAGTTGGTGCTGCTGGGCGACTGGCTCTCGCTCACCGAGGGCCGGCTGGAGGGTTGGGGGACCCTCTGGGGGTCGTTGGGCTCTCCAACCGGGACACCACCTGTGCTCCCAGTCGCACCAGTTTCAGTGTTGCTGCTGCTGCAGCCGGGATTGGCCGAACTTCCTCCTCCACCTGCTGCGTCCTGCGCTCCTCCTGCTCCTCCTGCTCCTCCTGCCGCTGCGGCGCGGCCCTCCTTCAGCAGCTCGGTGCATTTGTCCACGATGTGCCACATCTGCAGCACGCTGCCCACCGTGAGGTAGTTAACGATGTCGTCACGCAGCATCCGGAGCTGGCCGGTGTAGGCGCAGCTCAGGACGCTCTCGAACGCCAGCGGGTCCATCACCGCGGGGATGGAGACCGTCGACATGTTCTTCAGCAGCACCTGGAAAAGGTCAAAAGGTCAGAGTTAAGCTGCTTCAAGATCGGAGGGGGCATTTATTATGAAAACATTTAGATTTATCACTGATTCACAATAAATTCCAACTATTGTTTAAAATTTCCCAAAATCACTTTACCTGACGCCACATATGGAAGGTTCTGTGTTTTTATCTGCTCCAAATTTGTAAAGCATTTATAAGACAAAGATTGTCGATAAAAGCTTTTTTTTTTTAAATAGCAAATGGAGATTTCTCATTTAAAGGTTTTTGTATCATTTATTGTGATAAATGTCTGATTTTTATAACATTTTGATACGTCGTCATGATAAATTATGATGTGTCAAAACCACTTTGCTTAAAGCCTGATGTTAGACACTGTATTGTTATCACCACTAGGGGGCGCCAACTTTGTGAAACATTTATAGGAAAGTGAAAGCTCGTAAATAAAAACATCTTAAGAACAGCAAAAAAGGATTTTCCATTTTAAAGGTTGTAAATACAGTTAAAAAGTCTTAATATGTCTAAATCTTAATATGTCTAAATCTTAATATGTCTAAATCTTAATATGTCGTCACTGAGCTAAAACACGGCAGTGGCAGTTAAAGATGGACATTTATCATTTATCATAATAAATTTGTCATAAGATTTTCATTTTTCTTTGTCACAATAAATTCATGGTGTTTAAAATCCGGATTGTAAGTTTATTACTTTTCTCCAGTGTTTGTTGAATAAAGTTGTTTCAATACATTTGAAAATATGATTAAAATGATTTAAAATTATTAAAATGATTAAAATCATGTACGATTAAATGAAGTTGCTTTGTGCATATTAATGTGACTAGTGTAACTTGTAATTGTGAGGCTATGATTGCTATTCCATGCAGCCACAACTGTAGTTACATAAAACAAGAAATTAAAAGTTATTGAAATTTGTTTTATCACAATATTGTCATAAAATATTGTGATAACAAATTAAGTCCATATCTTCCACTCTTACTTCAACAATATTCATTTTAAGTAAATATGATTGAAAAATAAGACAGTTTATGATTTATTATCACCACAAGAATGAAAACATGACATAATTTATTCATAATTCATAGAAAAGCAAACATTTAGCTTATTTTCTAGCATTCAAATCTTCATATAAAGACTTGTAATTAATTATTTGATTGTCTCAGAACCATTTGGGTCAAACTCGCCCACCTGATCGTGGAAGTATGGCGAGGACGCGGCCAGGACGCAGCGGTGCGCCTTGAAGACGTGTCCCTGAACGTGGATGGACAGATCGCACAGACTGCCGTCCTCTCTCTGCCGGTTCAGGCTGTCCAGCACCGAGGTCTGAGCGCCGGGGAAGCTGACCTCCACCGCCGACCCGCCTGAGCCGCTGCTGCTCCCCACCTTCATGGGAACCGACTGCATCTGCCGGAGGAAAACTGTCAGAACACAGGAGTCTGAAACCATCAAGACTCTTTGTTGAAGATTTTATGTCAGTGTTAATGATTTTATTTTCACTTCCCCTGATCTCTCATTGGGCGTACCACAAGGCTTAATTCTGATACCTGTTTTTTTTTTACTACTCTGTTTTTTCCCCTGCGTTTGCATCTCAATCTCATCACAAGGGATCCTGAGCTTTGTCCTCATTCGAAACGCAGGCTACACTTTGCAGTGGTCACGACTCCATCACAGAGACACACACTCACCTTTAAGACTCATTTTAAGAAACCAGTTAACCAAACAGACGTGTTTTGGACAGCAGAGGAAGGGAGAGTACCTGGAGAGAACCTATGCATGCACCAAGAGACCATGCAATCTTTATGCAGAATTTGTGTTCAGTTACAGTCCCATCCATATTCAGCTACTGGTCTCTCTAACTAGAAATTTAAATGTCAAAACAAACAATTACTGCTTTGAAGCAAAAGTACAGTTTACTTCAGTTCAGCTGAGGAAAAGAAACATTTTTCCTTTACATGCAGACCAGTGCATGCATTCTCAGTTTACATAAATGAACCAAAATATACATAATCAAAGTGATATTTGCATGCAAACAGCTCTTTAATATTAAATATCATCAACATTTCACTAAAATATTCTGCAGATGATCACTCATCAACAATCAAGTGTTTCCATGTCCTGCAGTCAAATATGTTCATTTCTATTGCATGTCATGCGTCACCCATCAGACACAAAGCAGCAGATCATATTTACTGTCACCCAGCACAGTGCAGTTCTAGTTTAACAGGTTGACTTTTCAGAAAGCTGCACATCCCTGCAGGTTCTCCACTCATAATAACACTTTACTGCAGAGTGCATGAGAAAACCAGCCTAAACCCGGAGTCAGGTGACACTAACAGAGCTGCGCATCCCACACTGAGCTGTTATCATGTCCTGAGTGAGACTGTCAGCTCCAGTCTGACAGGCATCTGTGAAACATCTGGAACAGCGTCAGACTCCATCACTACAGCTGTGAGGTTAGCCTGCTAGCCGCAGTTAGCTCACCAGGCTGAGGCAACGGCAGCAGGTTCGGCTCACCGTTTCAGTCCCTGCTGCCCTCAGAGGTCCGGCGTGTGGGGGAGCCGAGGGCAGGAACCGCTGCCAGGTCACCCAGAACCAGAACTTCCTGGCGCATTTTCACCGAACCGGCCGCGCGTCGGATCCCTGCGGCTGCAGACAGACTCTGCGCCTTTAAGGCCGTTCCAGACAGGCGGGCCAGACTTTGGCCGACAGAAAATCCCGTTTTTAAAGCAAAGCTTTAATAAATGTATATCTTATATTTCATCAAAATTTGGCTCCAGTTCAAACCACAACTGAGCAAAATCCTTTTGTTATACAGCAGTTATTATACAACTTCTGACTTATTTTGAATGTTTTAATCTTAAAATAAATGAAAGTATTACTCAAAACCAGTCAAAGTTCCTCAAAACCAGGAATATGTTTAATATGATCAAATTTTTGGATCCACATAAGAGTCAGAGAATTTGAGACAAAAACAAAACAAATGATATTCTTGTGACAACAATTAAACATATTGTAAATAGAAAAACAAAGTAATAGAAAAAGTCTAGAACAGTTAAATCTAATTGAGTTATAAATATCTATCACTGCTGCAAGCAAACACTATTAGTTGTAGAAGTTGAATTACAAGAATAAAGACATCAATACATTTACTTGCAGTTGTTCTTCATTTATTCATACTATAAAAAAAAAAGATCAGAAATAACTAAATAAATTGGACCTTTTTCCTAAAAACAACAGTGATGGATATTTAATGTCTGAGTCAAAACGTAAGAGGTTAAAAACAGACAAATATGTACATATGTCCCAATTAACACAGACTGGTGAGAAAAAGCCCGTTAAAAACCTGTTAGTGATTAGCAAGAGGCCCTGAGAAATTACCAAAGCTTTCATTTCTTATGAATCTGGCAGCAGATGAAGCTCCAAACTGAGTACAAACACATTACAGATTGATTATAGTAATAAAGTAGGAAAAAAAGACATTTTTATGTAAAAACTTGGATCTACTTCTTGTTGGAACTGGCTGTGCCGATGACGCAATCGTTCACCTGGAAAAACAGCAAAACAAAAATTAAATACGACTTTTTATGGTAGAACTGAACTATTTATACAGCAACTCATCAGGTGGTAAACATGAATGATTCATCCAACTATGAATCACAGAATAAATAAAATCAGCCATGTTTCAACAAACTGACTAAACAATGATTTAGTGAAATTCAGCCTCTGTGGATTAGAAAAATGGAAAATAATTCAGACCAAACTCTGACTGACCTTGCTGGCAAACCTCAGAGAGTTGAGTGTTTCTCCAAAGCTGTCCGACTCTGGAGAAATGTTGACGAACATCAACCTGGAGTCCAAACGATAGAAACGATCAGAACCCTGCTTTAAAGGTCACATCGACACGGCTGCTGCTTCTTCAGATAAGTTGATTAAAAGATTTCAAATGAAGCATGTTTTAAACAGATGGGTGAGTTTTGCAGGGTAGATGAGGAAGATCTCACGTTTTGCTGTTTCCTCCGAGGCAGTTCTGCAGCAGGTAGGTCAGCTTGGAGTTCCTGTACGGGATGTGACTCTCCTGAAACAGTTTTTTTGGTTTTAGAAGCAGAATGAAATGAAAACTGGCTCATATTGTGAATAAATTACTTCGGGTCTCAGACACCTTGTTGGCCAGAGAAGTGATGACGATGCCCAGGTTGGACAGGGAGCTGTTGATGGACGTCATCTCCTTGAAGCGCTCTCCCTGAGACTGACTCTTCACCATCCGCTCGCTGCCGGCCAAATCCACCAGGCAAAGAGTGGCTGTAACAGTGGAAACCAGGATCAGTCAGGGAACTATGCAGTTCATAACACCTGGACAGGTGCAGCAACTTTATTCTGGATTTATAATCTCTGTTTTTGTAAAGTTTTGATTTGTCAATATCAACATTCTGCTTGAGGAATAACACAGAAACTTATGATAACATTACAGTACAACTTTTTATGGTATTTATGTCAGGAACAGAAATCACAAAGGAAAGAAAAGCTTGAAGTTAAATTTAACCAGCTTTAATAATCATTTAGTATTATTATTTGGTAACATTTATGTATGATGCATTCATTGACAGGGAAGAGATTAAATCAGAGTATTTCATGTCTAATCAAACTGAAATGTCAGCCCACTCCAGTGTCTGAAAATCTACAGTTCTGCTTGAAATGATCAGAAAGAGCAGATTGTTCCCACCAATCAAAAGTAATATTTAAAGTATAAAAGGTGAAGCCAACTCCATCATCTGGAGATAAAAACACTCACACTTGCACTTGATGTCCCTGCCAGGGTTCACTCCCTCGATCTGCAGCTGGAACACAGAGTGTGAGCGGGAGGAGCGATCGTTCTGCGCCGTCTGGGCCGTGGAGCGGTTCTCTTTGGCCAAAGCGATCAAACCAAGAACCTGACGGAAAAAGCAGAAGGTTTTCTGTAAGTCTTGACATTTTGGTGTGTGACGGTGTTGCAGAACCGGACGGAGCCGTGCCTGGTCCTCGGTGTAGACCTTCTGGTAGGTCAGGTTGGTGACGGCCACGTCGTTGCTGGCCGTCTTTCGGATCTCATGTTCGGGCCTCTTGCTGGCCTTGCCGGTGTACAGGAGGTCCCGCAGGGTCTCGTTGTAGATTTCAACAAAACTCGCAGTGAAGGTGAACTGAGAACGAAACGGATTAAAAGTTAGAGAGCAGGAAGTTTTCATTAGGCATAAAAACACAAACAGGTTTCAACACTAATTTCAGAAACAATAAAAAGAGAAAAGTGATTTGACATTTCTGATACGGATGCAAGTTATTGATTAATGAGTTAATCTTAAGCAGATTGATTGAAATTGTGGTTTCTTGAGAAGTTATCATTCTCTGTTCGAGGTCAAAGGGAATCAATAACATGGTGGGTAAAAGGTGAACAATAACAGTATTTGTTGTTAATCTGTTGCTAAGAGATGAGTAACCAAGAACCACAAAGTAAACAACAAAGACAATGCATTAACAGGCAGTACCTTTTCCCTTGATATTTCCCTAAAATAAGCTTTTTAGCTACTTGTTTAAGAATAAAAAAAAGAGCTATAAGAGCACTGTAGCTTACTTTAGCATTGATGCTAATTTTTAGCATCAGAACATTGGGTTCCAACTGACCGGTTCACTTTGGCAGGCCCCGTTTAAATTTCTTTGGAAATTTTCTAGTTGCTTGATTATTACACAAAAACCCCAGGATTAGCAAATTTATTCATTTCTGTATCAACTGGCTGTTGCTGGGACCAGTGGCGCCCTCTGCAGGATGGTGGCCAAACTACAGCAGTAAAAGAAGCTCCAACCTCCCAGCCTTGAGAGCGCAGCTTGTCCCCGGCTCTGAAGATCTGCTGCACGGCTCTGGGAATGACGCCCCTCGTGTCGTCCACTTCCTCTCCCTCCATGGTGTAGGTTTTCCCACTTCCTGTCTGACCGTAGGCGAAGCAGCAGACGTTGTACCCATCCAGAGCCGACTGCACCAGCAGGGAGATCTCATCAAAGATCTGAAAACAAAACCTTCCCATGAGGCCTTTGCTCTGCAGCGCTCAGATCACAGCGGCTGCTGTTAACGAGGAGCTGATGTCTTCCTCATGTTTCTCACCTCCTGCTGTGAAGCCAGAGGCCCGAACACCCGGTCGAAGCTGAAGTGATAATTCTTCTGTGTCTCGCCCGTTTTACCAGTATGAGACTAAAGGGCAGAAAGAAAAAAAAACGTTCTGTTTAAATAGTCTGATATTTTTTGCTGGTATGGCGATAAGCAGCAATATTCCCACCTCCTCAGTTTTGGCCAGCATGATAGACTTGTTGTCGCTGGCTGCCAGCTGGATGTGTTTACTCAGCCCTCCGTCTTCCAGAGGACGAACTCTACAAAACACCCTGATGTTACCCTGAAACATGAAACGATTCTCTTGTCAGCTTCATTCAACGTTAGACATTCAATTAACCGGAGCAAACGGCTCAACTTGGTTTGATAAAACAGATTTGACCCAGATGTTTTGGGCCTTTAAGGGTGAACAGCGACCCACCTTCAGCTCCTGGATGGTGTTGTGGAGCCGGCGGCGCTCCATCTCCCCGGCGTGAAGCTCCTCTCTCTGCTCCGCCAACGTTTCCTTCAGGGAGCCGAGTTCTTCTTCTCGGTCTCTCAGGGTGGCCTGCAGTCGGCTCAGCGTTGATTCCTGCACAGACATCTTCATCTGCAGAGGAAACCAAACACAAAGAATAGGCATGTGGCAATAAACTTCACTGGATGATAAACTGTCTCAAAATTATTGCAATAAAAATAATATTGTCAATTTGAGACCATTTTCAAGTGTTGTAATGGAAAAGACATGATAAAACTGTTGCATTCTTCAAACCTGTAAAATGTTTTAATTTCTAAAGAACATTTAACAATGGAACTGCAAAATGTTATATAACCAAAATTAATTAAAATACAATAATAAAAATTAGTTATGAAATCTGTAACCAAACTTGCTTTTCATAAAATATTCAGCTTTCACTGGAAAAACAAGCAAAAGTGCCAAAAACATATCAAAGGGTAGCATGTCCAACAACAGCTGTCCACATTAAAATGATCAATCTAATTTTGATCTATTACACGATTGAGACACGCTTAAACAAAGAAAATGTAATTTTAATTATATTTTCAAAGTACCCATTATAAACAAAAATCATATCTTCTCAGTTCTCTAAAACTTAGACCCTCTAAACCAGGTGTGGTTGTTATAGTAAGGTATTTTTCAGGTGTTTGGACCGATCCAGAACCAGGATTCTGCTGTACCTTCAGAGTCTGCAGCTCCGTCTCCTGGCTGTCCCGCAGCGTCTCCATGACCTTATATTTCTGCTCCAAATTGGAGAGTTCCTTCTGGAGGACGATCTTCTCTCTCTGCACGTCTTCAAGCTGATTCTGAACTCCAGACAACATCTGCAGCTCCGCCTCATACTCACTAAACCAGCAAGAAATCCACTGTTAGCATCACATCATATAAAAATAAAAAAATCTACACTGAACCCATTTCCTACTAAACAATTTGCTCTTACCTGATTTTTCTCTTCTGTCCCATGACTTCTTGCTCCAGCTCAGACACTTTGGTTTGACCTTGAGCCACGGAGTCCTTCAGCGCCTCGTTCTCCTCGTTTACAGACCTGTACTTGGTCTGGTAGTTGCGGATTTTACCCTCCATGTCATTGACTTTACCTTTCAGGTCCCATGGCTTGCGGCGGGTGGCTCCTGTCACACCTGTACAAGAATTTCATAGGTTTTTCAAACTTTTTCAGACAAAATTAAATTGAATTTATTGAATTTAGCAGCTTCAGCCTTACATTTATAAATTCAATTAATCAATGAAACATAAAAAAGATGGTTTTGATTCTTAAAGTCATCTGAACAAGATGAGAGACTCATTTTCTTCAAACATATGTATATGCATAAAGATGTTTCAGTTTTTTTCTATTGCATGTACAATAAAATAACTTCGATAATCCAGAATCAGCATCTCCAAACAGAACATCAAAGTTCTGTAATGGCAAATATTTTGAATATAGCTAATATACTGATGAATCTAAAGATGTTTTCCAGAGTTTTCACTGTTAAAGTGGACGACAGTCAACAGTTTCTTACCAGGTTTTGCTCCTGCAGGTTGTTTAATGCTGGCAGCTTTGGGAGCAGCAGAAGCTGCAACCGGCCTCACGAACCCTGACAGAACAGAACCATAACATTATATCTCCATCAGAACCACCGTCTGCTAAAACACCGGGTCATTGTGCAGAGATAACAGGACATCTGACCTCTGGAAGGGCCAGCAGCCACAGTGGCAGCTCCTGCACCTCGAAGTGGTCTATCTGTTGATAAATACCAGACAATTAAAACAAGACAACATGATCTGTTCACTGCTGTTGGTAGTGGTTATGTTCAGTAACGTACAGGGCGGCACTCTGGCTGCAGCTGCAGCAGCAGCGGGCCGCTTGTCTCCTATGATGGTTGCAGCTGCCCGAGGTTTGCAGGGCTCCTGGTCTTTACGCATTCTCTTCTGCAAAAACACAAGACGACACAAAGAACCATCACTGACACATATTCTGGTTTATAATCAAACTGCATACAAACTTATGCATGAAAATGGAAACACTGCAAAAGTATTTTTTCTACAGCTTCGGACAGACTCAAACTGAGATGTAGGAAATGTTTTTATTACGAACCTGAAGAGGAGCCATGTCCATGGAGTTCTCAGAGCTGCTGCTGGCAAGAACCCTCTTCGATGACATTACTGGCAGTCGGGACATAATCTGCTGACGACAGAAAAATCACAAAAGAGAAAAGAAAGGTTACAACCCAGCAGGAGTCTACTGCTGGTTAGCTGGCAGGAGAAAGGCGACTAAAATCTTACAAGAAGATACAAAAAACAAGAGTAGTGAAGCTGAAGGAGAGGCATCAACACAGGCTACCTGATGCGATAATCCAATTAATTTACAATATTAACTTCTTATTATTCTGTTAATCTCTGAAAACTTTAACATTTGTTTATTTATTTCTTTTATAGTTTAAAATAAACGTGACACTTGTTGAATGGATTAAAGTTTTGAATATAAGGAAATGTTGCACAGTATCAAAAAGAAAATCTGCCAAACAAGTACTGCTTTTATATTTATTAAAAACCAAGTATTAGTAAATAAATAGTCAAAAATATAACTTTAATCATCTAAATATTAAATATTTAGCACAGGTAGAATTTAAATATAAGTATTTATTAGATCTGGGGTCATAAATCTTATTTTTTTACATTCTTGTCAATCCAAACAAGTTTCTAGAGTTTCTGACCTGGAACCCAACTCATTATTTATGCATAAAGTCTTTTAACTATTAAACGTATAATAAAAGCACTAAAAGTATAAATATTAGTGATAATAGAGAATTTAAAATTAATGCATCGATGTTTGACACAGATGTTCAACTCATTGAAAATATAGAGACTCAAAACGTAACCAGAGGTCTGCAACGCTACATTAGCATAAACAAAACGAGAAAATCAGGCTGAATGGGAGGAAACGTGTCCATGGAAGGAGAGTTTTCAGGGCGTGTTGCTAACAGGAGGCAGAACAAGTTTTCCCTTGAACATGGGTAAACTCGCAGAAAAATAATTTAAATGTAGTCCAAACGGATTATCCCGATTAATCCATCAATAACCAACGTCCGCGTTGCTACTTGACATGAGCTTTCTTTAGCTAAACTCAACACTAAACTAACTTATGAAAGTACGGTACACAGTACCCGTTTAAGCGTGACTTCTAAACCACTATTAAACGGTTAAGATAGTCAAAAACGATCTATTAACAACAAAGTACCTGAAAACAAATCTGTATCTTCGCTCAGACTCCCTTTCGATCCGCTGTTTCCGTCCGTTTGAATTTGAAATGCAACTGTTTTGGTGAGCGCTTCCGATTCTCCGCCGTGATTGGCTGACACAGCGTAAACTCCGCCTCCTCTTATGTGTGCGTTTGGTATGTCGAACTGCATGTCCCGACAGGGCGGGACACACACCGTTTGTACAATAAACTCCGTGCAAAAGGCAAAACATTTGTTAAAAGTTGGTAACTCCATTACCAACTTTTAACATTGCATTTATTATAAAATATTCCCTAACTATAAAATTGAACATTTAGTTAATATATAAGAAATTTAAATATTGACATTTGTAAATATTTTGAAATAAAAACCTAAATCTGATGTGTTTTCATATCATTTAAATTTTCCTCCACGAGCCACAATTCTCAGCTTAAACTGGACATTTCTTTGAAAAACTGGGTATTTTGACGTTTTCTGACATCAATACATATTGTTAGTTATGGAATCAAAGAAAATATCCCGAGATACGTTCAATGCTCTTCCACACAAAAACCTGAAGAAAATATTTCAGATTATTGCATTCATTTGACACATCTTATGCAAACACATCATTTGACAATTTATCATCTGAAAACAACAAAAATCAAGCAGAACCTAACTCTAAAATTCATCTACAACAGTAATAAACGCTGCAGATTGGATTTTAAAGTGGAATATATTAATCATGGCCGTTAGTCATAAACAGTTTTTTAAATTTTATTCTCCATAAGGGAAGAAGAAACAGTCTGTTCAGATGAGTAGGAGCTTTAACTGTGCATACAGTATGTAACATAGTACAGTTAATAACTGTTTACCAGGAGCATTGCTAGGTCATTTTTTTCATAAAAAGACACAGAGACATACAAAGTTGAGTATACATGAAGACCGTTGGCTGTTGTACAGGCTGCCTGAACGTTTTGATTGGATCGACGGTTTGCTGTGTCCCAGGTCACCGTTTAATCTGATGCTGTTTAAACACATTAGCAGGTCAGGAGTCTGAAAGCAGTGGCTTTATTTTACACAGCACCGTTAATAGCTTTTTTTAAACATAAAAACACATTTTTTTTTTAAATAATTGGTGAAACAATTTTCACTTATTTTCTACATTACTGAAAACAACTATGCCTTCATTAGCCTAGAAAACAAAAGCATTAGTGATAATTAGTCCAAAGAGTTTTAATAACTAAAGAGTCTCAATTACTCAAAGTTAAATCATAAATGTTTAAAGAAAAGCCGTAAGTCTCACTGTAACTCCTAGTTATTTTTCAGCAGAACCAGTGGGGTACAGTACCGGACCTGGGACACAGTCTGTGGTTTGGGTGCGTTTTCATATATTCTGTACACAAGACATACTTCCCTTTTACAGATGAAAAAGTCTTTTCTATCTATTTTATGTACAGCATACTGCAATACCATAATGCCTCAGAGTGGATATACTGTGGATAACATTTGCACTACAGTTATAATGAAAGTAATAATATGTATGAAAAGTTCTTAAAAAAAGAAAAGGTTGATAACAGTACCTGTCAGCCGTGTTTATCACACAATCATTATTTCCCATCAACCCCCCTGATAAGAGCGGGGCGGGCTCTCGTCGCCCACAGGAGGAAGATTAACCGCTCCTCCCAGAATAACAAACGACTAAACGCTTTTTTTCCACGACGTTCATGCGCTCACTCTGCTTTCTCTCTGTATGTTCCTCTGTCGGTAGAAAAATACAAACATGATTTATATATATATATATATATATTAAAAAAAAAGACAAACAATGACAAACATAGGCGTGAAGTAAGAGCTTCATCAAGTGCTTTCTGTAGGACTCCTCCGTCCCGCTTTCCTCCGATCGCTCTGCTGCAGATTCCTCAGGTTTAGTACATTCTAACTCGGTTTGCTTTTGTTCAGGACTTTTGGCTCTGAAAACAAAATGGTTCCTTCATTCATTGATCTTCTGATGTTTAATTGTGATTTGTAAAATGAATCTATTGGAATTTAGATGGAAATACATAACTTCCATCTTCTGTGTTATGATTAAGTGCTTCCATTTCCATGCCGAAAGTTTTACCATTTATAAATTATTACTTGTTTTTACTTTTCTTCTTTTTTTTTGGCTTGTTGAAGTATTTCAAGAATTTAATCTGCAAAGTTACCCCTAAATTTCCAGAGATTATTTTTACTTTCACAGATCATTTACAGGTTTCATCTCCCAGTATTACCTCAAAGGTTGGTTTAATTTGTTTTACAGCTCAACCAAAGTAATAAAGGTGAAACTTGAGGTGCTGATTTATTTTTGCCTAAATTTATGATTCCAAAGTGAAAAGCGATTTTTCCAGATATTAAATGTGCAAACCCATTTCCCCCAGTTGGAACCTGCTTTCCCACTCGTCTCGGAGGAACCTGAACTCAACACTGCAGACTATCTGTGATCCAACATGGAGCCTAAAGTTGTTCCCAGCTTTAAAGCTTCAGAATCAGGTGAACCAAACTGAACTTCCATCTCCTGATTGTATCGCAATATCACTCCGATCCCTTTCGAATCGTCCTTCAGAGCTACTTGACGGTGAAAACAAAAACGCAGCTGATGTCAGTGTCGGATGGCTGATGAGGAGGGTAACAGTTTCTCCTTTCTTAGCCATGTTTCTAGTTTTGCTTTTAGAAGACTGAAGATGAAAGACGGTGAATCAAATGGAGCTTTTTACACTGCAGATTATTAGTCCTGTCCCAACCAGAGCCGCAGGACGCCGCCTACGAGTTCATGTGCTCCACCTGGATGGCTGACGTGGAGACGGTTAGACACAGGTCTTTATGGGTCACCGGCAGGTCGCCAACGTTGACGGGTTTATACTGGATCTCACTGGCCGACACTGTCTTGTACTGGTGCAGGTCGAAGGGGCACGGAACGACGCCCTCAGAGGGTTGCTGGGTGGGCTGGTAGCTGCCCGGGGGCCCGGGGTTCTGGTTCTGGTTGGCGTTGTTTGGGTTGTTCTGGCTTTGGAGGTGACTTCCTCTGCCTCTGCCTCGACCGCGGCCCCGGCCCCGCCCTCCCCCTCCTGGCGTCAGGCCCTGGGCCTGCTGGGCGGCGACCGTCGCTGCCACCGTTAACGGGTCGGGGTTGTGCTTCCTCATGTGTTTCATTAAATAAGTCTCCTAGAAAAAAACAATGAGGAAACATTTATTATGTGGATAAAATGTGTTCATGAGTTTAGCTAAGTTTTGACCTGATACAGTAAGGTTTAGAACAGAATTATAGTATTTATTAATTATTACTACAAATTATTTTTAGTGACTTATAAATAATAAAGACAAAGGTTTTGCTGAAATATTGCTTAGATTTGAGTTTTCTGCACATCTTTCGTATCAAATTGTTCATTTTCCCAGAATTACATTTACAGACTTCTCTTTACTTTTTTGGCCATTTTTAAAGTACTCTAACAGTATTTTACACAAATAATGCAAAATGTTAATCAAGTTTCAAATATGGAGACCAAAAACACCACAAACTGGACTGCATCAGGTGAAATGGGTTGATAAATGATGGATGAACAAATGACAGATGTTAAAAGATGCAATTTTTACATCATCACACTTGATAATGTATCCTGGATCCAAGAACTGCTTTATGATTTCAATATGAAATATTGTGCAGCTCTGGAAAAGAAAAAAATCCTCCTTGGCTCATAGCTCACACAGACAAATGTTCGTACAGGATTTCCAGGAAATATCTGGAAATATGAAGCCAGATGAATCTAATTTTTAGCTCATTGTGTAACCCTGCCGTCTGAAAGCGTACCGATGTGTAAGATCTGTTGCAGAGGCCGCAGGAGAACAGCTTGGCGTGTTTGACGGTGTGAGTCGACAGGTGAACCTCCAGACTGGCAGCGTCTGTATAACCACGGTTACAGTTGTGACACTTGAAGGGCTTGTCTTTGTTGTGTTGTCGACGGTGAGACTGGAGAAAAAACACAAACCAGAGGGGTAAAGATAAAAAAATATATAAGAAAGGACTTTATGAATGTGACAGGATGTCAGCAAAATGATTCCTGACCTGCAGGTTGGACAACTGAGTGAAAGCCTTTTCACAGCCAGGATGGTTACACTTGTATGGTCGGTCCCCAGTGTGAATTCTGAGAGAAGAAAACATCAAATTAATCCATTTAACTTTAATATATTTATTTAGCACAAATGTAAAATTTAAGAGCAGGTTCCATGAAGCAGCCCTGCACACCTCTGATGGCTAAATGAAAACATTCCTCATGCGATATATCACTTCATTTCTCTTGTTTCTTCTACTTTTTCTTCCATAAAACTATTTCTAATAGATCATTTCTAATCAATTAGTCGAATTACGGTTTGGCATGAGGCTGAATTCCTTCCAAATTTTCTGTAAATATATAACTCTCACAATGATTAAATAATCAACAACAAATCTCCACAGACCTGCTCCAAATATGCAAACAGTTCAGACACTTTTCCTACAGTAAAATTCAAGCATTTTCAAGGATTTTATCTGGAGTAAACCCGTCCAGCCCCGACCCAGTACCGTGTGTGCTGCTGTAGGTGACTGAGCTGCCTGAATGTTTTCTGGCAGTAGGAGCAGGTGTAGGGCTTGGCCCCGGTGTGGATGCGGATGTGCTGGGACAGGTAGCTGGAGTTGGCAAACGACTTGGAGCAGTGGGGGCACTTGTGGGGCTTGGCCTCAGTGTGGTTTCTAACACGGAAAGCCGGGATCGGAGGGGATGAAGGGGAAAGGATGGAGAGAGAGAGAAACACAGAGAGAGAGAGAGAAACAGCGAGAGATTTTTAAGCTACAGCATGACCAAACTTCCCGACGAACCGAAGATCAAATCATGCGTTAAAAAGTTTAAATGGATCCGAGATCAATCCTTCTGATCACAGATCACTACGTTTGACAGTGTGCTCTTTGTGCTGCGTCTGAGTTGTGAAAACACAGAACAAACATACAGCAAGCACAGTCACGCTTTCCTTTCTCTCTCTCTCTCTTTCTCTCTCGCTCTCTCTCCATTTGGCGTGTCCTGCAGTGAGTGGGGTGTGTCTCTGAACGTAAAGACGGGTGGCAGGCAGGTGGAGAACGTCATTCGGATTCAGACAAACGGACTACAGATGATATGGGAAACCCAGAGCAAAGCAGTGAGTGAAACTAAAACATGAATCAGAGAGGTGACGAGCTCACACAGAAAATTAAACCATCTGTTGAATGATGGCAGCATGAATGAGTGAAATGTTATTTTATTACTTGTAACTTCATGCATGATTAGTAAAACAACAATTAGTTGGGATTAGGAATTAGTACTTCTAGTTTTGCTTGCTTAGTCATGCACTATATCTTGTATTTAAAGCACACAAGAATAAAATACGTAATATTCTTTTTATATGAAAATCAAATAAACCTACTAAATATGGAGAATAACAAATATATTTAGGTAAAGAAATTAACCATTTCACTTTCTGAACCATAAATATGTGTATTAGTCTGCTTGTTGTTTAGGTTTTTATGTTTATGAATATTAAGAACATTTGGATGTTTCCCATCTTGCAGTGTTGAAGGCAGCACTTTCTGCAGAAATTATTACATAAAGTTTCAGTTTTATTCATATTAAAACAGTGGCAACTGCAAACAGTGACAAAGGAAGTTTGGTAAAAATCCAGTTGTCCAGTTTTAAGGTCAAACCAACAAGGTCAAATATTTACTTTTGCAGTTGTTTTTCTCATATGAACATCCATTTGAAGTCTCATAACTGAGTGAATCTTGGTGAAAAATTGGTGATGTCTGAGGGAGCGGTGCAAAGGAAGAGATCTTAAAGAGACGACACAATCAGGTTCAAGATTAAAGTCTTAAATATTCTTGGTATTTTTAAGAGGACAGGATTAAGGTCAATGGGTTCAGTGTCAGCTTTGATATTTGTCATTTTGTTTCTGTTCTCTAATGCAGCTGTGCTAAAGAAAAAAATGATAAAATTATAGGATCAGATTTGAGGCAAATGAAAAAAAGCTTCATTTACTTCTACATTTTAATTAAATATATTCATAGATCTGAATATTATTTGCTTCAACACATTACCTCCACTAAATTTTCTTATGACAATATGCACTAGAGACGACCATCAAGGGTAGGAGATGTTTCTACAGACCGTTATGGGCTTTTGTTGGTCTCTACATGACCTGAGCTGAACAGAAAAAAATCGCTGAGCAGCAACAATCTGGTGGAAACGCTGATGAATTTTTCATGTAAGCCATTTCAGCTAATCCGATACATTAGAGCATGTAAGTCAGTGAGTTTATGTTAATTCCAATAAATGCAGAGGAAAAGAAGCATGCAGAGGAAAAGAAGCATTGCTGTTTTCTCTGGACGATCATGCAAGAAAAGTGACAAAATGCATGGATGAAATGAGAATTCAAACACACTTCCTCCAGTCCAGCATCACAAAATGTCAAATCTTTTGCATTTGATGCATTTACAGGGTGCTGTTGGTGAGGAAATGAAAGGAGCAGACTGAGATTTCTTATTGGGAAACACAGACCTGATCGGGGACAGACCAACGCATGCAAAGCAGGAACATACGACTGCTGCATGACGGCACACTTCTAACCTCCGTAACATGAACTGCTGCATCAATCCAGTCATAATTAGATCTACTATGAGTTTGATTATGTTTTGACGGTGCATAAAGAGCTCAACACTGTCAACACTCCTCCAAACGACCCCCAGCTGACTGACTACCCAGTAACTCTGAACAGAGGTTCATACTGAAACTGAAAAAGCAGAAATAACGAGCACAAACAGTCAGAAGCTGCAGAGCCAGCCGGCCCGGCCCAGTACCGTGTGTGCTGCTGCAGGTGACTGAGCTGCCTGAATGTTTTCTGGCAGTAGGTGCAGGAGTAGGGCTTGGCCCCGCTGTGGATGCGGATGTGCTGGGACAGGTAGCTGGAGTTGGCAAATGACTTGGAGCAGTGGGGGCACTTGTGGGGCTTGGCCTCAGTGTGGGACTTAGCGTGAATCTGCATGTCTGACTTGCTGAAGAATGTCACTGCACACATTCGACATCTGTGGAGAAAAAGGTTAAAAAAATATAAAATGAGCTGCAAACTGATTAGGCTTCTCCAATATAAAACCCTCAGGACCTGTAGGACTTGGGTCCATCTTTACTGGTATGATCATCCTCATCATTTGACAGATCATATGGGTCAGCAGAGTGATGCTGTGACACATAAAGAGTGAAATATGAGGGTTAAAGGGATATTATAACACATTATTCACATGTCGAACTAAACAGCTCACCTGTCCGCCAGCAGCAAGATGGGCTAAAATTAAAGCATCACTTCCTGGAGGGAGAATCCCACCAACTCTGCCCATCATCTGTTTGCTCTTCCTGCCTCGCTTCGATGGCGTCGGCATAACAATGGCTGGAGGAACAGAACCATCCTCCTTCTTGTCTGGAAGAAAAGAAACCTGAGGGTTTCATTCACTCTATATTTGCATGTAAGTCATCTAAAGGTTTCATTACAAAATAAAAGAAAAAATATGAGTTGAACAATAAAAAACCAGAAGGGAAATCACTGCTAAATGACTGATTAGGTGATGAACTGCTGGGTTTACCTGTGTTTGAGGGATGCACTGCAGACACTATCATGGTGGTGGCAGTGGGGGGTCCAGTTACAAACGACTGTGTGGAGGCAGTTGGAACCAGTGTGCCTTGTGGGGTGGTGATCACTAACCCCGCTGAGAGGAGAAACAAACTGTGAAACCGGCAGTCTGACATGTTTCACCACAGCTGAACATTTCTCACATGTGGAGAAGAGACAGAAAACAAATGTTTCTACACTGCAGGTGTCCAAAGCTGAGACAGGCGGTTCGCTCTCAGGAAAACACCACATGATATTAGATTACTGAAATGACAATATGATTAAAAATAAAACAAATACTAGTTTCCATTCACACAAATCTGTTCCAGATCTCAGATTAAATTGTGAAGGACTTTTCAGACAGTGATGATCCTTCTGATTAGGTAAATATTTAATTTTCATCATGGCATTTAGTGCAGGACGAAAAGGATGATTGTCATGAGTCAAACCCTGAAATACTGATTACTGGTACCCTTCTTTGAATGTTTCAAAACATTGCAAACAATAAGCTGTAAAAATGGCCTTGGCTATGAACATAAATGTGACTGTAAGCTGCTGCTTCTCTGAAATATTCTCCTAAAACTGTTTTAGTTCATGTTGTCCTTTCTGAGATCGATGTTGTGAATTTTGATTGAGCTTAAACAATTTATTAAAAATATATAAAGTCAGCAATATAAATATGTGTAATACTAATAACAGAAATAACTGTTTGGAATGCAGTTGGTCCTCTAAATATATATATATAAATATGAATGCATTTTGAATAGGAACTTTTCCAAATAAGGAGACAGCAGGACAGCATTCGCTCCATGTGCTGCAGGTGCATCAGTGAACTTTCTCATTCTAGCATTTATTTCTTTCAGTGCAAGCTAAGAGACAATAACGCTCGTGTTTCTGAGCGGTTTTATCTGATGCTATAAATGTTGGAATTTGTGGTTGTGGTTCCAGTCCAAGTCTAGGATAAAAACTCGCCACTTTATTTTCCTTCAAGTCTTCCTGGAAGAGATTCAAAAATCTTGAAACCTATAAAAACTTAAATCGAGAAAAGAATAAAAAAAAATAAAAAAATAAAAAAAAACTTGCTCTTACTCTTGTCCATCATTTCTAAAAGGTAACTGTCCCGTTCTTAATTATTATTTACAGTTTCACCATCATTCCACCAATGTTATAATCCAGAATTAATCATGATTGTACACAAAATGACTGTAAATTTGAGTTTCCAAGAGGCAAACTGCCTGTTCAAATTAATTATGTTTCTATTGATAAATTTGCTGCCTATAATATTTCACTTATCATCCCAGGTACATATTCAGTCTATTGAACTGAATATAGCCACACCCGGCCTCAAAAAGTGATGGTCTCATTGCATCTTTAAATAATAATTATAGATGGGCATTTATCTTATAGTTTAACATTTACTGTGATAAATGTCTTGCATGATAAGAAATCTGATTTATTGTTGCTACAATAAATTACAATTAAATTACATTTAAAACCTCTCAAAAGTATCTGTATTGTTATAATTTTCAGTTTTACAGTTGTCCACTGTTTTTAATAAAAATATCTATAAATATGAAAATATGTGTACAGTTTAGTGATAAAAATGCAGTCACATACATAAAATTACTTTAAAAATGTATTTATAAATAGTCATCATCATCCCTTTTATTATGGCAATATTATCACAAAATATAGTCATAAAACCTTAAGGTCATATCACCCAATCTTAATAATAATTATAGCATAATATCGCTCATTTTCTAATATCATTCTACCTTTTAAGATCACAATAAATTTTCATTATCATTATTTTTCTCACCTGCAGTCATGATCCCAGTGGAGGGAACAGGAACAACCGTGACGTTCTGGGAGGTGTGCGACTGGTGTAGATGTCCCCCGACTCCACTCAAGGTTGCGTTCCCGCTGTTTCCCCCTCCTCCGCCGGATGTATTCCCACCTCCTTCCTGTTTGGGGACCACCCGCACCCCCGCCCCTGGATCCACCGAACCCGGGATGGCGAGGACAGCTGTGGGGTAGTGAGGGGACGAGGTGGAAGACGCAGAAGAGTGAGGGAAGGGAGGCGCGTTGGCCTTGTCTGGACCCAGCTGCTCCTTTGCCTTGTTGAGGAACATGGCGTTCTCAATCTAGATAGCGGTGTAAAGTGTAAAGGGTGGAGAAATAAAGGATGGGATGTTGAAGGTAAAATGGTGCATGAGGGAGACAAAGAGGGAGAGTAGTGAAGGAAGAAGAATTAAGACGGATGTACAAGGACAAAAAATTGGGGTGAAGAAATATTTGAAAAAGGCAGAAAATGATAGTAAAAGAAAATATGTTAAGTATAAGGATGAGAAGAATGGATGAGTAGAAAAAAAAGAATGGATGAGAACAAGAAGGGAGTGAAATGAATGAGTGATCAGTGGGATTAGTGAAGAGAAAGAAGAGAACAAAAGGATGGGAGAAAAGAGAATACGAAGGCATGGTGAGATGCAAAAAGTAAAAGAAAAACAAAGAGAAAACAAAGATAAAAGAGGAGAGGGACAGGAGTGATCATGTGATCAAGTGAATGCATCACCAGACATTACAAAAAAAAAACTTCACTGTGCGCTTAAATTCATCAACAGAATCCTTAAAGCAGCTCTGTAAACAGTCAAAGTGATAATCCCATTTAAGCCATGTTCATTTCAAGACATTTCCAACAATAAGGTTGTCTCTACCTGTCCTTGTACAGTGGGGACGGGAGACCAAAAGTATGATGAGTTGAAATGGGAATCGTCCATTATTTCTGTAATTAAAAAGCAACACACTTAGAAAACACCTGTCCTTCCCCTCTTCACTGATGTCTTTTCTTTCTGTTACATAAACGAGACCATGCATGGCTGTATTTTGTCATCTCAGCTTGTTTCCTTTCAATACATCCCCTTCTCTAAAGCCCGACACACTCAACACTTCAGAGTTGCAGAAACTCTGGTATTTAAGGTGTCTTGAAGACAGAAAATTAAAGCAATCCATGTCTTCTTTTTTTAAAAAATCAAACTAATGTTTTAAACTGAGGATGTGAAAGGAGTCAGGCAGAGATGTTCATCCCAGGCAGGGATGGAGACAGAAAAGCAAGCATGAAGATTAGCCTGTTGTCAAGTTTACCAGCACAGCCCATGCACTTTCATCTCTTTCACCAAATGTGTTGCTGTGACCAAAAATACAAGCTTGAACAAGTTGTGATGGAAATTAAATTTTCATTTTTATAAAAGCGCACTTTTTTTCATTGGTTAAAAACAATGTCATCTCATCCTTTAAATTTTTTTGCAACATGTCACGTCATTTGCCCAGAGTCGCTATGCATTTTATGTTATTTTGCACATAATTGCTGCAGAGAAGTTAGTTTTAGAATTGAGATGCCATGCATAATAATTGATTGCCTCCATTCGCACCTCACAAAAAGGCATGCAAGGAGTTACATGTTAGTAAAGCTTAACTTGTTGATTATAAAAGAAATAACTCTGAGGTAGACTTCGGGAGCCCATGAAAAATAGACCCCACCAAAACAAACCCTGGCACCTTTCATGCAGCACAGCTCAGGGTATGTTTGTTTTTCATGTGACTCCTCCAATCTCTGCTGCAGCCAATGAATAATAAGGGGGGAAAAAATCCACAAAGTCAAATTAATTCATCCCTCACATGCTCTATTCAACCCACACCTCCGCTTTAGAAACGGATGGGCCGTCGCATCGGTGCATTAAAGTCAATGTTTCAGTGCTCTGAGAGCCATTTTTAACGGAAGGGCACAGGCTGGCTCCAAAACTGTGGTGCAGCTAGCGGCGGCTAACGTTAGCAGTGACTGAGGAAAGCTTGCAGACAAAATCGGTTATAAACCGTCATAAAATCGGATGGCATGTAGGGAGGCTCGGTGTGTTTCGCTGCAAGCTAAGCGGGCTGCCGTCCGCAGCTGAGACTGTGGTCTGAGCGCCACACAAACATGGCTAACGCTAACTTGCCTCCATTAATTTTCTCCTTTTGTTCGTTGGCTTGTTCAGTTAAGCTAAAACTGGGAGGCCTGCGTGTGTTCAAACGCTTAACCTGCGAACACAAACATCCTCGGTCCCTACGCCTCCATTCCTCACTCCCTGCTCATCTCGCTCAGAGAAAATAAAAAAAGAAAAAAAAAGTGTCGAATAAAAAAAAAAAAAAAAAAAAAAAAAAACAAGACAGAAAAAAAAAAACGTCGACGCCGTAGCCTCTGTTGGAGACGCAGCTTCATGCAGACTTCCGGCGACGGGGACGACGGTGCTCTCAGACACACTGAAAATAACAATGCATTTACAATCGAATTACAACCCCAGAGTTAATTACCGGTGAACTGGACTCCCTTTCAACCCCCCCGAAGCTTCCTCGGGACGGGACAGTTGAGAAACTTTGTCCAAATCCACCCCTCAAAGCGCTCAGATATGCCTTTTTTTTTCCTTCGTTTTTTTCTCTTTTTTTCCCTCCAGTTCTTTTCTCGCTCGCAAAGCCCCACAATTCAATGGGGTCGTTTCCGGTCACCTCTTTCAAAGTAAAAGCCACAACCACAATCTACATACAATTTATGTATTCCATCTAAATGGTCCTCGCCCCATATAGTCAGGGTTTAATGTTTCTTATGTGAAATGATTCATGTTTATAAACAAATATTCTGAACAAGTGACTTGTTCAAAACAAAAAAGGTTTGATCAATGTCACTTGTTCAAAACAGTTTTGATAGTTTCAAGACAAGACTGCCACTTCCGGTATTAAACTGATTCTAGCTTGTTATTTTGACAAAACTGATAAATGTTTAGACAGTGTTTCCGGTCTGTCTTTATTCCGTTTTTCTGCAGGACTTTGTGTCATATTTTAATATAAAACCCGAGTAATTTTGTAATATATAAGCTGATTAATATTGTAATATATAACCTTATATATTGTTTAGCGTTAAAGGGTTCAGTGTTATAAAAATATTGCACCACTCCTTATTTCTTCCTTGATGAATAATTAATGCTGTCTGTCTGTCTGTCTGTCTATCTATCTATCTATCTATCTATCTATCTATCTATCTATCTATCTATCTATCTATCTATCTATCTATCTATCTATCTATCTATCTATCTATCTATCTATCTATCTATCTATCTATCTATCTATGTAAAGCTGACACACTATAATCCTTGTTTAGCTTTCTAAATACTGATATATTATGCATCAAATAGCATATAATTTTGATCTGATTTTGTGTTCTTTTAAGTTAATTAGCCAACAGGGACGTCAGTATCAGAACATTTGTATTTTTATGGTGCAAGCTTTAATTAAATTATAAACTATAAAATCATTGATGATAAATAATAATATTTGAGTACAGAGTTATGGAATTTAGCTGAACAAATAAAAATATCAAAAAGTTAATGAAAATAAAACCTTCAAAATAAAACAAAAGCTTTAACTGCTTTAAGAAACTGCAGACTTGACTGATTCCCTTTGGAAATTTATTAAGCATATTGGATACAGAACAGTATATTTTATTAAAACACAAACAATGCCCCAACAGTGATAATATTCACCAAGGTGTTAATATCAACACTGTCAGAGCTTAATGTACAAGAGAACTTTAATAAACTCAATATAGATTTAATACATTTATAATCATAGAGCTTATCTTTGTTAAGGTTAGTAAAGTAATCTACAGTCAACCCGTGAAACAGACAATGCTACATGGACACTGTTTTATCAAATATATTCTGCATAAATTACATATACTCCACATGTCATGTCTCTTCTATATGACTCAATTGTGAACAAAGTAGATGAACATTTCCATGGTGACAGTCGCCTGCTCTAAGAACACAGTACAATTCAAGTGTAATAGGTGGTGATGCATGCACAAAAACAGCAGTGGTTGTCTTCAGATACATAAATTATACCACTTAAAAGCCATTTCAGAACATATGGCTGCAGTGTAACCAGCAGTGCAGAGTTTATACACGACTAAAGAAGCAGCAGGGTCAGAGGGGAAAGAGAAGAGGCGGCAACTCTTGGAATACATTTTACCTACAGCTCCATAAATGATACATAAATGACACAAATACAAATAATTACTGTACAATAAGTAGTGCTAGAAGCAACTTCACATGCTAAGCTGACCTGTGAAGCAGTGAAATCATAAACCAATAGTGTTTCATGCAACCGGTCCAACACTTGAGGTAGAGGCTGACAGAGAGACACGTTTATGATTTAAGGCATGTTAGGATATTTTTTTGTGATTAAAGTGATGATTTGTTTTCAAGATATAGATGCATTAAAACAATAAGATTTAATACCCCCTTTGGGATTTTTGAATTTGAAGGTATTTTTAAAAATATGCATGCAACCATCCTGAGAAAACTATTAAACATATTGTATGTTACAGAATCATTAAAGGAACCAATTAATTTTCATAACGTCCATCACATCTGGACCACATTTTTCAGTTTTTTTCTCCTGTTGTTCAGAGTCTGGGATTCAGATCTCTGCTAATTTAAAATACAGTTAATTTTACAATGTTATATTTTTCTCTAGGATCCATCTGTTTGAAAGCTGTTTTAGAAGTTTACCCAAAAATCCCAATAGGAACCTACAGCCATTAGGCTAAGATTAAACATTTTTAGGCTAACTTTGTCAAACCCGAGACTTGCTGAAAGCTTAAGATTGTCAAGTAAAAAACATCAACCCATTTGATCGATACATGTTTTCAGTGCAATTACCGGTTTTCCTTTTAAGCTAATCTCTCCTACAAATCATGCTTGAAAATTAAAGAAATGAAGTGCAGAAAACACAAAAAACTAATTTTACATATAAATACTTTACGCTGTTTAAAAAACTAAAATGTGTAAAAAAAAAATCATTGTCAGACTGTCAGAAACAGGTTATGAAAAATATTAATGTAATAATGTTTTCTGTTAGTATTAGATGGTCATGCTAAGATGCACTTGAGGTTTGGCAGCAAGGCAGCGGACACTGGCAGTGTCAGAGATGTTGGAGGTAAACACAGAGGGAGGCATGAAAACACGTACAAACATCATTAGCTACACATTGAATATGATCTAATCTATCAGGGAGGACATTTCTAAAATTAATAAGATGCATTAAATCTATTATTATTACAGTAAGTAGTGACACTGAAGATAATGAAGCCTGCATATTTGGATGGGAAATATTTATATAGTAAGAAATACAGTAACACCATTCATGTGAAATTAAAACGGTAATATTCTGCGCAAAAGTTTGAGTCGCCTTTCATTTTTGTGGGTTTTATTTCCAGGCAAACCGACTTTAACATTCATTTTCAGTCCAATATTTAAACATTTTCAGATGAAAGTTTTTCCTTTTCTAGATCACTGAACAATTCTGAACAATAAATTATTCTGGGATTAAAGCAGATGGGATAAGCTAGCAAATAATTAGTTTTAGTCATTTTGAACATTGCACCATTTTGCAAAACACATAAAGCCTTTAACTTATGAAAACATTTTTTAAAAACAAAATAAAGTTAATTATGCTGCTAGAAACAGACACAAAAACGGTCTGGCACCTTGGAAGAAAGATGTGAAGAAGTGAAAGGTACTTTAAGACTTTTGCTGTAACTGTGATACCAGGAGTTTAAATATTTAACTCAGATAATGAACAACATCAACAAACAACCGGAGGGAAACAACGACACAGAAGGTCAGAGGTGAGGAAGCAGACATTACGATGGAGGGAATCAAGACAGACGGAGAACAGCTCTACCAAGAAGCTCATTGGTCTGATTCCCTTCAGCCTGTTCGAGAAGTCACCTGGAAGAAAATAACAGGTTAAAAGCCTGTGAGACCTCCTGGAAGCTACAGTAGCACAGAAGAAGAAGAAGCTTCCAGGTGAGACAGTCACCTGGGAGATGTTGACTCCGGTCAGCTTCTCCACGGCTTCGGGGAGGCGGGTCATGATTTCCAGAACCTCCCCTGACAGCTTGGCTGCACCCACTTCTCCTCCTCCACTGGACACCATGGTCACTTTGTTGGCTTCGCACAGAGGCCTGCTGATCTCTTCTGCCATCTGGTGGAGAATAGATGTCACAACATTTTAAAATAAAACGTTCTTCAGCCGTTTCTAAACTTGTCAAACTTCTAACATGCAAAACAAAAATGGGAAGAAATGATTGGCCCTGAATATCAGTTTAGAAGTAGTTTATTATCTCTCTGAATATGCTTTTTCATAATTATTTCCTTATTTAAATGATAAAAAGAGCATCTTAAAAATACCACATTAATTCACGTGTGGCCTGAACTACAATTAAATTTAGCAATTATTAGCTAAAAAAAAATAACACGAAGAAAAAATATCCGCATATTAACACATTGGTCATTTCTGATATGGTTAGATACAAAATAACAGAAGGAGTGTAAACATGTCTCTCACCAGAGGCAGTTTCTCCAGCAGCATGTCCACCATGGCTCCATCCTTATACTCCCTGAAAGCTTCGGCCTTCTTCGCCATCTGCTCTGCCTCAGCGCGACCTTTCGCCTCGACCGCAAACGCCTCAGCCTCACCTTTAACCTGGACAGGTCAACATGAAAGGATTACTAGTTCAGAAGTTAACAGAAATCACCATTAACACATAGATCAGGAAGGAGAACCGGTCGATATTCAAGTCAGTCAAGCAATTTATTTGTAGAAATCATATTCATTGCTGTACTTCTACTAATGCAGACCAACTCATCTTAATCTATTGGTGAAAGCTGAAAGACATTTTGCAGATTTCAGAAATATCCAAACAAAGGCTCTAAAACTGGGGTCTGGTTTTTCAGGCGGCGCCTCAGGTTTTATAAGATTACTTGGAAAAAACAGGAAAAGGCTGTGGATATTTATCTGCACCGTTCCTGTCTAGTGACCGATTACTTACTCTAATAGACTCAGCTTCAGCCTCTGCCTCCATGATCATCTTCATTCTGCAGAGACAATGAAGAAACGGTCAGAAAGGCCAGTTCGGATATTTACCATATGATTTATCATTTACTGTGATACATTTTATATAATGATAAGAATTTAGATTAATGGTGATAATTAATAATTAAGAGTGTCAGAGTAAAACTCCATCCTACCGCTGCGCCTCTGCCAGTTTCTCCAGGCGGTACCGCTCGGCCTCGGCAGGTTTCTTCACCTTGGCCTCCAGCTCCTTCTCCCTGCGGGTGATCTCCTGCTCCTGCAGCATGATCTGCTGCGCGCGCTCCACCACCTGGACCTGCATCTTCTCCTCTTCAATGCGCTGCTTCGTCTTTGCAACCTGGGATCCAGAAAAACAACATCAGTCCGTCCGTCCGCAGTACACGGTGCCACCGGTTACACTGCAACACAGATCAGCTGCAGACCTGCAGCTGAAAAGCCATCTCTGACTCCGCCTTCTTGGTGTTCACTTCGATGTCGTAGGCCGCCTTCTTCAGCTCGTAGTCTCGTTGGGCCTTCGCCATGTCGATCTCGTTCCTGTACTGAGCCGAGATTTTCTCCTGCATAGCGTGGGCTTCCTGCAGCGAGTCAAGGAGAGGCACAGAAATGAGGAGGATCAGAGAAATCACAATGAAAAAAACAGTCAGGATTAGGCCTGACGCGATTAATCAGATTAATCACGATGAATCAATTACTGAGATAATTGTCAGCAAGTTTATAAATCGATTAATTAACTGGAGTATAAAGGCTCATAAAAAAGGCCAATAACCTACTCAGAGTAGCAATTAAGCCAAGACTGTACAAAAAATATATACACATTTTGCATAAAAGGTAGAAAACTTTGCCAGTAAATATGTTCTACCAAGAAACCTTCAAGTTTGTGTCACCTGGATGAAAATCTATTTTAAAAAATTTCCTACTAAGCACCTTTACTATCGAGTTATTAATTGGTTAATGCAAAGAATAATCAGCACATCAGTTCTGTGCTGTATTGATGTTATGTGAAGCAGAAAGAGCTGAGCTTTTCCCATGTTAAAAAGTATTTTAGCTGCAGATGCATTCTTTGCCACAAATAATCAAGTGTTCACTAAAGGAACGCTGATATTGCACTAGATGCAATAAAATGTATATTTTCTTATTTAAAAACGGAAATGAAGCAGATGGCCGGGTTTTCACGGCTGACCCTGATCACTGCGTCTCTCTTGTTCAGAGCCTCTCCGATGCGAGCGTCCTTCTGGACCTGGGCGGTCCGAGCTTTTCCCAGCGAGTGCAGATAATCCTGAGGACCAACAAAATAAACACTGATTACATCTGGACTTCCTCTGATTCATCCTTTTCTGTATGGAGCAGAAGTTAGAAACCTGATCATCGTGGACATCCTTCAGAGTGTAGCTGACCACGCTGATCCCCATGTTGACCAGATCGGAGGAGGCCACCTTAAAAACCTGCTCTGAGAACTTCTTCCTGTCCTTGTAGATCTCCTAAAAGCAACAGATGATATCTGAGATAATAGAAGTATCCTTTACAGTATCTCTTAAGATGGGGTGTGGGTTTCCGTACCTCTACAGTCAGGTGGGCGATGATGGCCCGCTGGTGTCCCTCCAGCGTCTCCAGGGCGATGTGAGCGATTTCAGCCTCAGACTTGCCCATGAACATCTGACAGGCTGCAGCCAGCATCTGCTTGTTCTGGCCCTGGATCTTCATCTGCAGGAAACAGAAGAATGTTGATCACTGCAGGAGGAGAATCTATAAATATGAACTGAAGTAACACAGATTGCAATTATACTACTATCTCATCTTTTATTAACCAAATGTCACTATGATGGACATCTACAGTAATTCCCTGTCAGACTGACTGACTCACTGATTACTTCATATAGACATCATATCATAATTTTTGTTCCTGAGTGCAGAATTAATATAACTTTACTAAGTGTTGAAGATGAATTGATGTTGTTTCCAGAATGTTTAACACAATTCAGTCTGTTTTACTTGGTGGAGGCCGAAACAATCACCTGGATCAATGACTGCCAGACAAACAGACCACAGTTTGTGAAACTGAAGGGTTGTGTGACTGACCAGGTGGTCAGCAGACCAGGTGGTCAGCAGACCAGCACCACAGGGGACTTTTCTCTCACCAATCATTCTCACTCTGAACACCTAAAACTTCAGGTAGCCGAGTTCTGAGAGCTGGTGGACCACTTTGGGGACAATAATCTCATACATGAACTAAATAAATAAAGGAGATTACAATAGATTTCAAGAGAAACAGGGTTAGGTCAAACACTACTTCCAATTTACAATCTCATTTTTAAAGTCTTTTCAGGCACAAGTGGCCTTAGAAAAAGTTGTTGGTTCTAACATTCAGATGACAACAATATATACTAAGACACTATAATCACTGTTATAAATAAACAACATTAAATATATATTGAAATACTTTGACAAAGTGTCATAATACAAACTCTTCTACTAGATATAAATACATTAAACTATTTACCAGAGTAACATAACATGGTGCTGTTTGAATCAAGCAGTCTGACCTGAGCGATGCCAGTAACAGAGATGGGAACCCCATGGCGGGTGTAAACCTTATCACTCTTCACATTCAGAGTCAGCGTGTTCAGAGAAATCCTGCAGAGCAGACAGAGAGGCAGAGGAAGTGGTTCTAATGGAGCCCATTAATGGAGTGTATTTACGATTTGTTTCTGTCAGAGATGCTACAAACACTGAGTAGCAGGAAGTGACGTTAATCCTGAAAATTTAAATTGATCGTTATGGTTATACTGACTCAGATTAATGGACAGGAGTCGAATGGTAGATGCAAGTTGTGACTGTTTACGTCCCAGTATAAAAAGCAAACAATAACAGCTAAAATAGAGAATATTCTACTTATAATGGTATAAATACAAATAAACCATAACTAAAGAATTTATCTTTTTGATTTTGTTTATTTTGCTTAGCAAAAATACATGTCTTTTTTTCTTTTTTACAAAAATGAAAGCTGCAGTAAGAATGCTTAGTTGTTTCTTTACCTCTGTATCTGCTGAATGCACGGGAAGACAAACACTCGGCCTCCAGCGATCATCACCGGAGGAGAACGACAGAAACCTGAGAGGAAACGACCAGAGAGGAATAATTACAGATCAGACATGTAATTCAACTTTCTTCCACATATTTTATCACTTATCAGGTTCTATGATACTTGCATTTTAACAGAGAAGTGGCTTCACAAAGCTCTTTATTCAGTTACATCAAATAAACAATAATATTTTCCCTGACAATACCCATGAATTTCTAGTAGATGTAGTTCATATCCATGCAGAAGCAGATGGGCTTGTTACCTGACACCACCATGGCTTCATTAGGACCACAGGTGTAGAACATGTTTGTTGATCCTTTTTCTGACTAGAAACAAATGTAATAAAACAAATTGAATTAAAAATCATCAAAATGAACATGACTTTCTTTAAATGTGTCAAAGCAAAAGCTAATATTATAACGTCAGATGGAATTGTGGTTTTGTTTATATATTTGTGCAATAAATGAAATTATACAGAATTCATTTCTGGATCATCCATCTGAGCAGCATCCTGCAGGGAGGAGCCGAGGGAGGCAGAACAGACCAACAGGGGGCAAATCTAATTTACGCAAATGTTGCGCAGCAAAAGCAGAAAGAAGCGCAAAACAACAAAAAGATACTCCTCACATTACAGCCGCAGACTAAAAAAGAGTAGAAATGTTTGCTCCATTTCTAAACGCAACATGCAGGAACACGCTGTTTATTTCTATTTTCCTCCATTTGTATGTTTATAACTGATAAATGATTCAAGAGCAAAGACCTACCGCTTGGTGAAAAACGCTGTTATTCGGGTGTAGAAGAGATAAACCGGCCAGTAAACGTCACTTTGACCTAGTAAGAGTCGATGTCTTTTAATCGCAGTAAATGTTTACTCCAGTTAAAGCCGATGATGATGGAGCGAGTCACTGATGACTGCAGCTCAGCGGCTGTAGCAAAACCATCCGACTGCGCGCGTCCGCCATCTAGTGGCCTGGTGGGGAACTAACTGCCACAGACAAGACGGGGTTTTCTTAAACAGTTTTACATCACATAAATTGATTTGTTTTACTAATAATTGAGATGTGCTTTTCTTTTTTAGCAAACAATTTCATAATTGTGCTGTAGGAATGGATATAATAATTGTTTTTTCTAGTATATCTGTTATTTTTCAGAAAAAGATTAACATTCAGTCAGCCTCCTGCTTCAACAGGAGACTATGTTTCTTTTTAACATAACTGCACAGTTGTTCCCTTCAGCAGTTTCTCATTATTATTTTTCAAATGAAACTCTTTTTAAAGTAAAGAGAATTTCATGTTCCCTGAGATTTCAGGAAAATCGAACAAACAACAACAAAACACACTTTCTTTGTACTGCATTGGATGCTTTCTTGTTATTTGTTTATTTATTTTAAGTGCCTTAACATTTCTATCCATGCATTGCGTAGGATTCTATAGAATTGTGCAACATGTGTAGCCCCTCTGTCCAGAGCAAATTCTCCCATGAATGTCAGAAAGAGAAACTTCTACTTTTAAGAAAAATTGAAGCTTGATTTTTGTTCATGTCGAAGCCTAAAATTATCTGGAAATACATTCACAAATGGTCCTCAAAGTAGACTACATCTCCCTTTTCATTTTCATTTATTTAGTGGTTTTAAATCATTTGTTTTGTTACAGTTTACAAATGTTTAGTTTGTTTGTGATAATGTCGTAAAAGTATATAATTTATAATGATTTATTGTTGGTACAGACAATTTTCTATTCTATTCTATATTATTTGCCCTTGTATCATTTACCAGCCGACGGGACACTAGGAGCGGCTGTTAGGTGGGGTTTTCACTCTGATTATACAGAAACGTGGACACTTGATGCACTATTCAGATCCAGTGATGATGACGAGGGACACCAGTAGCAAGGCAAACTTAATTACATGGAACATTTCAGCAACAAGGCAATTCAAAGTGCTTTTTATGATGAAAACATAAAACATCAAGCAAAGATCTACATTGCATTTGCATAAGTAAGGAAAGTAATGAAAAGTTGGACTGGAGACTCATATTAATGTTTTAGTTTATAATCCGTTAACTCTAAACAAACTTTGACCCAGAAACATAAGTTGCTTTTTATGCCTAAACAAAGATGTTGCCATTAACAATTCTTGGGGCATTTCTTAATCCTGAAAAATACATAAAAGTAACATAGTGTTGTTGTATAATTTCATAATTTTCTAATAATTTTGCTACTCTATTATTCACTAATGTTATTTCTACTATTTATTTTTGGAAAATGTCTACGATTACATTGTTGCTTTTCCTTTATTACTTACTGCTGTCGTTCATCACTTTTTAAAACAGGACAACCAGACTTACTTCTTACGCCATTCATCTCACACATTCCCTCAGTCTGTTATTCCTGTTCTTCCTGCTCTTAAACACGCCTTGAAGCTGATAAGAACCAACATCTACAACTTGTTTTCTTTTTCAGGAAATGAGATTCACACAGTCACTGTGGCGGAGAGAAAAATGGAGCAGAATCAGCTGGACCGAGAAACCTTCTCCTGTCCGATCTGTCTGGATCTACTGAAGGATCCGGTGACTGCTACCTGTGGACACAGTTACTGTATGAGTTGTATTAAAACCCACTGGGATGAAGAGGATCAGAAACAAATTCACAGCTGCCCTCAGTGCAGGGAGACATTTACACCAAGGCCTGTGCTAAAGAAGAACACCATACTAGCAGCTTTAGTGGAGCAGTTGACGAAGACTGGACTCCCAGCTGCGCCTGCTGACCACTGCTATGCTGGACCTGAAGATGTGGCCTGTAATGTCTGCACTGGAAGAAAACTGAAAGCCATCAAGTCCTGTTTTTTCTGTGTGGCCTCTTACTGTGAGAAACACCTTCAGCCACATTATGATTCAGATCCTTTAAAGAAACACAAGCTGGTGAAGCCGTTCAAGAACCTCCGGGAGAACATCTGCTCTCATCATAACAATGTGATGAAGATTTTCTGTCGTACAGATCAGAAGTGTATCTGTAGTCTCTGTTTAATGGAGGAACATAAAGGCCATGACACAGTGTCAGCTACAGAAGAAAGGACTGAGAAGGAGAAGAAACTCCAGGAGAGACGAGAAAACATCCAGCAGAGAATCCAGGACCAGGAGAAAGATGTGAAGCTTCTTCAACAGGAGGTGGAGGCCATCAATCGCTCTGCTGATAAGGCAGTGGAGGACAGTGAGGAGACCTTCACTGAGCTGATCCGTCTCCTCCAGAAAAGAAGCTCTGATGTGAAGCAGCAGATCAGATCCCAGCAGGAAACTGAAGTGAGTCGAGTCAAAGATGTTGAGGAGAAGCTGCAGCAGGAGATCACTGAGCTGAAGAGGAAAGACGCTGAGCTGGAGCAGTTCTCACACACAGAGGATCACAACCAGTTTCTCCTCAACTACCCCTCACTGCCAGCACTCAGTGAGTCTACAGGCTCATCCAGCATCAAGATCCGTCCTCTGGGATACTTTGAAAACGCGACAGCAGCTGTGTCAGAGCTCAAAGGTAAACTACAGCAAGTCCTGAGAGACACGTGGACAGACATCTTACATAGCCTTAACGATGTGAATGATTTACTGTCAGAACCAGAACCAAAGAGCAGAGAAGGATTCTTAATATATGCATGTGAAATCACTCTGGATCCAAACACAGTATACAAAAAGCTGGTACTATCAAAGGGGAACAGGAAGGTGATGGTAATAGGTAATCAGTCCTATTCCAGTCACCCAGACAGATTCACTAATCAGCCTCAGGTTCTGAGTAAAGAGAGTCTGACTGGACGCTGTTACTGGGAGGTGGAGCGCAGAGGGGTAGTTCATCTAGCAGTCGCATACAGAAACACCAGCAGAACAGGAAATGAGTGTGAATTTGGAAATAATAACAAATCTTGGGCTTTAGATGTTTTCAATTCTAAATTTGGTCATGATAGCAGTTGGACCCCCATCTCAATTTCTGGTTCTCTCAGAATAGGAGTGTACCTGGATCACACAGCAGGTATTCTGTCCTTCTACAATATCTCCTCTAGAAAAGAAGGAGATGCTGCAACCATGGCTCTCATCCACAGAGTGCAGACCACATTCACCCAACCACTGTATGTTGGAGTTTATGTTGAGGGGTTTTTGGCTGGTTATGAAGCCTCTGTAGAGTTCTGTAAACCCAGATAGATTTTCTCTCCGACTGTTAAACCATGGTTCTTTGTTCTGATGTCTCTGCCGTTCTGTATTCAGTATTTCTCTGGTTTACGTTTAGTTCTCTAAGTTCCAGGGCCCATAAAAGATATCACAGCTGATGTTTCCTTTCATTCTCATATGACAGATCTATCTCTCAACATCAAAATATAAATATAGTTTTGCTTTTCTACTTGTATTGATGTATCTGGATGATCTGGTTTCTCTTCCATTGACTTGTGAGGTACTTACTGTTGTTGAAATAAGAATAAAGTGAATTTAACTTGCTTTTGTTTTGTTTGTATTGTGATCCATAGAAGAAACTGAAACTAATATCAATTTAGAACTGATGCTGTTTTCTTCCCAATAATTTAGATTTTGATCACAAAAATTACTATTTGCAGTCGTAAAAAAATCTTGATAAAAAAATTGGGAACACGTTTTTTCATTATTGCAATAAATTTCGAGTTGTGCCTTCTAAAGCATCTCCTTCAGAGTGCCTCATATGATGTTGGAGAAGATCAGATACACGTATGATATATACAGGGACAACATAAGCAACAATCTAACCTAAGGTAAAATTGATCACATTTACCTTTAACATCAATTGTTCAAACATATTTATCGACTCATGTTCTCTTTTATTAGAATTATGTAAGTTTCTTTTAGAGCGATAAAAATTCAACATGACATATGATCAGTTAGCTCAGCTGGTCAGAGCGTGTTGCTAAAAATGCTAAGGTCATGGGTTCAATTCCCATCCTGCCCCAAGAAAGTCAAAATGCAAGACTATGAATATTGATTTTGAATAAGAACTAGTCCTTAACCTGAACTTCTACCTTGATAATGAAAAGGTCTAAGGTTTATTAATCCCATGAATTTAGTAAAATGCTCTTCAAATGACTGGAAATGCAAAGTTTTGAGTAGATTGTATTTTAATTTCTGGGACAGCAGACCCCACTAGGACTGTGTCGCTCCACAGCTGCATGTGTCTCATTGATGTTAGCAGATGTTGGGAGGTATGATGTAGTCTGATTCTGTTTCATATATATACAGCTCTGGAAAACATGCTTAGTCCTCTGATTTTCCTCTTTATAGGTACATGTTTAAGTAAAATGAAGATTGTTGAATTACTGACAACATGTCTCTGAAATTCCAAGACAAAACTTTGTATTTATGCTTCCAGAAAATGAGAAAAGGTCAAAATAATAAAAAAAAGATGCAGTGCTTACAGACCTAGAATAATACAAAGAAAAAAAAAAGTTTAGATTCATTTAGAAACAACAAAACTAATGTTTTAACTCAGGAGGAGTTCAGAAATCAATATTTGGTTGAATAACCAATGGGGTTTATTGGGCTCTTAATTTTTTCCAGACCTGTATGTAGTTATTAACAGTTTTAGTTGGACAAAACTATTTAATTTCTTATGTATTTATGTATGTAAATAAGCAGTGACTTTAGAAAATGCACCAACGAATAACTTCTCTTGGGCCTTAGTCCTGCTGGGGGCTAAGCATCCCTAAAAGTTAGATCCTAGAATCGCCCCTTGTTGTCACCTTAGTGAAGCTGAAAAAAATAATATTTTTCATGAATCTTGGGCCCCCTGCTGTTACAATTTCTCAAGTAAATTATAAGACACAAATCTGATTATTTGTCTCTATGAAATTTGAAATCACCCCCAGAAAAACACATTAAATTAGTTATATTTGAAAGGATCTCATTTTAAGGGAAACATATTTGTCATATCTTTATTCCAGTTTAAAATGTCCATATGGGGAGAAAATGGTCTGAATAATTGATAGGATAATCCACAGGTTACATAGTTAAAAAAGTGGATGGACAAGTCAAGATTGGTATTTATTTTAAAATTTTCTTATAGCAATAAGAGTTTTGAGTTGTTATGTCAGTAAATTTAAATAATAGTCTCTGGAAACTTGATTATTGCTGTTTAAATGAAAGCATTAGTAAATATTAATTATTTCAGCTTAGTGATTAAAAATCACTTAATAAATTTGGAATGAGTGCCCTTCAGATGCCTGTTTGAAAATAGTATCTGTATAAAATCAGTGATGTTGTTTATAAAATCAGTGATATTGTTTACATTTCAAAAATGAAGAGAATTAAATTTACTTCTTTCCCTTCGGGGGAAAAAAATCTTTCTTCTCCGATATTTCCATCCGGATTATACAAAACTATAGACATAAATATATATCTTTTAAATATAAATATGTTTATATGTGTCAATGGACAAAATTGCTTCATTCTCCAAGCCCTTGCCGAAATGATACGGAAACCCCTTATGAAAGCATTTCCACCAATCATCACTAAGACACGCAGCAACATCAGCCAATCAAAAGAAAGGATTCAGTGTTACTCCCTCCCACCGGCCAGGGCCCGCCTGCTGGACTCGGATCTCTCAACACTCTCCTCTCTCCGCCGGTCCGGTTCTGTTAGTAGGTCGACCTCAGCCCAGCATTTATTTAAGTAGTCCTCCTTCATCACTCCCTAACATAAACCATGAGGGAAATTGTTCATATTCAGGCTGGCCAGTGCGGGAATCAGATTGGTGCCAAGGTAGGAAAAAGTTCAAAAGAAGTCGTTTTTTTTTGATGTTCTGAACTTGAAATGTTTCAGAAATTACTTTTTATCTAGACGGTTTCTAACTTAATACTAAATTGGAAAGAATAAAAAATACTCGTATATTTGTGTTACTTAGATTTTAATAGAGCCTCTGAGGTTTTGTTGGAGAATTGTTACTTTAATTTGAAAATTTTCTGTTGAGTCTAAATAAATAAAGTATTCAGTGTTTAATTAGGCAATGTGACCTATTTCCAATTAAAAAATGACATTGAAACACTGAGGAATAACTGGAGTAATTAGTTGTCTTAATGTACAGTGAAGTCCATTAAGGATTAATTTCTCCTCTTATTACAATTAAAAATTATATGTTATGGATTTAATTTAATTTATTCTAATAAACCAGTTAATCAAAAGAACTGAAGTTTTGCTATTTCTAATTCTCAGTGTTGTTTTGTCCACATCGACATGGGAATTTAACATTTAAAAGGCATCAATAGCAGTCATGGAGGGATGATTAATGGGTTTAGTCAGACCTTTGGAGGCTCACAGGGCCAGCTGCTGTCTTGGCCTGCAGAGGCTTTGTCACTGAGGAAAAACCCAACAACAGGGTGAAAAGAAGAAATTTGCTGATGCAGAGCAGAGGAATGCGACAGGAGGGTGGGGGGCTAACAAGTGGTCCAGTGTCTGCCCTGAAAGACGGATGAGGTCATTTAAATGGCTGCCTTTCTCTCAGTTAACAGATGCACATATTCAAAGAAGAAAAACCAGTTGACTTAATATCAATAACTCCTGTTTTCTGTGTTAGTGTGTCAGGCTGCATGAAAATGTCTGTTGGTTTCACATTAAATAAAATATTTTATAAATCTGAGTGATAATAGCTTAATTCTCCATGTGTCTGCCCCATTTAAAGCCTCGTTGAAAAGGCCTGGCAGCAGCAGCAGCATATGGCCCGAGTCAGAAGCCCTGATCACTGAACAAGTGTATTTACTGCAGACTTAGTGAGTCTGAGGTCATGAATGTTTCACAGTGGATTAACTCCGCTTGAAACCACTCATCAACACAACCCAACCAAAATCCCCGCAGCCTTCATATCTCGGCTCCAGACATCACAAATACATTAAAGCAAAGGTTAAAAGGTCGAAGGAATCTGCCAGTAATTTACCCTTAGCTATTTTTTCTTTGGTTTTGAGAAATTCACTTGGATGACTCCATTCAAATAATCTAAAACTAACATTAATAAGTTTAAATATATGAGTTAAAGTAGCTAAAATTGAAATGTTGCTGTAAGCTGCTTTGGGGAAGTTATTTTGTCCTCTTAAGATGCCCACAGATACAGCCCTTAGTAGAGATTAAGGTCAGCTGGCTGATCTGCTGTGACAGTGTGTGCTCTTACCACAGTTTGGCACCGACATGCCAGCCACTAAAGACGGAGAGTGGACTGAATCCTCTGACAAAGCTCTGCTGATCCCTCCAACTACGACCCAACCCGGGTTCCTAAAGATGCCGCCTTGACCTGAAGCAGAGCTCAGAGCAGAACCAGTTAAATTTCACATCCCACCTTTGCTTCTGCAGAGCCTTAATATACAAGTCGAGTCAGTTAATTAGTTGAGTCCTGTGCTGGTAAGCAGGTTAGCATTGATGGCGCCAGGCTATCGGTTACATCAGAGCTGCATGTCTTTAAAGATGAACACTGAGGGATTTAAAGATCCCCAGAAGGAGCTGGCTTTTTCAAATTTAATAATTTACAGACAAAAGTGTTTGTAAATTATGTTGTCATCTCCTTCCTGCTGTGATTTTGGTCAAAGTGAGAGTTCCTTCTGATTTCAACAATCTTTGAAAGCAATAAGCTTGTATAACTCAGTACCTGCTTTAAATGTGAGCTGTTTTTGCAACTTCAACATGATTGGATAAAAGTGACACAAATTAAAGGTTTTCAGGCTGTAAACAGCATCTGACCAGAAACGTACAGGCCTGTTTCTGTTTTCAGGTGGTCTTGTGATGCTGTGATATATTTAACCGTCAGCATGTGCTTTAGATCCTCAGAACAGAACACAGTTTGTTTCGACCTTAATTGAGTCAAGCTGGAACATTTAAGACATATTCCAGGATTTACTGAATATTTTTCTGTCTTCAGTTCTGGGAGGTGATCAGTGACGAACACGGCATCGACCCAACAGGAACCTATCATGGAGACAGCGACCTGCAGCTGGACCGGATCAGCGTTTACTACAACGAAGCAACAGGTCACTTCTTCCTGTGGCCTTTCCAGTCCAAACTGAGGTTTCTGTTTAAAATGAGGGGGCCCTCTAGTGGAGTCCCAGGGTTACTTCCGCATTTTCCTAATTTAAAATTAATATTTAAGGAGAAACATTACTGTTGTACTCATTTGCAGAAAATCTATTAAATTATGAATCTCAGTCTCATTTTTCACAAGATCCATTAAGAGTAAAAGAAAGGAATTGATTGTGTAAAAAATGTTTAAGAGAAAGTCTCACTGTGGGAAAATAGATACTAACTCAGGGAAACCTCAATGTAAATGTACAACAGTAGATCATGCATTAAGTATCATTGGAAGTGTGTTGTGCTTACATCATTATTTACCAGTTTAAAGTGGGAATTCTACATTTTGGCAATGTGGCTCCATCTTGTGGTGATGTATGATATTACATTAATTTCATCAAACCAGATTTGGATTGACAATTATCAAAAATGTCTGCAAACATTGAAGAATGTTTAATCCAGACATGCTTGAAATTTAAAACGAGGTAAATACATTTTAATAAGAATTGCATGTTGTGTTTGCTCATTTTCAACCAATCTAAAAGCCTGAACATGTCTGTTCAGTAAATATTTTTTAATTTACTGGTATTGTTGTTGTTAAATCACTACACTGCATAAAAATAAGTCTCCTAAAGCAGATTTTTAATGTGTTTTGGTGTATTTGTGTGCAGGTGGGAAGTATGTACCCAGAGCCATCCTGGTCGACCTGGAACCAGGAACCATGGACTCGGTCCGATCAGGACCCTTTGGCCAAATATTCAGACCTGACAACTTTGTCTTTGGTAATTAATTAGTAGGAAGATTGTCGATTAAAATGTTAGTTTTAATTTTATTTTGAAGCTTTTCTAATAAAATCTTCATTTGTTTTCTCAGGTCAGAGTGGAGCTGGGAACAACTGGGCCAAAGGTCACTACACGGAGGGCGCGGAGCTGGTGGACTCGGTCCTGGACGTGGTCCGGAAGGAGGCGGAGAGCTGCGAGTGCCTGCAGGGCTTCCAGCTCACACACTCCCTGGGAGGAGGCACCGGCTCCGGCATGGGGACCCTGCTGATCAGCAAGATCAGGGAGGAATACCCCGACCGCATCATGAACACGTTCAGTGTGGTTCCCTCCCCGAAGGTAACGCACAGCGCTCTCCTAACAGCTACAGCTATCAGATCTTCTTCTGTTTTATCACATGAAACTCTGTTTCCTTCCTGCTTCTCGTTATTTATGTTCCATCAATAGTTTATCATATTAAATCAATATGTGTGGGCTCAGTATTCTTCCTCGCTGGTTATTTGTCTTTGAATTATGGTTTAATTCAAGCATCATCAGTTGAATTAATCGTCTCATTATTTCTGATTCTGTCAGTTTCTTCTCTATATGCTGATTATAACATCGATTGAAATGAGGATACATTTATTATGTAAACGTCTGAACAGTTTTTTTGCAGGCACTGATGGAATTGAGCCAGTTTTCACATTCTGAGGATATTTTATATTTTAAAGGTTAACATGATGTCAAGGAAAACTTTTGTTGTTGGTTTACAGAACTTTCTGCATCTTTGAACTGCTTAAATCAGACAACAGCAGAAAAATGACCCTCAAGTTTCCTTTCTGCCTTTTAAGAAAATACTTTGACCTGTTCTACTCTGCAAAAACACAAAATCTTACCAAAAATTTTAGTCTAGTTTCTAGTGAAAATATCTTAGTAGACTTGAAATAAAACAAAACCTCTCAGTAATTTTTCAGCAAGATGTAAGAGTTTGTTTTAGGTCAATAATTCATTAATATTTATGAAAATGTAGTAGTTGAATTGAAAAATTATTTCAGATATTACAAGACATTTTTGCCATAAAAAATACGTGAACATTGCTTTATTTTTAGCCATGACAAAAAAAAAAGCATATTTTCCCTTTTGTAAGTAACAAAAAAGGAATAAAGAAAAAAAATATAATGCTACTTAGATATAAATATATACACAGTAAGAACAAGACATTGTCATCAAATTCATGTTGTATAATAATACTGTATTTAGACATGAACAAGAATGTGTTTAACTTGGAAATATAAATAAATTATATATTGATTAATTTCATTGAAAAATCTGACAGTGAAGCTCCTTATCAATAGTGAGGAATTATTAATCTAAAACAAACTCCTATATCTTATAGAAAAGTTACTAGTAAGTTTTTCTTATTAAATTTTTCTGTTTAGAAACAAAACTAAAAAATACTTGGTAAGATTTTGTGTTTTTACAATACAAAACAATTAGATCCAATACTTTGTATTTGCTGATTTATCTGAGGGAAAAAATGGAAACAAGTTGAGAAAACATCAGTAAAACTGCACAACCTTGAAAACCTAAAGCACTTTAAGAGATTAAACAAAGTCTGACTCTGGGGAAACGTAAAGGGGAAGTGACGTGTCTCTGTCTCAGGTTTCTGACACGGTGGTGGAGCCGTACAACGCCACCCTGTCCGTCCACCAGCTGGTGGAGAACACAGACGAGACGTACTGCATTGACAACGAAGCTCTGTACGACATCTGCTTCCGCACGCTGAAGCTGACCACGCCCACCTACGGAGACCTCAACCACCTGGTGTCGGCCACCATGAGCGGCGTCACCACCTGCCTGCGCTTCCCCGGCCAGCTCAACGCCGACCTCCGGAAGCTGGCCGTCAACATGGTGCCCTTCCCCCGCCTGCACTTCTTCATGCCGGGCTTCGCCCCGCTGACGAGCCGCGGCAGCCAGCAGTACCGCGCCCTCACCGTGCCCGAGCTCACCCAGCAGGTGTTCGACGCCAAGAACATGATGGCGGCGTGCGACCCGCGCCACGGCCGCTACCTGACGGTGGCCGCCGTCTTCCGCGGCCGCATGTCCATGAAGGAGGTGGACGAGCAGATGTTGAACGTGCAGAACAAGAACAGCAGCTACTTCGTGGAGTGGATCCCCAACAACGTGAAGACGGCCGTGTGCGACATCCCGCCGCGCGGCCTCAAGATGGCCGTCACCTTCATCGGAAACAGCACGGCCATCCAGGAGCTGTTCAAGCGCATCTCGGAGCAGTTCACCGCCATGTTCCGCCGCAAGGCCTTCCTGCACTGGTACACGGGCGAGGGAATGGACGAGATGGAGTTCACCGAGGCCGAGAGCAACATGAACGACCTGGTGTCCGAGTACCAGCAGTACCAGGACGCCACGGCCGAGGAGGAGGGCGAGTTCGAGGAGGAGGCCGAGGAGGACGCCTGACGGAAAAACACAGGGAGGAGTGAAAGGAAAGGTTGATGAAGGAAGATGTGTTTAAAAAAATGAAAGGTTTTAGCAGGTCAGAGGAGGTCAGAGGTCAACGGAAGAGGATTAGGGCCGCTGGGGAAAACGGAGCAGGATTTTAATCTCTTATGTTTTATTCTCAGAAATCAAATTTATTTGTATAACACATTTCAGCAAAAGGACAGTTGAAGAAATCTGAGTTTTTCCACAGAAAGAATTATCTTCTGAGTTCTTTGTTTCTCAGAAATCTGACTTTAATATTTTGAAATCAAGTCTTTTTTTTTTCAGTGGTCTTAATCCTCGTTTGTAAAGGTCTGAATTGGTAATGGGCCAAAATTAGGAGAAATGTGCCAACTTGACCATTTTCATATTTCCAATCCAGTTTGTTTGTGTCACAGAAACTAAACAGTTTTAAACTAAAATCTGAAACTCTCCAGTTTCATCGTGCTACATTCAGGATGAAGATAAAATAATATCTGACAAATTCATCTGATCTAAAGAGAGAAAAAACATCTTTCTGCCTGATATCATTAATCATGTTGCTACTTTGTCCAGCAAACAGTTTCATCGCTCAGTCGTTTTTTTTTTTAAAGTTTGAAGGATTTTCTCCACTTTTAAAAACTTGAACTGAATCCCTGCAGGAGAAACGTTTCTCTTTCAGGATTCATTGACTTCAAAGCAAAACCATAAAGGCTTGATAAACTTAAAGGATCTCTGTTAGACGTCCTTATCTGCGGTTCTCATTATATCGGGTCAAAAAGGTCTTCAGCCTTAAAATGAGCCTCAGAGATAAGAAGCGAAGCTCTTATCAATGTTCTGACATTTTTATCACGTCTGCAGATCCGTGTTCAGCCGTTTGGGTTTAGAAGTTCAACATGATCAGAATTCAGAGAGGAAGTCGTTCTTTTATTGATCAGATTGTCGCAGTTGATTCTGGTTTTGTGGAAGATAAAAAGTTCTGTTAACATCTGAACATCAGATACTGTTTTTATTCTGATTTTTTTTGTTACAGTTTACTCTGAGCCACTACAGTATTAATTTAGATCAAGCTTATTGTTCATGTTCAGTATTAAAAATCCAACCAGGTTTATTTCTGTCTTTTGGATCTGATTTGGGATCTTTACTGTGAAATATTTGGGAGAAATAAAAATGCATTTGTTGGGGAAAAAAACTTCCTGTACTGTCATGATGATTGAGCTTCTTAATAATAATTATAAACTTTATTTAAAAAGGAACAGTATCTGTTCTTAGATCAGCTAATTTGCATCTGCAGTCCCTGGTTACAAAAATAGTTAGAAATTAGAAAAAAAATTGATGGAAGAAGACTCAATCAGAAGATCAGCAACTTTATCCTGCCTGGTGGTGAACGTTCATCCAAATAGTTCTAAAAAAGGGTCAAAGGGCAGTGAACCAGCTGTGACGTCAGAGGAGGTTTCCCTCCCTCTCCTGGTTCGGAACCGGATCGTCAGTCTGCAGAAACCTGGAAAGTTGAACCGCAGAGCTTCTTCTTTTAGCTCCGACGATTCACTCCGAACTTTCCCGACCGCGCCCGAGCTCGAAGCCTCCACACGCCCGACATCTTCCGAAATCTTGGTCTGCATCCCGATGTGTGTTCGGGTTGGGGGAGGTGGGGAGGACGACGTTCATGAAATAAAGAAATAAAAGCGTTTTCCATCATTCTGAGCCCCTCCCAGCCCTCTGATCACCGGACCTCGGCTCTTATAAAGGTAATTACCATCAAATGTTTCTGAATTCATATTCCAGCAGTAGATTTGCTCTCCAGCAGGGAGGCGGTGGGTTAAATGCTGCAGCTTTTCTTGCCTGTTTCTGGAGTGTTTTCCTGTGTTTAGCGGGGATCATATGAGGGATTCAGGGCGTGTGAACCAGCAGCAGCAGCTGCAACATTTCTGGGATCTTCCCTCAACAAGACATGCGCAACTTTACATTTATTTAGAAATAGATATAAAATAAATATAACTGATGCAGAAACCCACGCAGCGCTCACACAAACCCTCGTCAATTTGATTTGATTAGTATTTTTTTTTTCAATTAAATTAACTTTAATTCTTCCATTTGGTTATGAAGTGATACAGATCCGTGTTTTTTCTCCATATTTAGATTTTCACGCGTGTTTGCGGTGGGCTGGTTGTCATGGATGTTGGGGTTTACCCTGCGCCTCCGCGGGGGGTTTCTGGTCCACCCTGCTGGAAGCGGTTACGCAATGCACTACCGCACTCATTCAATCTGCTGACTAAGATGCTCATTTGAAACATCGAACCGTTAATTAGAGCAGAATGTGAGCGACGATGGATGAACGACGAGTTTTACGACAGAAATAATGAACTAAAATGACTATTTATGTTCGCAAATTGGGTAGAAATGACAAACCTTATTGATCCTATTGTCTAATCTGTTTTGAATGCTCTTGTTATGTCTGATCTATGAAGCTGGATGTGCAAACCTTCAGCCAGTATGTGTCTCTTAGAAACTGAAAATCCGAGTAGGAGGCGGAGGTGGAGGAGAGAGAGCATGCTTTACCCTGAACATCAAAAACTGCAACCTTGCATTCTTCATTCATGCCCTCCTCTCTTCCGCTCCCATTTCCTCCATCTTCCATCTCCAGTCCAGACGCTGGTCACGACACACCCTGAGCTGCAGCCGCTGCTGCTGCAGCCGCCGATGCTGCAGCTGCTGTTGGGTCTGTGCTTTGTGGAGATCATGAGCATGGAGGGAAAACATGAAAAAATGAACAATTGGCTGAAAAGTACTCAAGTCCCTTGAACTTCTCCACGTTTTGTTTTGTAATTTTATGAAATTGTGTTCAGCATTTACTAAGAGAGAAAAATGCAAAGTAGGTCATAATTGTGAAGTTCAAGGAAAATGATGTTTGCTTTTATTTTTGTTTTTATTTTATTTTTACCAATGCAAATCTGAAAAGATGTGTTTAAATTTTAGCTCCACCCCAAGCTACTACATTATTCATATTTTTATCATCTAAAACTATGATTTTGTTGCTCTTTCTTCTTTGGAACAACACTCAAACTGATTACATAGACAGGGAGATCAGTTTTTAATTCAATTCAGGCCAGGGATTCTCATCTGGACTTTGACTAGGCCATTCTAAAAGGTAATTATGTTTTGATCTAGATCCAGTTTTATATTTAGGTTTATTGTCCTGTTATAAGGTGAAACTCTCCTCCAGGATTCTCCATCTTTTTCTGTTTCTGCAAAAAAAAAAAAATAAATAAATAAAAAAAAATAGCAGAACATTTTGGATTTCTGGAGATTTCTGGCCTCTAAATTATCTGGAAATGTCTGAAGGCGGATGGTTTTATTTAGGTGCATCACAGTAAAGAAAGCTGAAGCTGATATGTAAAAGACATTTTGAAAGTTTACCCTTCTTTCTCCCAGCATCACATAACATCCCAATAAAATCTATGATAAATTATGAATCTTTTTTAAGGCAATAAGGATTTTTTCATGATCAACCCATCCTAGCCTTTTTCTTTCGAAACCGGACCAAGAAATGAATCAGAGAACCATTTCCTGACCCTCCTGGATGCTTTTAGAACAACAGGGTAATAATTCTGCAGGACTGAAGCTAATCAGATTAGCTGCAACGATAGAAAGTGCTTAGCACAAGGAGAAAGCATGTCAGAGCGTGAGTGGCTGTAGAGGATATTTAATATTAGTGGAGCTTATCAGCGAACCCAGAAACATCACACAGAGTCTCCTCTGTAGGACTCAGGAGGATAATTAAACCCAACGGAGGGATTTAGGAGAATAAAGCTGGGTTTGAGGAGGAAGATAAGGAGTGAAGGCAGAGCGAGCCGACGCTGTAAAGGGAGGCGCAGGAGGAGAGGCACTTGAACGCATCGTTCAGGATGGACTGATGAGATCAGACAGAGAGATGTGACCTCAGCGGCTCTTTGGCCCAGGAGGTTGCTGCCTGTCACACACACCTCTGATCAGGTCGTAGTGATACACACTGTGAACTGTCACGTTGTATTTACTGGAAAAAGATGAGTGAATATTACTTAACTCTAATCATGTGTATTTTTGGGTGCAACGTTACAATGTTGACTTTAATAGAATAAATTATATAAAATTGACTTTATATCATATCATAATCTTATTCTCTCATGGCGAACATGCCAGCAGTGTTGCCTTCATTCTTTCATGTATGTTTGAGAAATCCTTGAATCTCCATTGCAATTGTTTAGCTGTGCAAAATGCCTGGGTGGAGCGAGGACCACTTCACTCCTTCAGACTAGCCAGCAGCAATTAGCAAACACCTGGAGAAACTTAGAACATGCTGAGCTCATTAAAAAAGCTACTTCTCAAAGCAACGCTGGTAAAATCATTGTTAAAGGGTCGACAGAGGAGCCATGTGGTGATGACGTCCTGAAGGCGGAGTTTCAGAAAGACCAGGAGCTTCTTAAAGAGACAGAGCCCTAATTTCAAGGTGTTAAATATCAAAGTCAAATTTATTTTGACTCATATTTGTTACATACAGAATTTTTATAATAGAAGTTAATACAGTTACTTGATTGTATGGCACTATTTAGATGGTTCTGACCTTAAACTTTTTTTTGACAAATATGACAGTTGAGGGTTTTTTGACATGATATGAAAAATGATCTTAGTTCATTTGAGCTCATGTGAAAGGGTGTGTGACCTGGGGATTGGCCAGCAAGATATCCCACAATGCATTGTGATAATTAAACCACTTTTTTATTTGTCACAAAAATTTGTTTTAAGATGCTGAAGGTGAAAGTGTTCTTTAAGAATGAGCCACTTTCACAGCTATTAGCTATTTTTGCATGAAACTGCTCCATGACTGAGTTGTACATTCATTTTCATTTTGTTTTACTGAAATAAAAGTGAACAAATTATCACTGCTCTGTATGTTATCTGATTAAGTTTGAGCAGGAGCTGGAAAATGTTCCAATCAAGTAATTTTATTTTTATATATAAATATATATAAATATATAAATATGTTCCTTCAGAAAGCTTTGTGGTTCAAAATGATTATGAGTTACAACATACACAGACTTATTGAAAATTGCACAAGTGAATTTTACTTAAGCAGCTAATTTAATGAAAATGAAAACATTTTGAGGCAATGAGTTGGCATATATTTCTTAAGTAAGGAGAACTAATTAGATTTTACAGTGCAGCAGGATGACAGGAGAACAATGGCCGTGTTTAGACTCCGGGTTTCAGATGGAAATCAAACCTGCGGCTGAAGGAAGGCAGGTTAAAGCGTCCAGGAGCTTCAGTGGAAAGTGCTGCTCATCTGGCCGTAATTAAATCAGAACCACTTGATCACACATCCATCTTTATTTTCCTCCATGCTGCGTGGTGCCGCCCGCTCGCTGTGCCTCCTCCAGCTTTGTTTAAACCACCTCTCTGACTTCCACTCAATACATGTCCAATTTGTACGCCTTTTTTCTGCTCATTTTCATAATCAGCGTTGAATTCTCATTTTCCCATCAGACAAAGTTTTCTTTGTCAGAAATGTCAAACTTTTGATTCACATCCTTTCAAGCTCCCCAGCATGAATGCTCTTACAGGCAGTAAGGTAATGGCTCCGTGCAGCATTAATATAAAACGTATTCAACCTGCTTCACAGGGCGCCGATTACAGAAATAAGCCAAGATTGCTATTTTGCACCAAAGTACTAAGAGGCTGCTGAACAATATCAGCCCCTTCGTTCTGTAGAGACTCTTGAGAAAGCAGCTTTCAAAGCCTCTGTTCTGAAAAAAATGCTTTTAAAAGACTTCACTGACATTTTCCACTGAACTCTCAGACCTTTGCTGTGTTTTTCAAACATTTGAGACCATGTCGGCTCTCATGTTGGGAGTTTTACTTGAAATTCAAGTAAAACCCCCAATTTTTCTCTTCTGGGCAAAATGGGAAAATAGGAGCTGAATAACTGATCATCATTTTACCAGAATGTGGACAAAACGTCAGGTTTGTCGAGCAGCAAGTAAAAAGTTTGACTTCCAAAATGGAAAGCAAATGTTTGAAGGAGTGAGACGTCGACTTACATCCAGGAGGATCTGCAGGAATGAACTTAGTTAAATATATTATTATCCATTAGCAGCATATATAGAAAGATCTATCTGTTATGTTTTTATGACTGGCAGCACAATTATTGCTTTAAAATAAACGATGGTCTGATGGAACCAGGGTTTATTTCTCTTGGGAAAATGCTGGATAAATGTATTTGTCTCACAGCGACACAAAGCAGGCAACGATCTTGGACATGGAGAAGCTGTTCTGCAGCTTTTAGATGGTACAACCACCTTGATCAAAAGGTTAAATGATCTCTAGGTTTACAGAAAAACCTGAAGATCATTTACAGAAAACGACTTTACCTTCATCACCTATTTGCACCAGGTGATGAAGCAGAGAAACAACTAACAGCTGTCAGAAACAAAACGTTTAGAACTGGAGTTTGACACCTTTTATCTAGAAATGGTCAAAGATCTTTTTCTTTTCTGTTATGTTTCTGTTTTTTTCTGTGATGGTCTTTATTTGCTGGATGAAATTTCTCCGTTGTAACAGGATTGATGGAAGCCCTGCAGTTCACCTCACCTCCAAGCGTTTCAAACTTTTAACGATCTCAGCTCTAATAATGTCTTTTGACTCGACTGAAGCTACAGATTTTGTTTCCACCGAGTCTCAGATGTTTGTTGAGGAAAATCATTTCATCCCATTCAGATTTTATTTCTCTTATTGCATGAATAAAATAAAGTCATCAAAGAAATATTAATGTGAATATTGTAAATATTGAAATAATTTTTCAAACACTATCCAAACAAACCCAGCTCGATGTGAAAAGTAAATTTTTCCCTGAACCTGTCTGGATGTGCAACTCTTTGTCTGCCTTACTTTGCAGAATAGTTTTAATTCAGTCATATTTGAAGGTTTTTAGGGAAGGCTTCTTTAAACACATCATTTTACAGATTTAAGACCAGACTTTGACTAGGCCAATCTGTTTTTTCAAGTAATTTAGGTATTGTTGAGCTTAAAGTCGCAAATTGATGACAATATGTTTTTATTCAACATTTTCTGTTCAATTGTCCTTTTTCACGCTAATGTAAACATATGTTTCTGCTGCACAGAGTATTTTTAAACCGAACCACCTCAGACAGAAACTGATTAGTGCGTCTCATGAAACAGAGTTTGTGTTTTCTGAAGGTCTCGTTGGAGGCATGCGGATGCTAAAGAAGTCTTTATTTGCTGTTAATTGTCTGCGTCTTTCTGTTTTGCAGAGAGAGGCAGTCCAAGATGAAAGCCATCGTAGCGGCGGTACTTAGCGCCGTGTTCTGCACCGGTAAGCACAAACAGAATCAGGAGCCGAGTTCAGATAAATTAATGTTTGAAACCGACTTCCTTCAAAACCAAACTTAATGATTTACATTAGGAAAAGCTCAGCAACAAAGCTCATTTGTGTCACAATCTGTTTCATTTCCTCTTGTTTTGTTGTGAAACATTATAATCAGCCTATTTTTAGACAACATTTACATTTCAAATGTTTTAGTGTTAATGTGAAAGTTGTTTGGTTTTCAGAACAAAGGAGTTGATTTTCTGTTTTCTTTCTTTCTCTTCCAGTTGTGTCAGCGTCTTCCAAAGGTAACATCACTCGTTTGGAGGATAATGTTTGAAGGATATAAACTTTTTGAAAGCTAACCACTTCCTGTTTGCATCAGTCAAAGAGGAAAGGAGGACGGCCTTCTTCGGCGAAGACGTCCACATCGAAGTGTCGTCGTGGAGCGACCCGGAGGTCGTGTTCCGACCCAGGACCAACAGCTCCTACGAGGTGCCTCTGCTCCACGCCGGCTATAAGTCGAACAAGACTGAGCTCAACTCTCTGGGCCACCTGGTGCTGAAGGACGTGCAGGAGGAAGACGAGGGGCTGTACATCATCAGAAGCGGCAGAAATGTCAGCATTTCCAAAAACCTCATCCTCATCGTGAGAGGTAAGAACTGAAACTCTGCTGCTCCTCCAAACCGCTGGACATTTTCTATTAGTGTTTGACTCATTAGACACTAAATTATAAACCTATTCTTTGTGGAAAAACCCCACCGGATTTTGTGAATTAATCGTTTCTTCCAGAAATCAACTCATGTCTGTGAAAAATGAAACTATTATTCAAGTTAATGATGTCTAAACTCTGCTGGAAGCTAATTTATCGCCTTCAATAAACTGTGAACTCAACAACATCCCAAAACGTTGAAATATAAATAAATTATTATAGGTCACATAATCCATTAAATGATTACAAAAAGAAAAGTTATGAATGACTTAATTACCAATTGCATGGAGTAATTATCTAAAACATAATCAACAGCTCTTTGTGTCTTAAAAGGAACGTAATCAAACCTGATTATGTGGCAAAGATTCTTTATTTAATTCCTGGAGATTTCTAGAAAAAACAAATTCAGTTTTGAGTCATTAGTGTCGCTGACCTTCAGCATAATATGACTGATTTTCAGCTTCTCTCCACAGTAAACATTTCTCTTTGTCTTTAATCTTGTGCCGACGCTCAGACTGCGCTTTGGAGCAGGTTGTAAAGTATGGAGAAACGTACATCATCCACCTGAATCAAATCGAAGGTCCGATCACGCTGGAGTTCAGGTACGCCAAACAAAGCTCATCTCTAACAAACATGAATTCAAGTTGGGCCATTTTTACTCATTAATGTGCTTGAAAACTTGGGGCCTGCAGGTTTTGGATGCATCCTGCTCCAGCACACCTGAATCAAACATTGCTGATTCATAAAACACTGATGTGTGTGTGCTGGTTGAATGTCCTCCTCTCTGTGGTTTCTGGTTTTTAGGCCCAGCCTGGTCAGAGTCAATCAGACGTTCGTCCCTCACACCTCGGAGCCGCCCCCGGTGCTCCTCTACAACCAGAGCGCCGTGTTGGGGGACGACTACGTCGGGCGCCTCAGCGTGTCGGACAGGCAGGTGATGCTGCACTCGGTCAGGATGACGGATGAAGGAAGCTTCACGGTTCTGGACCGGGACGGCCACACCAAGATGAGGAGCTGCCTGAATGTCAGAGGTCAGGAGAAGAGAAATCTGACGCAGCCGAAGCTTTCAACAATAAATCTGATCCTTCTTGTCCAAAAATGTCGGATATTTGAATGTTGGCTTTTAAGAATCAAAGCTGTGCTGCTTTGTAACTTATCAGATGTAACAAATCAGGAAATTTCTGCATATTTATAGGCTCTAAATCAACTGATTATCATCTTCCTGCTCATAACAATAATTAGAAGTACAAAGAAACAAATTTGTTTGCAAGTATTAAAAACTGCACCAGAAGACAGTCATGAACGTGGAGAGAGAGAAAACAGCTGATGCTTAACGTTCCTGAGAAGACTGAGCAGGTTCAGAGGTCAAAAGGTCACTGCAAACTCACAATGTTTGTATGTAGAAAAAAAAGAGTGTAGCTACAAACAACTTGTTAACTTGTATAGGAAATGTTTCCTGAAGGCATAAAGAGGTAATTTATTCCCCTTGATGCTCTGATGTTCAATCAATATTTCCACTGGAGCAACAGAAACAAGCAGAGACTTTTCTGTTTCCTTCCACACTTTTCTTCTAACTGGTGGTTAAAAAGTTTTTCTTTTTCAACCAGTCTTCAGCTCAAAACTAAATGATAAAATCAAATTGCATTCTGGGAAAATTATACAAGTTTGAGGCAGCTGATTTAATTTATTTTGTCCTAAGTGGCTAAACAACTAAATAAATGATGAGCATATTATTTATTATTTATTCATTCTGACTTACTGACCTCAGAATGAAGGAAAATCAAATTAGTGTGCGTTGCTTTGCACCTGTCATGATGTTTTCTGGCGAGCAGCCGTCGTCTCCAGTGTGTCTGTGAATCTGATCCGGACGGATTAAAACTCATCATGTTGGTATTTTCTCCTCCAGATCACCAGAGTTTCCTGCATTTTGCCTACGGAGAGAACCTGAAGATGAAGCTCTTCCTGCACTACTCCAACCTCAATGTGGTCTACAGGTCCAAACGGGACAAGCAGGAGCAGGTCATCGTGAACCAGGGGGTCCCGGTGGCGCCGCTGGACCCGCAGCTGGAGGGGCGGCTCACTGTGGACGGGTCGGAGCTCGTCATGAAGAAGATGCACCCTGCCGACTCGGGGCTCTTCAAGGTCACCGACCTGGCTGGCTTCACTGTGGCTCACGTTTACATAGACGTGGAAGGTAATAAAAACTCTTTATGTTACATTTATTAAAATGTTCAGAATCCTTAATGATGACGGGTGAATCTGGACGCATCAGCTGCTTGATTTTATGCTCCTTCATGAACTGGACTGACTGCACTGAAAGAACACAAAATATTAAGGAATTATTGACTCAACCAAGGTCCTATATATTACTAAAAAGTTACTTGTGAGCTAAATGATCTTAATTCAAGTGTACTAAGATGTTTGGACTAGAAACCAAATATCTTTGACCAAAATACTTTGTATTTTTCTGTTTGTTCAGGTAAAAGAATCAAAAATGCTCTTTAGTTCATTTTTTTGTTGTTTTTACAATTTGGTTTTATTGAAAAGTGACGCCCTTCACTTTATTCACATTTAATTTTAAGATTGCAATTATAGTTCAGAAACTATAAATGAGGATGAGCCATAAAAAACTTGATGCTTCCAAACCTTCACAGATATAAACAGAGGAAACTATAAATAAATACTGATTTTGTGAATCAGGGTGATATTTCAGTGACATCCTGCGTCTCTCCATGGCGTTACCCTCCTGACCCAGCAGAGGTCAGGGGGTTACAGAGGGACCCCTGGTGGACTCCCTGGGTAGCGTGGAGGTCATCATGGAGGGTCTCCTGATTGTGCTTGTCAGCTGTGACCCAGTCGCTGCTGGATGTGGACCCGGTTTGAGCGTCTGTGCGCAGACTTGTCTCAACCGTTTGAGGAGTTGCTGTGTGTTTTCAAGCGGAGGCGTTTCCACCCTGCCGACTGTAATCCACCTGATTTCAGATGATAGTCACAGCAGTGGGGTCACGCGACTTTTCAGCAGATTTATTACGTTTTCACCCCTCCGTCTGGGTGTTTGCTTTCTTTTTGTCGGTAACTGGAGCCCCGGTGAGTCACAGCGTCCTTCGATTTTAATTCCTCTGCCTTCAAGGACAACACAGCCATAAATGTGACAGATCACAATCCGTCTACAGAGGTTATGTTGTATTGATTAAAAAGGTAAAAAGAACAAAACATTTGTCTCACATCTGCTACATAAGTCCTTGTCATTTCATCCCTCCTGCCTTAGGAGAATCTTCTGTTTGCATTTATATATATTTAACAGAGCCATCTGTAAGCACGTCTTGCTAACCGGCCGCTGCTGCTCCTCGTTAAAGACCCTCGTAAATGCAAAAATCAATCTCGTAACAGATGTAGCTTAAACCGGGGGCTTTACATTAAAATTCATCTCCACATGCGTCCCAGGTGACCTCTGGATCAGGTGTCACCTTCCTGCTCTCCATGCAAATAGAATCAAATCTGATTTATGACCTCAGGAGGCTCCTCATGTTTTGTTTCATGATGTAGAAAACTAACAAACAGAAGATGATAAAATAGCTTAGTGAAGTCCCGGGGTGTCCAACATGTGAACCTGGGGTCATTTGCAGGCCTTTGAATCATTTAGTGCAGTCAAATTTCACTGAAGTAAGAGACTTCTTAATACAGTTACTCAGGTAAGAGTAAAATGTAAAGCATAGAAATAATACTCTTAAATGTTACTCCAGTAAATGTATCTATTTATCTAGACTCATTATTTCCTTGATCGTTTCCAGCCTATAAGATGGCCCCTCTGTCTGTCGCCATCCTGTCCATGCTGGGCCTGATCGCCTTCATGCTGCTGGTGTGCCTGCTGTCCTGCCTCTTCAAAATACATAAAAGAAACGAGAAGAACAAGAAGCTGACGCTCATCGCCCAGCAGGCCGGCAAGAAAGACGGGGAAGCTTTCCGACAGGTAATTTTCTGCAGCTCGGTTTATTTCTGCAGCAGTTTTTTCTTAAAGTGAGGAATGTTGGAGACAGTGAGCTGGTTTTGGTTCAGCTGGTTACCCAGAAGGAGTGGCGTGTGTGACAGTTTGAGGGGATTAAAGGTAGAGGAAGGTTCTGCTCCTGCTGTGGGAGTCAAGATGGCCGGCTTCGTCTCCTGCAGAGCCGGTCCTGATGAGAGCCAAATTCAGCAGAACATAACGACTGAAGAGGAGCCAGGGAAGAGTTATCCTGCCTCCAGCCCTCATGCCTCCTCGGTTCCTGCTGAGCGCGGCTGCAGAGGCACATGAATCCGGGGAGAACGGCCTTGAAATCACGCCCAGGCAGGTTCAGCGGCTGGAGACGTTTTTTCCAGGCTGCAGTCTGAACACGGCTTACAGCCATCTGCCAAAGAGAAAACCTGGTGGCTCCACTGCCAGGATATCTCTTCATCACTGAGAAATGATGAAGATGGGAGTGAAATGTGAGCAGGGAAGGAAGCCATTGTTGGGTTTTAGATGTGGACCGATGCAGCTGAACAACAATAACTTCACATTGTTTGGACCTGAGAGGAGATCAGGAACGCTTTGAAAGCTGCATGCTGTTGTGATTATGTTTGGGTTTCTGCTTTCATTCCTGTGTTTGGATCACTTCTGAGTTCTTTATTATCTAACATAATATTTATTGAAAGGTGCCATATTAGTTCCTTTCTTGATGTTTTTGCAACTTAAAGTTAGCTATGAGATTCTGTGCTTCCCTAAACTAAAGCGCCTCTGTCTGCTCCACACTGCAGATATGATGTAGGTATAATACTGACTATTCATAAAACCACCTTAATGAAACCAATCTATGTTTTTAGGTCTCAGAAGTCAAGTGTTATTTTGTATTTAATATTGAGTTATAAGTGCAGTTCTTGTTGTGAACTGTATATATTTTCTTCCTTCATCCATTTTCTGAGGAAATCAGCACATTTCTGCTCTGAGCGTCATGATTAGCTGCCAAATTAAAATGAATTTATTCATTTCTGACAAGAGTTCAACACCCACCAGGAAACATTTGATTTTTAGTTTGCTCGATTGTTCATGACTGATTGTAATTTTGTGCTGCTAATCAGCCTTTAGAGCAGGTGTTTATTCATTAAATGACAACCTACGTACTTCAAAAGAGCCTTTTTAAGGCCATTACCATGTTTTATGCTTCTTTAAATGTTAATCTTGAATAAAAAGGAGTTATTATTTTTTTCCTTTGTTGTCCTGCTTTATGCAGGCTGATTAACTGATTTGGTAATTTGGGTTTAATGCTGATTATTCACCAAAATAACATCTGAAATTCAAATAAATGGCTCACCTGTTGAAGAGCACCTAAAAATCAGGTGCATAAATTAATCATTATTCTGTATTCAACAACTGATTTGAACCTGCACTGGTTTATATTAAGCTTATAAAGTTTGAATAAAACCGGCGTTGTTCAAAGGAATAAACATTCAATGTCTATAGAGATTAATCTTAGGAGTAAATCCATTTAAAATCTCAGCACCAACACTCAGCATTTTGACATAATTACCAATTAATGAGAACTGTTCTCCAAAGCTTTTTGTTTAATCTTGAGTGCCATTTGAAGTTGATGTTCCCCTCATTCCTCAAGCAGTCTTCACAGCAAATGTTGCTTGAAAGTAATTGAATCTTCAGAGCAATTAAAAAGCCACTGCAGGCAGAAGACTCACTCATGGTAAACAGCAGCAGCCGCAGAGACTGATGGCTTCGCGGGGACGATTAGGTTATGCCAAGTGTTTGCAATAATGATATGCCACATTACAAGCCCAGATTATTTATGTCACACTTCAGGTCACAATTGTTCTGGGATCCAAGTTAATAAAAGCTTTAGACTTTATGTAAGAGAGTCTGACAGTTTCCTAACCACCACAACCCAACAGAATGAAGCAGATTTAGTTGACATCAGGAAAGGCTTTTAGTTTCTGTTATTATTGTCCTGTTAGCATTAGCTATTTGTTTCTATGACAAGAACAGCTGTATGAGATAATACAGTCTCATTTTATTTCTCACTGCAGCTGTTTCAGCACAGTTTAAAATACTTCATGTTTCCTTTTTATTCTATTTAAAATATATATTTTTATCAGCTTTATGACATATTTTATTGCTTGCCTTTGGCTTTGTTGTGTTTTTTTTATTGTTTACTTCGCTGTCCTAATTTCTAATGCGTTTTAAATATGTAGGGAAGAAAATGAAATGCTGGATTAAACACTTTTATGGTTTAATACATTTTGATTCCCAACAGAACAAAAGATGCATTTTCTTAAAGTTAATGTTGGACTTAGCATGTTGCTAACACGTAGCTTACTGTGCACCGATTGCTTTGAAAGCTGAGATAGAGAATAACGTCATAAACCTCGTTCTAGTTGTATTTATGAAAAAACAATGAGATTTTCTAATTAATGTTAGTAATCAGGGCTAACTACTACTAGCAATACAAGCTAATAGCTAAAGTTTTAATATTTTCTGAATTCAGACGTGTTATAGTCACTGACCTATTAAACAATATAATGACTAATGAGCTTTTTAGTAGGTACTAGAAATATGGTTGTCTTGAAGGTTTAGTTAGGAGAACCTTTAACTTTCTAAAACAAAATTTCAACTTCTGAGATTTTTTTTTTTACTTCAAACCCTTAAATTACAGCTAAGAACAAAAACATCTTTATATTAAAAATCTCTATGCAAAAATATGAAATTTGACTTTGATGTCACTTTATTTTGAATGTAAAAACATGGAAAATAGAAATGGCCACTAACACACATAACATCCATGTCAAATTTAGTTTTTTATGTTGAATAATCTGATACAATACAATGGCAAGATTATGGTTTCTTTTTTTCCAGGTTGTCAAATAATTAGCTGTAGTGTCAGCTTCAAAGTTCTTGGCTCTCAACAAGATGTTAACTCTTCTTAAAGAGTTGCTGAAACTTTGACTGCTTTACTGTGATATGGCATTTTAAGCTGTTCTGCTAAGAAGTAATTTAAGTTCTTCAGCTAACTGACGTTTCACCTTCAGCCATCCTTTCTGCTTCAGCTTCTTCAGCAGATTTTTGGCGAGTTCATTCAGCTCAGAAAATCTAATTTCTCTGGTGTCACAGTTGTTTATGTCCCATTTCTAAGGTTTCTGCTGCAGCTCCTGCGTTCACCTGTCACATCTTGCATTTTTGGTGCAAATATTATAAACTCTGCTGCTGTGATTTTCTCATGTGTGGTGATTTTCTTCCAGACATCATAGTTTCCATATATGAAGGTGTAATGAAGAGGCCTTCATTACTGAATTAATTTATTCAATGTATTGTATCGCACTGTAAAAACATTTGCACTTTCTCACTATGCACTTTATTTAGCACTGCACTTTTAAAATAGATCTATAAATTAACATTTTGCACTCAGGAAGTTTTAATTGTATTTATTGAGTATTTTAGGGATTGGTGTGTAGCCTTTGTTCTGGGCTCTGCACAGCTGCTCCTCATTGGCCAGTGGAGGTGGTTAACTGTGAAGAGAGGAGAATTGATACTCAGAGCAATGAGCTATTGGTGGATAAAACTAAATAAATGATGTGCATAATTTATTAGGTGTGGAATGTGCTAATATAGTGACTCACCTGTCTTTTTATGTGTCCTCTCAGGATGTTTGGACAAATATTGTCCTAAGGGGCTGGACAATGATATAGGTCCTGAGAGACCATTGAGAAAAATGGGAGAGGGGAGTATTGTTTTATGGTGTACTGTTTTATGGTGTTTTAGTAAGGGTAAGGTTAAAAAAAAAAATATTTATAAAAAGGAAGTTGATGTGGTTATAGTAAAATGTATTTTATTCAATTAAGGGGAACAGGGTAAGATGGGATTATCTTATGAATTTTCAGATTGTTTTAACTGTCACAGCTGGGACTATTTAAGATTGCAATTTTCACCTGTGAGAGAGATATTGAGACATTGAGATGTTTGTAAGACCAAGAGTGTGACATTGTTTGTGATGCTGGGAGGAATAAACCTGCTGTTCCACCTAAACTCTGCTTGATATCATCAATCTGCACTGAAAAATCCAGCCGTAAAAGGCCAACCTGTTACAGAAGGTAGTAATTTGAAAACTTAGTTTATTCCCCACATGTTCACACATGCACTTCTGTTTGTGTAATTTGTATGTTTTCAATAAATGTTTATTAATCTGACATGATGCATGTGCTGATCTTATCTTTAGAAAAGAGGCTTTCTTGCATTCAGATGGATGTTTCTGATTTCCAGGCTGATGTTGTTGCATATTCATTACTTTCCCGCTCTAACATTAAGGAGCTTCAGTCGACGCCTCTTCTTGGTGAGAAATTTGTGTTGCGGCCTCTTCTGGTTTCCTCTCCTCCTCCTCTTCCTCCTTCGTTTTGATATTCAGAGTCGTGCCAAACAAGTTCCTTAAATCAACGTTTTTTTTCTGTGACAAACTTTCTGGTGGCTGTAACAGAAATGTGTGTGTGTTCAGTATCTTTGAGCCTGTTTGCGATAACATAAAGCCATTAACGATATTGAGCACTTAATGACTCCTGCAGAGCCAAGAGAAACTGCAGCCATCAGACATAATGATGGAACAGATGTTGATTGAAGACCTAATTTGACAAAAAGTCAATGAATTAGGTGAAGCAGATCTGGCACCCAGACTTGAAACAAAGTGTCTCTGTTATTCTTACGGACTCGTCAGGATTCATGCGACCGCGCCGCATGCAGCGGCTTCAGCTCTTAATGCAGCGGCTTCAGCTCTTAATGCAGCTGCACTATGTGGCATGGAAATCAGGATGCACACATAACCAGCAGTGAGGGGTAGAAATCAATATGAAATCAATTATTTAATCATTGTGAGGAGTTTATGCATCGCTGTTTTAATGGGTGAAGACATGCGGTGAATTCAGTTAGTTTCTTTAGAATAACATCATTGCTTACTCTAAATACCTGCGGTTTAGTGGATCTGTTGGGATAAAATAGCTTCTTATTATGGCTCAGTATTATTAATCTGATGAAATAATTCTTGTATGTAAAATAATTTTGCTTTTAGTTAAAATAGAAATTGTGAAAAGTCACTTATGAGACTCATTACATCACCTCTCCTGACCGTTTGCAGTTTTATAAAAATCTACATTTCTTTTAAACAAACTCAGTTGATGTGCTCGATTAGTGGATTTTCCTCTTTGAATGTTAAAACTTTAAAATAAAATATAGAACAATCCAATCTTTGTCTTGACGAGAAAGCACTGTTTCCACCAGCAGATGTTTTATCTATAACACAGAGAACAAATGAAATAATCTGCTAGACATTTTGTTAGATGGCAGGTTTGATGATTAGAAAAACTGCAAAGCAGGAAACTAAACAAGCTTTCGATTTGTTCAGATTCATCTTGAGTTTCAACAAGTTTTTTATTTTAACAGTTAATTTGTCAGTCAGCAGATTAATGAGTTTAATTTAAAACCATTTTGAAGGTTATATCTCATGGAGAAATTAGAAAGCAAAACAGGTTTTAGAAAAGAAAAGTAGAGTTGGATGTCAGTGTAGCAGAAGCTTTTAGAAAAGGTTTCGTCTCTAAATGGAACGAAGACCAGAGGAAACGCATTTACGTCACATTCAACCCAGAGTCAAGGTCTGCAGAGAAGAAAATGCTTTCTGGTTGATGTGGACGAACCAAAAGCATTAAGGGAGAAGCGCTAGATAGGATTGAGTGAGAAATGTTCTTATTAGTTTTTAGAAATGCAACACCTGGAGGGAGAGGATGAGAAATAAGATGAGGGAGCAGAAGCTGCACGAATTCACTCTGAACGGTTATAAAGAACGGCCATTAGAGCACAGGAGAGGGAGCGGCTGAGTTTCTGACGGGACACCAGGGTTTTAGGGAATATGAAGCACAGCCAGGCCTGGGATCGGGGAATTTAATGGGAGTTTCTTTATTTTTACTTTTTGTTTTGAAAAAAAGAAGCTTTTCATGTTTGAGTGCAGTTTCTGAGCCAGGATCCGGACCAGAAGGTGGTGGTAAAACTCCGTAAAGAGTCGTTCAACTTTTCTTTTGCAACCATTAAAGACAAATATATTTTCACACATCCACAGCCTGTGAAAATATCAGGAAGTATAGTTTGAACTGTAAAATAATTTTTCACACTCGTCTCTTATTAAGCATCAGAAGAATATTTCACTTTTTCTTTCCCTCACTGCTCTATTAAAAGCCAACAATCTGCAGTTTTTCATAAACAGTTATGATTACTGTCACCAAAGAAGATCCTGGAATGAACATCTGGTTTTGCACACATTTCTCTCCTGTTGTTGTAAAAAGATAAATCATGACGTAAACGTGTGTGAGTACATGTCCTGATTCAAGCTTGTTGTTTCAACAGGGGAATCTGTTTGTGCTGTTTGTCCTTTTGTGAGTTTGTTTGTTAATATTGTATAATTATTAATTGTTAAGAAGTAAAACAGCAAAATCTGCAGCTTTAAAGGTTATATGATAACTACCTTGTTGGGGTAATTAGAGTTAATAAATGGCATGTCAGGATTTTGAAATCAACTTTTGTGCAATGACCTCAGCTTGGGTTTCGATTGTTGGACAAATTCAGTATTTCTGCCTTATTGTTTAAAAGCTGATGCAACAAAACAACATTAAGCAAGAGAATAAATGCATATAAAAGTATAATTATTCTCATTGCTGGTTATTGAAATCATTTCTGAGGCCACAAATTTAAACCATGTTCGTTTTTTTGAACCAATACGTACATCTTTTAAAGTTTATCCTTGTTTACCTCCATATTCAACCAAACAAAAACATTCTACAGCTTTGAAACTTCAAATCTGTATCCATTTATATTATTTTAGCTTTATTTATGTTCTAAAGCAGGAGTGTCCAACTGTGTTCAACTTTGAAATGCGTCAGTTCTCCAACACACCTGAATGAAACGGCTTCATTCCCTCAGCAGCTTGAAAAGCAAAAGACAATCAGATGAAAAGTGGAACAGCTGTGGCCAGAAGAACCACAGGAAGCCGGAGAGAGGAGAATAATGAACGCACAAGCTGAGATAAACATCATTTATTAAACTAAACATAAAGGAATGAACTGATTTAACTACATCTACAAGAAGGAAAATGACCAGATTGATCATAACACAAACCAAACCCAAACATCTGTGGATGTTTCCTGATTGTTTCAAGCTCTAAAAGTTAAAGCTGCAGGTTTTTCACTGTTTTTATTGTCTGTTTGCAGTCGCTATGTTTGTTTGTGAATTGCTGTTTTCTTTTAATCTTGTGATCTTTGTTGTTAATATTTGTTGTACTTTGATGGTGGAGGTTGAGACGACGAACACGGCCTGGTTTTTAATTTTTCTCAGATCTTAGAAAAGAAGCAGCAAACCTGGAGGAACATCAGGCACCTGACTAGTTCCACCCTTTACATGACTATAAACCCATTCTGGAGTTATTTTAATATGTTTTATGGACTTTGGAAGTATTTGAAGACACATTTCTTTTCACAGTTTTATCAAATTATTAACTAAATTACAATAAAAAGGTTTTATTAACTCCTAAAAAACCAAAAGTCTCACTCTCAGTTAAGGTCAGAGTTCATGTTTCAACAACTAGAAAGAAGTGGAAAATTCTGTCTCCATGTTTGAGTTCAGGAATTTGCCTAAAAACATCCTGATGATCATTATTTAGGAAAATATTCTGAACTATGAGATGAAAGTGGAACTTTTTTCACAGCATTGTGGTTCAACCTGTGCAGATGAGTTTGTTACATCTGACAGGTCAGTTCTGCAGCTTCACATTAAACTATTTTTAACAGAAACCCAACATATTTTAATATTTCATAACAAACATATTTTAATGTTTCATAACAAACATATTTTAATGTTTCATAACAAACATATTTTAATGTTTCTTAACAAATACATTTTAGTTTAGTCATGTTTTACTTTCATTCCCTGGTTTTCTCCTGGATGATCAAACATTCCTGAATCAGAGGAGTCGCCTCTCAACCTCCATCCTGAAAACATCACTGTGTGTGTGTGTGTGATCTGTGTGTGTGTGTGTGTGTTCAGTGTGATCTGTGTGTGTGATGTGTGTGTGTGTGTGTTCAGTGTGATCTGTGTGTGTGTGTGTGTGTTCAGTGTGATCTGTGTGTGTGTGTGTGTTCAGTGTGATCTGTGTGTGTGTGTGTGTGTGTGTGTGTTCAGTGTGATCTGTGTCTGTGTGTGTGTGTTCAGTGTGATCTGTGTGTGTGTGTGTGTGTGTGTGTGTGTGTTCAGTGTGATCTGTGTGTGTGTGTGTGTGTGTGTGTTCAGTGTGATCTGTGTCTGTGTGTGTGTTCAGTGTGATCTGTGTGTGTGTGTGTGTGTGTGTTCAGTGTGATCTGTGTGTGTGTGTGTGTGTGTGTGTTCAGTGTGATCTGTCTGTGTGTGTTCAGTGTGATGTGTGTGTGTGTGTGTTCAGTGTGATATGTCTGTGTGTGTGTGTGTGTGTGTGTTCAGTGTGATCTGTGTGTGTGTATGTGTGTGTGTGTGTTCAGTGTGATATGTGTGTGTGTGTGTGTGTGTGTTCAGTGTGATCTGTCTGTGTGTGTGTGTGTGTTCAGTGTGATGTGTGTGTGTGTGTGTTCAGTGTGATATGTCTGTGTGTGTGTGTGTGTGTGTGTTCAGTGTGATCTGTGTGTGTGTGTGTGTGTGTGTGTGTTCAGTGTGATATGTCTCTGTGTGTGTGTGGGTGTGTGTGTGTGTGTGTGTGTTCAGTGTGATCTGTGTGTGTGTGTGTTCAGTGTGATATGTCTCTGTGTGTGTGGGGGGGTGTGTGTGTGTGTGTGTGTTCAGTGTGATCTGTGTGTGTGTGTGTGTGTGTGTTCAGTGTGATATGTCTGTGTGTGTGTGTGTGTGTGTGTGTTCAGTGTGATCTGTGTGTTTGTCTTCCTGTCTGCTGATAGTTTGGATGTGAAGCTCGTTCTCAGCAGCGTAGATCCTCACGCTGTGTGAATGTGTGTGTTTTTGCAGGTGGTCCATGAGGCTTACTGCAGGTTCACTGAAGAGTCTCTGATGCAGTCAGTGTGTGAAAAACCGTCAGAAACCACTGAGGTCACCATCAAGGTAAAACCTATAGAAGCTGATAAAAACACTTTAAACTGACAATAAAATAAACTTTTGATGGTCGGAGCATTTCATATTTTACTCTTTTATGTTTTCTACTTTCTACCATCGATTAGGTTTTGTTCTTTGATTAGTTTTGACATTTTTGTTCTGTAAAACTTTATTTTCTTCACTGCTCTCCTCTCAATTGTTCTTTATTTCCTGCAAACCTCTCTATAGACATTTATTTTGCTGTATTTATTCTATGTTCCATTATAATACCTTTTTAGTGTTTGAGTTTCCTGAACTGAAGTATTCCTGTTTTGTTTCTGATGGCTTTATAATTATTTAGCAAGAACCGTTTTACAAACTAGCTACTTCTTATAATAATAAATCAGTAATAATTATTTTATTTACATAAAACAAGAAAACTTTGGTCTGATTCAATTTCAGACAGTGAGAAAAAAGTTTATTTATTTGGTTCTTCAGTCTGTGGACAATTTTTAAATGTATGAAAGTTACAGTTTTAACGAACCATTTTGAAAAAATTGATCGAATTTAATTAGAAATAAAACATTCAGATGTGTTTTTATGGGACTGTTGGTCCTTCAGGTTTATTGCAGCGAAGTTATGAGTAATTATATATGGATCTATAAACACAATAAACAAAAAAATGGATCCTGAATTGCATTGTTTTTACATAACACATTAAAAATAGTCAGAAAATGTGGCTGTAAGTGTCTCTGAATTGCAGGATGAGGCGATCTGCTCATAAACTGCTGCTGTGTTCATCATGGTATTAATGTGTTGCAGGTGTTTTGTTTGAGCTAATCTTTAAGTTTAATAACGTGAGAAAAATCCTGAACGCTCGATTAAAAGCAGCTAATATACCAAACTGAACACATGTGTAAATTTAACCGTCTGTGACATGAAGGCAGTAAAACTGAAGGAAATATGGAGCCATGTGTGATGATAATGGTGCTCCGAGTTTCATTAATTATGAAAGAAATGCTTCTCATTTTCAACAAACAATCTCTATTCTGTCTTATTAACCTTGGAGTTGCAGAAAAAGACAACTACTCTAGCAATAATTAGTATAAATGCTTTGATAAAGTAAAGATATTCTCCTTATTAAGATGAATTAATGAGAAATGAGAAACTGGCAGCTGCTGGTCTGTTTCCTGAGTTTCTCAGAAATGTTTCCACCTGAAATATATCAGTTAAAATCCAATAATAAACCCAGAACCATCATGAATCATCCCTGGGATTAGTCAGCAGAAACCACCTGCAATAAAATGCCACCAAAGTGCCGAGCGTAATTAAAAAGCAATCAACCTTAGTCGCTGCTCTCAGCAGTGAAGTGGATTAAAGTTTAAAGGAAAGACCTTCTGTCAGGATGGAGGAGGAGCAGCCGGCGCCGGCGGTCCAGGTTCAGGGAGCGTTTCCACTCGGATGATTGGAGTCACGCTGCTCCAGCTTTGGGGATCAAGTTGAAACTTTCTCTTCTTTTCTGGTTCAGTTATTAATCAGAAATCACCTCTGGGACTGCTTTATGCTTTAAACTATTTACATGAAGCAGGGCAGACAGGAAGCAGAATGTTTTCATGCTGATTCAAGATGAGTTGCTCATTTTTCTTTGCTGAACTACGAGAAACTGAATGGCTCTATTCTCCGATCTTATGACCAGATCTGGATAAAAAAATCTTTCGCTTGAATTTTCACTTTTGACTTATAAACTTTATAAACCATATTTCTGCCCTACCATTAAATTTCAGGCTAATTTCTTCAGATATTGATGCAATACTTTAGCATAATGTTCTCTCCTCATCATGTCGTGAAATGTTCTAGTTCCCTTTGTAGCAAAATACCCACAGCATGATGCTGCCGCCCTCGTACTTCACAGTTAGGTTTCCAAATTTCTCCCTATTTCTCTCCAACAACGCTCATCATCAGGACAGTTTTTAATATATAATTAATGTTCTGTGCATGTTTATATTGTGTTTAATGTGCTTAGATACTCTGTTTGCAGCAGCATATAATAAAATGTACTTATTATTAAAATATTTATCATTTGATCACTCCACCTGACATGCCTCTCTAGAAGTGAAGGAGTTTGACTTTGAGTTCATTTCCAAATCGTTTGTTTTTGTGTTTTTGGAGAAATGACTGAACTGACATGGCCTTTCAGTCCATGTCAGTTCAGGGCTTGTAATAATAATTAACGTTGTAAATTAACTTACCAGACGTTATAAAGCAATGGCAACATCATCCAGGTTCTGGTAAATTGTTTACAAACACATTAATTTTGATATGTGTAAACATCTCAAAATGTAAAATAATTTTCCAACATTATTCTGTTAATTTAACAGAATAACATTTTAGTAATCATATCTGACCTAAACTCATCCTCTGCTCTCTCTTTGTTTTTCTCCCTGCAGGGTCTGGAGGTGTCCAAACCAGGCCGCTACCAGACTCTTCCCTCTGACAACTTCCTGGAAATGAGTGACTCTGGAGTCGAGTTCAGCCACTCCGGACTCCCGCTGGACAGCGACACCGAGGCCGTGATGACCTACGCCTCCCACAAGCCCCTCCTGAACGCCGCCTCCCCTCCAGCCGTGACGGACGGCGTGATGATGTCCGACAGCCTGGAAGCCACGGCGGTCATGGACGGAGACCTGAGCACCGTCCGGACCCCGGACTCCGTCCTCAGCGCCAGCCCCGCCTCCAACCCGCGATCGGCCGCCACGCCTGACGGCAGCCTGCAGGGGGCCGCGTCCCCGGCGACGGGCTCCAGGGGCACCGCGGGGTCCGACTCAGCCAAGACAGAGGGCGGGGCGGAGGGAGAAGACGAAGGTCAGAAGGAGTAATCAGGAAGTGTTTCTGGAACCTTTTGTTATCCGAACACGGACAGATCCTTCATCCCAACATCTGAAACATCACAGATAAAGCAGAGGATGGATGTAGATGTGCTGGATGCACAACACAGAGTTTAATTCACTCTGCACTAAAAAAATGAAATGCTCCAACCTCACTGTCTACCAAAAGAACAAAGTAATTCAGTGCATAAATGCATGCAGTTCCGGAAAACACAGAAGAAGAAATCTTAGATCAGAGGTAGACGTTAGAGTAGAGTACATGCATGCTTTAACAAATGAAATGCACTTAAATCACATCGAATCTGCTGAATTCCTGTCAAACCGGTTCAATAATGAGAAAACGACAAACGTTTGAGAGTAGTGACAGACAGCCTTGTTTCCTCTGACGCCACATTCTCAGAAAATCACAGCGACGAGCGTCTCAGTCCTCTCTGTTATTAACAGCACAAGCATGTCGGAAAACATCCCTGCATCTCACATGAAACTGCTTGTTTCAGCATCCGCTCACTGGGATGAGCCACTCGAGGTCTTATGTCTCCGAAAACAACAGCAACAAAAAAACATCCTGCAAGATGAAACAGGTTCAATAGACGGAGCAGCAACTCCTCTCTGAAACTGCTGCTGGTTGTTTCAGATATTAGGTGTCAGATCTGCAACATTTGAAGGATTTGTCAGAGAAACCTGTCAAAACGTTCCACTTTATCTCACTCAACAGTCAAAATGATCATCCTCTCTGTTTTTGTCTGCTGCTCCTAGTTATTGTTCACTCAGTTCCAGGAAGGGAAGGAATTCAGGGGGAACTGACTGGCATTTGTGTGACTTTCAGAGCAGCTCTTGAGAGCATAATTGGATTGCAGGTCTCTTTGCAGACAGACCAATTCGTGGACGCCGTGGAGCGCGGACCGCTGATAAAAGAGCTGAAAGAGTCGGGAAAAGGCTACGATTCAGGGAACAGATGAATGACATCCATGATTCAAAGCCTATTTTCATCTCAGCCTGGAATCCACCTCACAAAGCTCTCATTATTGTTTGGCAAAATGAAGCAACTGGAAAGATAAAGTTGGATCAGGGCGTGATAACGACGCGGCCTTTAGCTCCAGTAAAGTGAGCGGCAGTAAAGTGAGCGGCAGTAAAGTGAGCGGCTGTCAGAGAGGTTTGTGTGTGGAGGCGGCAGAGTTTCATCCAGTTCAGCCAAAATCATCAAACACTGGATGGAGACATGAGAGGAAAACCTTCAGCTGAGGATGATCAACAATCACAAACAATAGCTCTAGTTCCAGGAGATAATTGTTGTAAAACACAATAGACATTTTCTTCAAAAGTAAACTGCAGTAAACTTTAAAATGTATCAACATTTTGAGGACTTATTTATTTGTTATTTTTTGTGTAAAGGTGTACACAACCTCTACAATATACTTATTTAATTTAGTTTAGAATAAAAAGTTCTCTTTTAGGCTTGTGGTAACATGAAGGAAGAGATTTGAAATATAAGAATTTTATAAATGCTTAAGAAGAAAATCTTTTCAGCAAGTAATATTTTTACCAAAATGAGGTTGAAAAATTAAAGTTAAAATAAAGATTTGTCAAATGGGCTAAAAAATAAAAACACCTTTCAGCCTTGAACGTCTCTGTTCAGGCTGAACTTAGACAGGACATTTAGGCTAAAGAAGTAACATTTTCAATACGTTTTTGGGATTAAATAAAGACGAGGAATATTGACCTAAAATCGCCATAAAAATAAATCTGTGGAAATTCAGTGTTTGCTCCAATTTCACTCAGAATTTGTAAAATTGTAAAGTTCCCTTTAAGTCAACTCCAAATGTTGTTTCTGTCCAACTTTAATCACAAAATCCAAAATGGTTGCCAGCAACACAAAACCTTATATCCCAATAACTCCTTTCTGTTTGGGGTTCTTTATCGATTTACCTTTTGCTCCAATTTGTTAGCAGAAAATTTGGCCATTTATGGATATTTTTGTAGCGCATGTTTAAAGTACATGAATAAAAATTAAAACCTCTAGCTTAGGAAGCTGAAATATGTAAATGTGATGCTGTTTAATGCTGTTGGCTGGATTTTGGAAAGCAGCCAATCTGGCAGCGCCGTTCAGTTTCCTGCGTGTTGATTGGTTGAACCCCTTAGAGGAGATTCGAGGAATGTAAACGTCTCTGTGGTAGAGCAAAGATCATTTTAAATATTTATGCATCTTAAAGTCTGTTTGGTGTTTGAATTATTAAACTGCGTCGTTTTAATGTTTTTTAGAGAGTATTTGTGGATTTCAACTATTTGCTGGTGGTTGTGGTCAGTAGGCTGTAAAAAAAAGGTTTATAGGATTTTTTAAAAAATGCATCGGCATACATTGCTAATAGTACTTAGCATAATCACTGTTAGCTTATCATTTGCAAATGGAGCCTGGATAAGTTTGGTGTGATGTCATTCCCAGATCTAATGGTTCGTTTTTCGGCACCTTCAAATCTGATTTCCAGCTTAAATGTTCCCTGTTTGAATTCAATATGGCTGTTATGCAAGTGACACTTAGTTGCCCCTTTGGTGTGTTGTATATCATTATTAAGTATCACATATTGTACAGTTTTGGTTTGCATCAGTGATTGCTCCTCTCACTGACCAATTAGCAAATTCCTGTGGTTCTTAAATTGTAACTAGAACATTCTGAGCTTGGAAGAAACAGAGTCATACCCGGATCCAAATTCCAACATCTGAGGAAAATGAAAAGCAGCCCAAGTTCTCACAGGTCTAACAACTGTGTTTGACTAATTAGTTTCCCTTTGCTGTTGTAGAAGAAGCTAATTCAGGTCACAGAAAACTAATTTCCACCTCTGAATGTTAGCAGGACATGAAACTCTGCTGAGGAAACTCGCTGCTGTGTTTTCTCTCCTCCGCGTCCAGCTTCTGAGCTCCTTTGCTTTTAGGAAGCATCACTGCAGCATCGATCACGTCTGCTGACACACGCTGGCCGCAACTAGACCTTTGGGTCCCAACAGTTTCATTTAGTCGTCAGCGTTGCTGTTCCCCTTGACATGTGTTAGCAGGACGGCTGCTGAACTGATGTCAGCCTGGATAGACTGCAGGATTCACCCGAAAGCAGCAAACAGGCAACAAAGTTTTATTATTAGAAGAAAAAAAGCACAAATTTAGCATGTGATTCTTTTTAGATATGAATAAGTTTCACATTTTATTGATGAGGGTAAAAAATATGAAGCAGCTATTGTAATATAGTTCAGCAATCTGAAAAAAATGACTAGTTCTCTTCTTCAGGAAAATTCATTTGAATCATTCAGCATTGTATGCAAAACGACTTGCATATCCAACTCAAATGGGAAAATGATCCATTTGATGGGAGTTTTATGAGGAAATGCTTAAAACTCACAGGAGGGTGACTGGAAAACTCCCGAAATGGACTCTGTAGATCTGTAAATATCAGCTGGATATAACTGAGCTATGATGCATAATAACAGGATAACCACTGAATATTTAATATAATCTAATGCAATATTAATGATAAAGGCACTGAAGCATCACAGACACTCTCCTCCTGCAAGGAAACCCAGACGTAGCACATCAGAACACAACTCTACTGTTAGTCGTCTGTTTTCACTGCTGTAAATATGGAAATCTGTGATCTGCATGTGAATAATCATACTCACGTTTCTTACTACGAGGCTTATGCAAGATTTTTTACCGCATTGATCCTTGAACCACGTATCCACAGTAGGTAGGAAACTTGTTTACCTGTCATGTTTACATGTTGGAGTCTGGTTGAAATCCTTTCATCAAAGTTGGCCTCAGCAGGAGGCGAGCTGAATGCGACTGCAGGGCCTGTTGACCTGCTGGAGGTCTGAGCCAGAACCGTTCAGACCTAAAAGCTGGCAAACAAAATCCGGAAGCTGAAGCACAAATCCAATGTTTGGGAAAAATAACACTTTCACAGCATCTGCATCAGTTGGGATTGCATCAGTTTTAGAAGATAATATCTTCTTTAATTTCATTTTGTTATTGCAAGCAACGAGTTGATCTCGTCTCGGTGTATAAAATAAATTTGATACACCTAAAAGTAATAATTTTTCTAATGCCTTTAACGCCTAACTGCACCTCAAACATACAGAATAAACATTTGTAAGATTCTTCTTCTGCAGTGGAGATGCAGGATTTCAGGTTTTAGTTGATCATCTGTGCCAGTCTGCAGGATTCCTGTGGATCCATCAGGTCCACAGCAGGTGGCGAACTGCAGTGGAAATATGTCACTGACTGTGCATGAGCATATGGCGGCTTGTGGCTGCTGCAGACTGAAACATAGTATGAACCAAGATGGCATTTTCCTAATGTGGGTCTGAAAAGGATTACACTTGTAAACTGGAGGACATTGATTTTTATTCTTTATATTCAAAGAGTAAAATTATTTAAGGATAAAAATAAAAGTATTTATTTATTTACCACTAGAGGGAGCTCTCAGAAAGTCGTTTTCTCTGAAATTGGTTTTAAATTGATGAGTTTAACTTAAATGATATGTAAAAACTGGAGGCAAAAAATGGGCAAGCGTTGGGATTTAAGTTTTCAAGAACTAAAAAATTATGTAAAGACATTCTGGGATGTTTGGTGGTATTATTAAACATTGGTCTCATGAATAATTGGTGGTAAACTGGTGGCGGGGTAATAGTCACTGATGCAGACTGGTGCAGAAGGCTGTCCTGAACTCCTTAAACAGAAAGTTTAAGGAGGTTAACGTGGCATCTGTGAGATGTGCTGGAAGGCCGAGCCTCAGCTTCCCTGATTCACAGGTTCTGCTGCATCCTGGTTCCGGACACCACAGCACATTCAGAGCATCAGCAGAGAGCACAGAGCAGGGGGTCATAATGTTATGACTGATGTTGCTTGTTTTAGTCCTGGGAGATTCTCCTTTTCTGTAGGTGACATTTTAACAGTTTGCTTCTTTATGTTGCTACAAAGATAAAGAAAATGAAAAATGTACATTAACAGTATCATGGGAGCCACTAAGCCACTAAGGTTTCCATTTTACCTGATTAAGGTCCAGTAAAGAGCTGATGCCTTGAAACGAGACCTTAATGCGATAAATTGGCCACAACTGCCGTGTGCAGAACTCAGAGCTTTGCTTTGTTCTCAGTGCATCTCTCCACTGAGGGACATAAAACCGCCTTTCTACAAATAGATGTTCATGTTTTTATTACAGTCCTTTTTGCTAATTTTGCAAAATTCAGACCATTTGTTTATGCATTATTCAGCAAATTGCAGAAAACAATTCTAAAAGAGGAGTGAGAAATTTCCTTCTTGGTTTTTTATGTTTGTTTTTTAAGTTATTAAAATCTAAAATTATTATTATCAAATAAAGATAAAGAACTCAGTTTAATTGGATTTTCTCAAACGTAAGCCCATTTAAAACAGGAACAACAGGAATCAGTTATCAGAAGTTTAAAACATGAAGCCGTTTTCCCTCAATCTGCCCCAGTGTGACGTGCTTCTCCTTTAAATGCCCCATAGGTGCAGATACTTACCGCCTCTGCATGAACCCGCAGATGGAGTGAAGAGAAAGATATTTGAAAGCTGTGTTTAAAGCAGGTTTAAGGATTTCATTCTCTTCATCTTCACATTTCAAAGGCCTCTGGATCTGTGTTCACTCCTTTCTTTGAAAGATGCTAAATTTCTGCCTTTTGAAGTGAAGATGAAACATTTAATTGTAATCAAAATCCAGACTCTCATTATGAGGCCACTTTGATGCTTCATGAGGTGAAAGCTTCATCGATCCTCCTGCAGTAATGACTGTAAGTTCAGGCGATTCCGGCTGATGGAGACTTTATGAAAGGATTTGAGTTTGTGTCATTCACCTCGCTCTCGTGTTTTCTGTTCATCACGTCTGAGCTGCGGTTCAGAAAGCTCCTCGGAGCAGAAGTGCTGATCCGTGCTCCGGCGGACGGAGATTTAATAAAATGCTCTTTCAGCCTTGATTCCCTCTAATGTTCATCTGTTATTCTCTGAAATTCCAAAGAATAATAATAAAGTAAGGGAATCAATGTCTGCAGTTTGCTAATACCTTTGAACCAAACAGGAAATTACTCTGAGATCAGTTACCTTCTCTCCACTGGAGCTTGAATCAACAGCCTTTTCTGATTCATGACAGATGATTGGAGAAACTAATTGCCAGACGCTTATCTTTGCAACAGTGAGCCGATTCTGGCGCAGGGTGTTTTATAGAAATTTCCTTTTCCGAGTCGTGAACACGCAAAGCGACGCCACGCCTCCTCCTGATTGATCCCTCGTTTCCAACCTCACCTTCATCCTCCCAGCATCACACAATGTTTTTATACGATAAAACCAGAATCTGAAATTATTTTGATATAATTTGTGTTTCAAACAATGATGTCATCCCAATATTTTTTAGGAAAGCTCCACACGTTTTAATGAATGAATGTTTCAGTGTTTTTGTAGCAATGCATTTAAACTTTAGCTGTGTTTAATATTCCTTCTTTTTGCAATATTATAGCCACAACCTGCTTCCTGTGTGTTTGTAAGAGTTAGCGTAGGTGCAGCATGCCGGCCTGTAGATTGCTTGTGGGACTGAAGGCCAGAAAGCAAATAATGATGACATGAATTGCATTGATTTTCTGTGACTCATCCCGATCTCTGGTTTCCCATCAGCCTCCTGTTAATCACCTGATCACTGCTGGGACTCAGCAGCTGTAAAACTCGAGGATCTTATTTCTCATTTTGCATAAAATAGATATTAAACTACTTTTCTTTTGGTTTTAAAGCACTTTTGTTTCCCAGTCGCTGCTGTTCCAGCTGAAACGAGTGATAATTATATGGAATCTGAAAACAGAAGACTTCCTGTGACATTTATTTTTCTGCCTTTTAAATGTTGTTTTGTTGTTGAAAATATGCATATAAATGGATCACAGTTAGAACACGACCGTGGCTTGCTTTCACTGATGATTTTATCTGTTTTTATTGCTCTCAGTTGATGTGATTTTCAGTTTTTTCTGCTCTAATGGAGTGGTATTATTCTGTTTTATTATGCAGCCATTTGGGTTAACTCGTCCTGTTTTCATGAAATCAGAATAACGTCAGTTTTGACCTTCAGTGGGAAACTAAAAGCATGTGAGCAATCGTTTTCTAAGGAAACGTAAACAGATATGACTGATAAAAAGCTTTCTTTTTCTAAATTTAAGAATGCACATTAGTAGTTTTTTGTTGTGTTTGGGGCGGTTTTAGAAAGAATCACTAAATCACCCATAAAAGAAAAACACAGAACCTGCCTATCAGTTACACCTGAGACAAGTTTTCTGTTGCTTTAATGAATGTACAATAACACATTCATTATGGTTAGCTGATTTGATTTGGCCTGTTTGCATTTTTCCTCTCCAGAATCTGTCATCATTTCACTAATTTTGATTGGCTGATGGTGGCAGATGGAGAGACTTATCTTTTGCAGCCGTATAGATGGTTTCTAATGAGTCACAAAAATGTGGAATATATTTTACTTCAAAGCATTATTGGTGTAAACACTCAGACACAATAAACTTCCAAACCTATCCAACGTTTTTCTTCAAATTATGTTCTAAAAGTGCATTTATTATTTATGACATGTTATGATTAAAGAACTAAGATGACAACAGAGGAGGTGAAATGTTTTCAATAAATATAAACATAAAAAGTCTTTGAATTTAGCTATTTTGGACAAAAGATTAAAACCTTTAAACTTAAAATGTTTGAATGTTTGGAAAATAATGTTAGCATCTGAATCTTTTAAAATCTGTTAATTCAACTAATAATTGTTAACATAAGAATGTTGCATGCACAGATTTGATTGATTTTGATGAAGTTGATGTTAAGCAGCTTCACTGTTACTGATTATCAAGACATTCAGTGTTTGTGTTAATGCATATGAAACTGTGTCGACTTCACTTAAAACTTGATCAAAAGTATTTATTTTATGGCACCGTCGTTGGTCGTCTTGCTTTGTTTTCACATGCAAGTCTTGTTCCATCAGCAGATGTGAGGCGATAATCCTTTCGTTCTTCATTAAAACAAATGAAAGAGTCAAATCTAAAAGTTTATTTGTCTTTTATCTTCCCACTGATGATTCATTGACTTTGACTTCAAGGTCAATCCAAACACTAAATCACAAAAAATGACTTATGAGTGAAATAATCTGTCAGTAGAAGTCATACTTTTTTAAAAAAATCAATATTTAATTATTATCGACTTAAATTAACCCCGATATCTTGCTGAAAAGGTACTTGTAAGTTAGTTTTGTCTTATTTTAAGTGTAATAAGATATTTTCATTTGAAACTATGTGCTGCTTTGTTTTCTTCATCCTGTCAGGTTCTATTTAGTGTTTTTTTAGTTTTAGGTTTAGTAATCAGATCTGGATGTGGTGAGTGAATTTGAGCTCAGCTCTCCAAAAGAAAAGTGTGAATTTAGTTAAGTCATAATTTAACAAAGAGGGGAGAGAATCACTTTTATCAGCTCAGAGACAAATTGGTCTGGAAAATCCTCACTGGAAAACTGCTTTTAAATTCTTTTGCGTTTTAAGATGCATTTAATGGTCTAAAGTGGTGAGCTCTTCTTCACAGTATTGTACTTTAATTTTCCAGAGAATTAAATATCTCCCTCTGTAAAGTCCAATATGTCAAGCAGCTGCAGTTTAAAGCTTAAACTGTTTCTTGTTACAATAAAGAATAAATTTGTACATCAGTATTTACAGTATGCTGACTTTGCTGTTTTCCTCTTCAGGCAATTTTCTCCCAAAGTATTTTCACTTCATTGGGAATGTTTTACTATTCATTGATCTTGGCCCTTTCACACCTTCTGAACACTTTAATGCATTTCAAGTGAATGAGGTTTTATTATTGGCTATGCATTTGTTAAACAGCACCAATAACTCTGAGCTCAATCCAGGTTTGTTTTTTTTACTGGGCCTTAAATGATCCCCTGATCTTGTTATTCATGAGAATTTGTCGGGAAGCAGAAAAACCTTAAAGCTGCTTTATGGGAAACAGAAACGAGCGTCTCTCAGAGCCTTTTACAGCTCGGCTTTACGGCCGCCATAACCGCACATGCTCTCCTGTCCCTGTGAAGTCTTTGTCACCATCTGCCGCTCCTCCGTCAGCTGCGTCCTTTTAGCTGAATGAGACAAAGTGTGGATGCAGGAATGAGCTGTGAAGCATCATCTCCAGACGATGAATCATATCTGCATGTCTATCTGCTCTGAGCGACTCAGGGGGTCAGAGTGAGAGATGACGTGATATCCAGCTCATGATGATGTGCTTCTACTGATAACACAAACACTGAATATCACAGATTCACTGCAGCCGAGCAAAAACTGTCAGCAGGAAAACATGCAGCTTTAGAAAGGCTTTGGAGCGTCGCAAAAATATTTTCTTATTGTTCGTTTTGCAAACATAAAAGTGTAATATAGCTGCCATCCATCTATCAATGCATATTGTATTATAATTTATCTTCTTTGTAGGATTTTAAAAAAATCCAAATCAAAAATAAATATTAAAAAGCAAAAATGATCTGCTGGTAAATTAATAAATATTCGACTAGAACCCAACAAAAATGTGATCAAAATGATCAAAATGTGACAAAAGTTGATTCTTGTTATACAAGAAATAATCTGGCAGTAGAACTGATTTTTTAAAATCAGTATTCAGAAATTATTTGTTGCTGAAAAGTTACTTGTAAGTTAGTTTTCTTATTTCAAGTTTATTAAGATATTTGAACTAAAAATTTGATCCAATGTACTTGGTAAGATTTTGTGTTTTTGCTGTGTAAAAAAGGCTTTTTGTTTGACCTGTGGCCAAGATAAAGGAACAGTCAGAGTAGAATGGCCCAGTCAAAGTCCAGGGAATCTGTGGCAGGTCAGATTATATCTAATCTAATTAAACTTGAACTCTTTTGCCAAAATGGGCAGAATGTGTAAACTTAAACTGTAACGTAAGAGAAAATGGTTCCACAAAGTTATAACTCAGAGGTGCTGTAGACAAATGCATGCCACACTTTTCAGATATTTATCCAAGCCTTCTTTAAAAGTGTGCATCACAAACTTATGCTGTACTTTATGTTTGTAGTTATTAGAAAATTTCGCCAAAACAGATTAAAGTTTGTAATGAGACAAAATGTTGGATCTGCTTCCAGCCAGACAAAGAAAGCAGGTCTGGTCCCGGTTCCGGTCCCGGCGGGACCGACCGGTCCTCCTGCTCCCGCTAAAGCCGCCATGGCTCTCAGCCAACCGGGGAGAATCAGGAAGTGACGCGGCTCGCAGCGCACGGAAGAGCCGGGACTGGCGCGCCAAATTTCAAAGCACTTCCTCCCGGACGAAGGCGACAGCCCGCAGCGAAACTCGCTCGGAAACCTCCGGTTTTTGACGGAGACGCGAAAATAATCGGTAAAAGTCGAAGTTGGCGGCGGTGCGAGTGCAGAGGCGGCTGCCGGAGGAGCGGATGCGGCGCCTGGAGCCGCGGCTCGCGGAGGGAGACGCTGCGCCGCCGCTGCGTCATTGTTGTAAGTGGAGCTTCTGACTTTCATCCTAACGACGAACCAACGACACCGAGCTGCAGCTAAATCCGCCCCGATCAGCCCAATTCAGCCCGGACTGGGTGGAAACGGTTCCGTACCGGGATCAGGCCAGGCTGAGCTGAAACCCACCGATTCAAAGTTTATATTTACATTATTAGTGTAGTTATTAAGTTCTGCTTTGTGCTCTGATCCCGTGATTTGGCAGCTGGAACACGATGCACACTTCTGCTTCTTATTCTGATCAGACTGATCAATAAGCTGCACCATCAAAGTTCAGATCATTTCTGTAGCTACAAATACTCCTAGTTTAGTTTTTTATGAGTATTAATGAGTACAGCTCAGAAAATGATTTTTAATGCATTAATTCTTAATGTAACAATCATTTGGAAGACATGTTTTAGTGCTGGATCTAAATATACTCATGGAAAGTTGAGTGGAAGGAGAAATCAGAGTCAGAAGCATCAGGGTAAGCTGGAGCCTTGATAATATTGTTGAGATGGTGAAGTTTCCCTTTAGTAAGAACCGTAGTGCTGCTGGTTTCATTTCTGCTTTAATAACCGCAGCAGAGCAGCGTCCGAGTGTCCAGCTGACTGATCTGACCTGAACCTCAGAGTTTCATCAACACAAAGACACCAGAGCCATAAATGTTGCTATTGCAACAAACCTGCCTGGCTACTTATGTTCTACTACATTTCCTCCTTCCACTCAACATTCCAATAATATGAGTGTAGCATTCTGGGGAAAGCCTGCTTCTTTTACTGCTCAGGCCTGTTGTTCAAGGTGTCGATGTTCATGATTTTTTTTTACATTTTTTGACTTGTGTTTATTACAGGTTAAATTTTATTGGTCCTGAACAGATAAACTCATTTTAATTGGATGTTTTTCTTTGTTTTCTTTCAGATCGATCATCAGTTCCTCCCTCTCTGGTTTGAACCTCCAGTGATTTTGTCTTTTAATTTCAAAGCAAAAGTCCCAGCTGCAGAATTGGGAGCAGGTTGTGGCGTTTAATCCGTCCGTCTTGGCGTCGCATTAGCGATGCTGTGACTCACCTGCCGTCCACGTTCACGCGCCTCTTAGCGTTTGAAGTGGCAGCTTGGCAGCCCCCTCTCCGCAGGGGATTTGGTCTGTGTGAGCCGGGGCTCATAAAGCAGAGCAGGAGCTCATTTTCACCCTCTTCCACTCGGCTCCAGATCCTCATTACTCATTCATTTATGCGCAGCGCGGCGGCTGCTCTGCATGCTAATGGAAGCACCTGTTGCTGAACGCCGCTGCACCTGCCTGTGACCTTCACGTTTCTCTCCGCCGGCTCGACTTTCTGCTCCGACCCTCAGCTTGGCTGCTCTCCACTTGCTCACAGGTGTGTCTGGAAATGGATCTGGGCCGGCTGTAGCTCAGGGCCGGTCACAGATCAGGGGGCGGCCTCAGTCATGCTGAACGGGGCGCAGCCGTGCTTCCAGCTGCTGCGGATCGGCCTGTCCACGGGCGACTCCGCGCGGGACCTCTACACGTTCCGGCCGGGGCTGAGCCGCTCCGTGTTCCGGCTGGGCCGGGCCGCCGAGCTGTGCGACGTCACGTTGGACTCGGCTTCGGTGTCGCGCATCCACGCGGAGCTGCACGCCGAGAAGGAGGCGAGCGGAGGCGACGAGGAGGCGCTGCAGGAGGAGGGCTGGAGGGTTCACATCAAAGACAGAAGCAGCCATGGTGAGAATGAAACACCTGGAGCGTCCAGGCAAGACCAAACATGACACAGGAGGACACACCCAATGACAGGAACATGACACAGGAAGACACACCCACTGACAGGAAGTACCACATCTGCACAGAGAGACAGGAACCTTCACACTACAGCAGCAACTCAGTTAGTAATCGATCAATCTGATCAGATAAATGGCCACAATTCCATATAAGCCTTTTTACACAACATCAAATACATTCAGGTATTCCAATAAACAAGGAATTCATCTTTTAAATGAGAAAATAAACATTTTATTACCTGAAATACAATATTTGTTGCAAAGATGCATCAGCAGCAACAAAATAACATGAAAGTTCAGACCTTTCTGCCTGTCTGCAGTGTATGGCTGATTTGTTATTTGTTAGCACAAAGTGCTTAATAGGAGATTTTCTTTGCAGAATTTGAACCATGTGAAGCTAAAACTTCTGTGTAGATTTACAGACGGAAAAGTTTTCCTGTCTTAAATCTTAATTTTTTGTCCAGTTTTGTCTTATTTTCTGCTCTGACTGTGTTGTTCTTCCAGCATTCGGCCCTTTTATTAAGAGTCTGTTTTCTCCAGTTAATGCTGTTTGTGCGTCAGATTTTTGGGTGTACCGGAAACGTGCGAATATAAAGGTTCCACCCAAAACTTTGAACTTTTTAATTATTATTATTAATCATTGCATTTTTTTCTACAATATGCTAAATTGTAATTTTTTTCAATGTATCTTCAGAAAAGTCACAATCTTTTATTACAGATTTATTTTATTTTTTCAGTTATTGACAGATAACCAGAAGTTAACGGTTCACTTGAGCAAAAATAAAAAATATTTAAAGCTTTTTAGTCTGTTGGCGCTGGAAGCTTGGATCAGGGTTGAATATCAAAGAAATAAATAATCCCGTATTTAACAATCATTTTTAATTATTGAGATATTTACTGTGTAAATAAATTTCATTTTATGTTTAAGAAACCCCAGAATTTGTATTTGTTTTAAATGTGAGCCGTTTGAGCAGCAGAGAGTGACGGGTCGGTTTATTCCAAGAGAGAAAATAAATCAAACATTTTTCTGTTTGATTCAAACTGAATGCAAAGCTGCATCTGAAAAAACAATAAATAAATTTGACACGAACATCTTCGTACATGTAGGACCAATAATAAGATGTTTCAGTGGAGCCGATTGCTGCCCGGAGCAGAGGAATGCCTCCTGTTCGGATCCGTGTTCAGGTGGTTCTGCTGCTGTCTCAGGTGTTTGTAAAGGGAAATCTGGAGGTAAAGTCTGGCCCTGGGCCTGCTGGACTGTGACTGATGGACTCTGCATCTAAACTGCGCCTTATTGTCTAATTTGTCTGGTAATTTCACAGTCCGTTTCCCCACATTTCGACTTTTCGCCGTCAGCCTGGTGTTTTAGTATTCCCGCCACATTTCTCCTGCTGTCACGGCCGTTTGATTGGCTTGTAGCCTTCCAGCTTTTCATTTCTGCTTCCATTTCACAGCCTGTTTTACATTTCCCTCAAAGTCTCCGAGCTGTAAACACATCCAGTCAACAAACGGCTTTATTTTCCAGGCTCTGCTCGTTCCGTTATTTCCTCCTTTTGTCAGATGCTGGAATATTAAAAAGTTTTGTGGATTTCTGGCTCCAGGTGACAGAGAATCTGGAACCGCAGAACTGTTGCTCACTGTTGGTTTGACTTCAAACAGTTTCCATCCTGTAAACGATGAATATTTGATCAGATTTCAGCAGCATCGGTTAGCGGTTAGCATCTTGTGTCTGGTTTTCAGGAACCTGGGTGAACGAAGTCCTGCTGCAGCCGGGCGTCCTGTGGGAGCTGTCAGACGGCGACACGCTCACCTTCGGAGATCAGTCAGCGCCAGGGAGTCCAGAGTTCTACTTCCTCTTCCAGAAGGTCAAAGTTCGTCCCCTGGACTTTGATGCCATCACGATTCCAAAGGTAACAAACCGATGCTTTCAAGGAAGTTGGATAAGACAGAAACTTATATGTCATGTTTTCATGTCTTTTTGCTATAAATTTTTTTTTAAAGATTTTGACCTTTTGTTTTCTTTATTTCTTTTTTTTAAACAAACTGATAATCATCAGTCTGTATTTTGTCATTAATCCACAGAAACCCAGTTTCAGCAGTAACTAATGTCCAACATAAGGCCCGTGGGCCATTTGCACCCCATAAAATGATTTTCTGAGGCCCTGACTGCATTTCAACATTTGTCTAAATTTGGCTCATCCTCTCAGGAAGTGGAAACTGATGGAGTCTTTTTTTTTTATTATTCAGGGCCTTTGACACATTAAAATTTTAAAATGGAGAGCCTGGGCTGCAGACTCATTTTTCCCACTGGTTGGACTGGTCCGCCGGTTGGATTGAAACTTTAAAAGTCCAAATTTTTCTGCTTTTAAGACTCAGAAATTTCTAATCTTATATGAATGTGATGATAATTTCAGAGGTTTTAGGGATTTTTCCATATGATAATTGATCCAACATGGAATAAAAAATTAAGATAACTGCAGTGGTTTTGAAGATCCCACAGCATCATGCCTCCACCGCCATGCTTGAGAGCCGGTTCAGAGTTCTGAGCTTTCAAAGCTTCATCTGATCTCCTGTGGAGAGACTTCTCATCATTTTGGCCAAACAGATCAAACTTTGTATGTCACTCTGTTGTTTTACAGGCAGGAACGTTTTCCTCTGACTTACAGAACCGCATCAGGACCAACTTGGACCGCAAATCAGCCGACAACCTGGACCTCTCCAAGATGTCCATCAACCGGGCCACGGTCATCCTGAACTCCATCGGCAGCCTGAGTAAGATGAAGGGCCGGGCCTGGACCTTTAAGAGGAGCCACAGCCACGAGGGGGTCGTGTCTGACCCGGGAACCCCGTCCTGCTCCTCACCGGTGGGCTTCTCCTCGCTGCTTTCCTCCGCCACGCGCCCGGCGTTTTCCTCCAGCGCCGCCGTTCCTCTGAAGCCTCTGCAGACGGCGTCCAGGAGCAGGAGGAAGTCCGCTCACACCGTGCTGCTGGAGGACGACAGCTCTGACGAGCCGCGAGGGCGAGGAGGTGAACGGCAGCTCGCCTTGTGGTTCTTTATTTAGTGTGAACAAGAATACATGTATGCAAACATACATGCATGAAAAAAACTATGTTTTATAACATAGAAATCAGTCATTTTAGTAATAGTTATAGTTTAGACAGCAGGGAGAAGTTTACACTTTTTTTCCTCCCCTTTATACCATTTATCAATATAGAAAAATATATAAAAATACAAAATACATTTCCAGACACACCTGTGAGAATCAGTATATATCAATATCTTATTGTATATACTATAATATATTATTTTCTATGTCAGATATTGCTATAATACATATGATCCTGTAATGATAATGAATTTTGCTGTATGATAATTTGTCCCAGTAATATTGATGCACATTCACTGTCTCAAAGATCATTAAACTTTAATTTTGTATTAAATTTACCTAAGAATTTTCTATATTTTACGGTTTATGCATAATTCTCATCTTCCATATAACTTTAGAAATATTTTTGTGAGTTTCTTGAATATTTCTATATTTGTCCATTGCTTCATTGTTATTATCCTTTGTTTTTTAAAATCCATCTTTTATCCGTATCTCCTCCTCCTTCTCTTTAGTTAAAATAATTTCTCTGTTTCTTTATCTGTGCTATTTTGAATTTAACAACATCTGGATATTTAAATACAAATGATTTTATAAATAGTGGGTTTGGGTTTATGTGCATAAAAAATGAAATATATTTAATTTAATTTGTGACTTTCTTGTTTTGGTCCAGCTGTGGCAGGAGTGGTGGAGGAAGGGCAAAGGTCGCGGCCGAAGAAGAGACGGAGACTCTACAAATCAGAGTCTGAAGGTTTCAGCTCTCCTCCGCCTCCACCGCTGCAGCCCAAGCTCCACGGCAACATCCGCCGTCCGCTGGAGGTCAAGCCCTTCCCGGTGGGCATCCGGACCATCGGCAGCTTCCACGGCGCCATGACCAACAGCCGGCTGAACCAGCAGCTGCTGCAGGCGTCCTTCACCGGCGTGGTTCCCCACAGACAGGAAGTGGAGACCGCGCACCGCGTCAAAACCGTGGTGAACGGAACCATCGCCGCTTTCCGCCAGCAGAAACCGGCGGCGCAGCGAGGCAGGCGGAGGGCCAACAGCTCGCCGGTGTTCTCCCCCCTGGTGGTGGGAGGAGAGAACTACAGCCTGGCTTCGCCCACAGCGAGGATTCGCACCGACGACAGAGGAAGGATGCAGTTCAACCGATTCCACCATCAAACAGCGTAAGAAGTTAGGAGTGAAGTGAATAAAAATGAAAATCACAAAACTAAAAATATTTAAGTTACAAAAGAGGTAGAAATGCATGCAGTGTTTCAATTTTACTTGAATTCAATATAATAAAATATCTGATTCAGCACGTAACTTCAATATTCAAAACCTTCATGTTGTGTTATAATAGAGCTGAGTGTTAGTAAATCAGCCAATCAGTGGGGGGGATTTGCTGGTCAGTTTTCTACAAATATATTTTAAACTTTTTAAAATCTGTGTTTAATTTTCTACATTAACGGTTCGACTGCAACTCCAGATACAACTTCAGTAAATTTCACAGAATTTGCATTGATCCGTTTTCAAAAATGTTTATTGAAAATATATGTCTAGAAATAATATATTTTCTACTGTTAACAGTTGCACCTCAAAAAGCAGGATTTGTTCATCAAAATCAGAAAAATATTTCATCTTCTCAAAGCCAACAGGCTGAAACCTTTTGCACCAGAAATCACTTTCTGGCTACAAACTAAAAACAGGATCATCATTAAAAATAAAATTCAGAATTTATCAGTCATCAGATTTTTATTTTTTTTACAACAAAAACATAAATGTCATGTTTGGCTCATGCAGGGATGTTTGTGACAATCAGGGCAGCAGATGAAAGCTCTTTGTGGTCTAATTAAAGTTTTGGTTTTGGTTAATCGCCAGCGAAGGAGCAGGAAGCTGAAAATAGACGGTTTCTTTCCCCAAAATTCTGTGCAGCGTGAAACACAATGAATAATAAATTAACTGCTGAAACTAACATGTTTGTACAAAGAAAGTGTTGACTTTTTATTGAGATAATATCCAATTATTTAAAAATGGTTTTAACACCTGAAATGTTTATTTCTCTTCATTTTGATGTTTATTTCTCACGGTAAATAAAAACCAAAACTTTAGTTTATTATTTGACAGAGTTCATAAATTCACTTTTTCCATATTATAACTTGTAAGATGGCAGATTATTTTATTGATAGCTTGTAATTTTTTTATGAATATCATAAATTATTCATGTTAAACAAGCTGCAGTGTCTTGCTGAATGGTTACTTGTAAGTTACTTTTCTTATTTCTAGAACGCTTAAAATAAGAAAAATGTAACGTAAGATATTTACACTAGAAACTAAACCAAAATTACTGGGTAAAGTTTTGTGTTTTAAAGCCATCAGTGACGTCACACATCATGTCAGTGTAGATGATTTAAATCAAAAATCCATTTTATTGGTCTTGTTATAATCATCAAAACTGAATTAAGAACTAAAATGAGGATTTTAATCAAGTTTATTAAGTTTTAAGGTTTTTCCTGTAATTTTTCTCTGTTTTTTCTTTTCCTCCCTAAAGGAAACGCCGCGGCCGGCCCAGGAAACACCCGCTCCCCCCTCGGCCCTCGCTGCCCTCTCCCTCCTCCTCCTCTTCCTCCTCCACCTCCTCCGCCTCCTCCTCCTCCGGCTCGTCCTCTTCCTCCTCCGACGATGACGACGATGACGATGAGGATGGCGGCGTGGCGGCGGGGCCGGTGGAGCCGTGCGCGGCGCTGCGCTGCCGCCTGCCGCAGCAGGACACGGTGCAGTGGATCCAGTGCGACGTGTGCGACGCCTGGTTCCACATCGACTGTCTGCATGTGGACCGGAAGAAGCTGCTGATGGATCCCAACGCCGACTTCCACTGCGGCTGCCGCTGAGGCGAGCCGGGGGTCCCACGGAGCATTTCCACCCCTAAATGTTTAATTCTTTTAATGCTAAAAACATGAAATGAAAACTGGAGCAGCAGCTTTCCGAGCCTCAGTGCTTCTTCGGAGCTTCAGAGGAAAACTAATGAAATGTCTCTGCCTGCAGAGCTGGGATCAGGACGGGAACGCTCAATGAAACGTTTAAACCCCTTCCTGCTGCATTCAGGAAAATTAATGAAATGTTTTTTAACAGAATAGACTTTCCTCGGATCTCCCCCATTTGCTGATGCAGCCGCCCCACAGATGATCAGACTTTCCTGGGTTGGGAACGGCGGCGCGGCGTGGGCGGCGGCGGAGCAATTAAAACGTGTCAGCAGACTGCAGCAGCTGCTGCAGCTGCTGAGACGAGCTCTCAGGATGATCATCTGATGTTTGAAAGCACTTCTGCAGGAGCAGCTGCAGGATTTAAGAGGATTGAGTTTTTATTAAAATGCATCGCTGCAGCTGGTCAGAGAATATCTCCTAACCACTGAAACGATATGAAATATGAACTCCTGATGGGGGGAAGCAGATGCTCCGTTCTGGGCCTGATGGGCTGGTTGGCTGTTTATGCCACAGATGATTTTATGATCTTTTCTACTCACATTTTCAGATTCCTCACACTACTAAAACTTTAAGCCAAAGTTGGTCGGTTTGATCTGAATGTACTCAACTTTTCACAATCTTCCGTCTGAATTTCTCTTCTGCTCAACTCATCTGGGAAAATCTAGCAGGTTTAAAAAAAATACATAAAAAAAATAAAATGGGAGAAAATGTTTGAAAAAAAGATCTTTTGTTCATTTTGAAAGTAGGAAAACTTTAAAAAAATCTGTATTTTTGTTTGAGTGGACTGAACGTCACGTTGCTTCCTTTCCACTCATGTTAGATTTTCTGTTTTTTGTTTTTTATTGTTGCTGTTTATTCTCAGCTCTAACCAGACAATAAGCAGCCGTCTGCAGTTCATCAAAGGAAAACTTTATGAACTTTATATCACTGGTTTGCAAGTTTAAATTCAGCAAATTTATTCTGAAAATCTGTTGCTCAAATGTTCCAGTTTCTGAAAATGCATCAGAAAAATGATTTTTAAATCAGTTTAAATTAACTCTGACCTCATTACAAACTTTAAGGTGCTGTTCAGCTTTTTGCTCTGATGTTGATGAAACCTTTGGATTTTCAGTTGATTTTTTTTGTACTCATCTGTTTGGTTTTTCACAGTTTAATTCATCTTGTTGGGTTTAGATTCTGAAAGATAAAAATATTTAAAAAGCATCTCTTCAGCTGCTCAGCTTCACATAAAGGGAGCGTCGTCTTCACCTCGCTGAGCGTTAAACCAGCCTTTTTTCCACTTTCATGTGGCAAACCTGACTGTTGAGGATGTTTTACAAATAAGGCTCTTTTGCTCCAACACGTGTTAAAAGTCAAAGCTCGACTTGCTGGGAAGTTGAAACGGGTGCAACGTCAACCACAGGAACCACAAATGTGAAAACTGTAAAGCTTCGTGTTGTAAATTATTCAGAGCAGAAACTCCAGGAAGAATCGCTGCAGGTTTGCAAAACAAATTAAATTTTTACCTGAATCTGAATTAATACTGAAAATCCTCCTCAGTCTGAATTCCCTGGACTGTTCTGGAGTATTTTTATTGGACAAACCACACAGGAATTTAGTGGTTATGTTACTTGGCTTTGGATGTTTTTTTTTTGTCATATGGTTTTGGTTGTGTGAAATCTTATTGGTGTCGACAAATATCGAAATAGAAAGTTTGCACACGCTGGAAAAATGCAGAGTTTCTGTGATGTAAAGAATTAAAACATCATTTTACAACTATTTCCACCTGTTAATGTTACTTTTAAGCTGCAATTCAGCTAAATAACATAAATCTGAGGGAATTGTTAAAAATCAAAATAAAATACTGTAGCCTAGATTTATTTATTATTCTAAATTAATGTTTCTAAACCACTTTGTCCAGGAAACGTTCTCTGAATCTCTCATTGTAAGGACGTCTCCTGTCTTCAAACTTCTTCATATGAGCCAGCTTGAATAATTTAGGTCTGGACTTTGACTAGGACGTTCCTCTCATTACAACTATTACTCACGCTGATGTTTAAAAATGAGAGCCCACTGTTAGCTCCTTCCTTGCAGACACCTGGAGGGTTTTGGGGTTGAAACTGTCGTCAGTTTCATTTAATTCTGCAAAAACAGTTCAGTCTGGAGAATCCATCAGCATCATGCTGCCATCACTGTTTGCTGGTTTTTGTGATTTTGGTCCATCCTGAACGGTTTCTGTGGAAGGAAATCTTTCAGTGGATCTCATTGTATGCAGAACACAACCAGTATTTCATTATTCATTTAGATCCTTCAAAAGTCAGAAAAAATCCCTATGAAGTTGATTTTTGATTGATCAAATTTACTATTATTGGTGCTTCAACAAAGTTCTAGTTCAGGTTATTCCAACTTTTAGTTTTTGCATCTTCTGCCTAAGAAATTTGCTTAAAGTTGAGATGATTTAATTTGGTCTCACTCTACATCACATGAATCTGATATTTTAACAGTTTTGTGTTTACTTTTCACAGATTCTGTATCTTTAAACCATTAAAACTCTTCAGAACCATTTAATGAAAAAGGAGAACTGCTCGTCTTTAATTGCAGCGGATCATAAATCTGCAGATCTGGGATTTTTTTTTATATTTATCACTTCTCCTATCATCTTCGGAGACTTTGACAGTTTGTAGCCTGCAGACATTTTGATGATCACTTTGATTCGGTCATGTCTTTGTGTGTCCAGCGTCAGATTTTTGTCTCCTGATAAAGCTCGCTCTTGTGAGGTGACCGCTCTGTTAATGAGCTGCGAATCAAACGGATTGTTTAGTAAATCACTTTGCTTTGATCCGGATCTTCACAGCGCTCTGCTTTTAATTAGTTTGACTTTGTTGGTTTTCTGAGGTTGTACAGAATCATAAATCTCCGATATGCCACAAGCGTCAGAGTTATCAGAGAAATAAAGATTATTCAGAAGATTTATCTCTGCATTATCTGTTTTTTTTAATCTTCTGAGGCTGAACTGTTTTGCTCTACAGAACATCTTTGCAGGCTGTGATCAAAAGCACATCTCATTTATTCTAGAGTCACATCCAGCTCCAGTCAAGACTGATCAGACCTTCATATCACACTTTTTGTTTTTCCTCCTCTTGTTTTTTTCTTCCTTTTTAAACCATTAACCGCAGCCAGAGATGTAATGTTTCTGCTGATTATTTTCTTTGAAGCGATTACAGAGAAGCGTCATCCAACAAGCACAGACAACGTCCTCATATTCGAGGCCCATTATCTCAACAATTTTTTTTTTCTTTTACTTCAGACTGGTTAATATCCTGGCTCCCCATGCATGAAGTTACATTCACTCACAAAATTAGAGTTGAACACCATCACCTCAGGCACACATGCAGACATGGAGGTTTAATAATTCACACCCATAATGTAGCACAATGTCACTTCCTGCGTTTAGATGTTCAGGGAAGAAGCTGACATTTAATATCCCTCCAGGGTTACATGGTTTTATCAGCTGAGACTCTGATGATGGTTTATAGTCGTTCCACACGCCCAAAAACGTGCCTGAAGGACAAGAAATAGTCTTAAAAAAACTACAACATGAAAACCATTACTATGTTAATAAACATCACATTTTATTCATAAATCTTGGTGTCAATAAATCCTAAGTGTGTCTCTCATCTGAGTTCACAGGAGAGAGCTGGACTGAGATATTGTTTCTAAGACTTATCAGGGCATCAAAATTACATTTGTTCGGAAAGCGGTTCGCTTTCACGTTGCACGGTGGAAACAATTTCCAAACCCTTTCAGAAACCTGTTCCTCTCCTCGCCTGTGGGGGGCGCCGCCACCAGAGCTACTGAAGGAAACGAAATCCTCAGACCCTGAGCACAACTTTCTTCTCCACGAGATGTAAACAGAAATGGCGTGATGTCCGCTGGTCAACGGACAGGAAACGAATTGTACATTTTGCCGAAGTCAAAAGAGAAAAACTGCGACTTAAAGTTTGATGCAGTTGGCAAAGTGCTGCAAATATAACTAATGTTGCAACTTTGGTCCAGTCGAACCGAGTCTACTGGACGATCAGGTGTGAAAACACAACAGATGCTTCATTCAGGAGGTCTGGAGCTCTGCAGGTCTTATTGATCTGAGGTCAAAGTTCATGATTCACCATAAAAAGAGAGACTGGCCGATTTCCACACATCTGGTTGAAAGCAACACAGCAGCTTAGCAAACATGACATGTTTGGACATTTAGTGACAGATTTTGATTTAACAACGTCGATGCCTTCCCTCCTGTGTTGGTCTCTCTGCCTTCAGCTCTAAAGCTTCAACGCTACGATTAGCGACGTAAAACTGGGAAATTTGAAGAAATGACAACCTGGAAGCATTTCTGTGGATGTTGGTGTCACAAAGCAGCTACAAAGTGGATAAAGTGGATCTCACGTGGAGCAGCATGGCTGGCCTGACAGGCCTGTTGCTTCAGAACCAACTGCGAGGAATCAGACACTGATCCTGGATGAGGAAGGCGGTACTCAGAATATTCTGAGGTGAGGCGGATTTTACTTTGATTTAAAATCAAAGTAACGCTCAGATTGATGATGGTTCAGAGTTTTTGGGGGACAGAATTTGGTCTCTGCTGGTTTATGACAAAAGGTGATATTTTGATTCAAGACTTTGTTTGCAATGCAAGATGAATCTGTTACTGAATGCTGCTTGCTGCTTCCTGAATAGTTTTAATTTGTATTAACATATTTTATTTTGTAGTTTTTGTTTGCACATCATTTAAATGAAATCCAGTAGTTGGGCTTCACTTAAGGACGTGGTCAACAATAAATGCTGTTTTGGTTCAGCAGGAGGATCTGATAGAAAGGTTTTAATATATTCTCCTCATCTCATAGTGATAGTCAAATCTTTGCTCTGCAGGTTCACACACAGTTATTAGTTTCTAAAATTAGAATGAGGGCAGATCATTTGGTTATCAGGTTCTTTTCTTGCAGGCTCAGCTCTAAGTTTGTTGTCGTTACTCGTCTTCCTGTTAGAGCATCTGATGCTGAGCCCGGTTCTGTTGGTTTCTTCCTGTGTCCACTGTCACCACATGCTTTCTCTGGATGGGAAATTACAGCTAATTCAAGCAATCATCTGTTATGTGTTACAAGATTAGTCTTTAATACTATTGCCGTTTAGCAAGAAGGTTCTCGGTTTGAATCCTGGCCAGATTGTCTGCATGTTTGCAAGTTTTTCCAATGCATCCATAGATTCTCTAGTGGGACTCAGGTTGAGTGTCTTTGTGTTAGAGAAGTAAAACAAAGTGAGGTGGGGTGTACTCTTCAACCCACCCAATGACCACGACTCCAAGCAGGCAGAGACAGAGATGGACATTTGGAAGTCAGTTCCAATATGTGATTGTGGTTGATATTCATTTGGACAAAGTTAGAGTCTCGGATAATAAGTAATTGGATATTACTTCAGTTTTTAATTCTACCAATGTGATAATTTTGATACCAAATATAATTAAATTGATGTTTTTCCAACTTCCTGCCACTTTTGTGAGCCATAATTTATACTGTATCAGAACTTCCAGGGAAAACAGAAGGAAAAACATCCAGAAAATAATGAATAGTTGTTATATATGTGGAAATGCAGAGTCTCCGTTTTACATTAAACGTAATGATCTGAATGTTTCCTGTAGCCTTCATGCGACACTTTGATTCTTTAACCCTACAAACCCCAAACCACCAAAGAAACATGTTTGCAAAGGCAGGTTTTCTTGATTTGCTCATTCTTTATATTTTTGTATTCAGTTCCTTAATTGTTCTGTAGAACTCCTCTAAATGATTTTTGCAGACTTTGTTGACAGTGAGCATGCCAGAACCAGAACACGACCTTCCACTCTGAGGCCGGAGCAACAGCACCGGGAACCCTAAAGACACTGCAGTCCAGATGCATCAGTCAATCCTGTCGTGTGGTTTTCATGCTTGCGAGTTGTTAGTCAGTAAATGTTTGGTGAAAGCCATTAAAAAGTGTTGTAGCTGTTTATGCAGCTGTGTTATGTTTGGACTTTGTTGCATGATGTGATTTTCTGTTTGTGCAGCCAGAAACAATTACATTTTACTAACAGCAGGTCATCATGACTGTGGCGGTCAGACAGGGCGAATCAGAGTTTGCACACGCACAACTTTCCATCCAAACTACTTCTTTAGTTATTATAGCTTGGTGTTATTTTATTATCCTCAGCTCCATGTAGACAACCATTCCAACTCAGGTAAATGTCACCTTTATTCACCCGTTTATATCTAAATATCTAGTTAAATCCTGTCCTGCGGTAAAATACTCTGCTAAAGCATCATGAAAAGGTTGCATCCGTCATTGAGCGTAAAGTTCATTTTTGCAAACCATTTTCTCCTTCTGGTTTGACCTTCATCCAAGTTAAACTGAGTTAACAACCGTTCAGCTTGAATAAAATGCACTGGTTTCTATGTGCTTTTTTCTCATTAGTTTTAGTTGAAGAACATTCTTTCAGTTCAAACCTTTCTGCTGGTCTAATTAAAGTTGTGAAATAAATTTTTAGTTCTAGTCTAAAGTAATGTTCAAAATGTCAAGGTGGTCACAAATATAAAATTGGATGGAAGGATGTTGCAAACTTATCAGACTGTAATTTTCCTTCAGTAATCATAAAAGTAGAGAGTTTAGAGCATAAAAAAATATACAGGAATGAAGTTTGAAATAAGAGACATTCTTTTGTTTTTCAGAGGTTTTCTTTTAATGCCAAAACAGAAAATGTCTGTATGGAGCAAACATTTTTTCCCTGTAGGTGCATTTATAATAATTTCCCTTTTTGTACTTTCTCTATATTTTTATATTTCTCTGTATTTATTTATTTTATCCACTGGAAGATGGAACGAAGAGTTTCTTTGACTGATATAAACACACTTCTAACTCCAGGAAAAGTTCATGCTGGTTTTATGTGCTTGTTACTCCATATTTGTAGGGCATGACCTCCTCAGCGTCGATGGGTTTCTGCTTCTTTCAAATGAAAAAGCCGCAGATTTGACTGGCTTGACAGTCTGACTGCCGCTCTGATATGAGACTTTGAGTATATGTCTTTAAAAAATGTTCAGCATGTCAAGGTGGTTTCATAAATGTTTTCAAGTTGGATGGATGATGAAAGTAAAACATGTCAGGCTGTCATTTCCCCCCCTCTGGAGTCAGAAAGACGCAGAATGTCATTTCAGAGCATCTACACACACACACACACCACACACACACACACACACACACACACACACACACACACACACACACACACACACTGGTTTGGGAAAATTACCCAATGCATCACTCAGCAAATTTGTGACTCAAAACTCCTGCAAACCTATTTTACGGCGCTGGTCCAGCGGGGAGTTGTACGAGTGATGGAGAGATTATGGAGCTGTTCTGCCCACTGCTCTGACCTGCAAAGATGGAAGGAGACAATTACAATTGTCTGAACTGTTTCCATAGCAACGCTTCTCTGCAGATTTTTTTTTTTTTGTGGTTTGGGGAGTGGAGGGATGAAAGAAACCAGCCTGTGCTCCATCCTGTAATACCGGCTGACACCTTCATTCCCTTCGACGAGAAATGTACCGACATAGAAAGAGGCTGTGAAGATGATTGTGTGAAGGTGAGCATGAGAAGGTTGGGGTAATTTTATTACTGAGGCACTTTTAGTTGCATGAAGCTCAAAGTATTCATTTCTGGGTGGGGGGGAACAAAATATGCGAAAACAATCTGATTAAATATTGATGAAACAAATTGCGCCCAAATGCAAGAAAACATCAGTTAAAAGCACATTAAGCAAAGTGCCAGAAACCCCAGAGGTCAGTCAGGGTGAGTTTTGAAGTGCAGACGTGGTTGAAATGTCACGTCTTTGTCTCTGTTTGTCACAGGAAGCTCGGCAGGAACAGAGCTTTTCTGTGACAGAGCGGT